ATGGACCAAAGTAATCGCACGAGGAATAGTAGAACGGAGGCGTTTGCGGTGCTAAACGGAGAGCTGGCAGGTCTGCCATCAACTGCGTCTCTGCCTTGTGTGCCATTTCTCGACAAGAAACACATTTAAATTTCACAGCCTTACTGAGCTTATTCGCCTTCAAGATCCAGTATTTTCGTCTTATTTTTGCAGTCGTGGTTGCTACTCCAGGATGCCCATGGTTGTGCATATGGCTTGTAATCAACAGGGATATTCTGTGCTCATTGGGAAGCAGCACTGGGTGTTTTTCTTCGTAGGACACGATTGCTTTGTCAATCCTTCCTCCGACCCTGATGATCCCCTTGTCGTCTATAAATGGGCTTAATGTCTTGAAGTCTCCATTCTTCATTCGGCTCTTTAAATCCTTTTGAGCACTTTTGATCCATGACATCTCAGCCTTCTTTAACTCTTCAGGCATGAGAGGTCCTTCTCGTCCGCTGAGTGTGTTTCTTCTGAGGCGTATCTTCTCTGTTAATCGCCTTATCCACGCGGTAACTCGTATCAGTTTTCGCCAACTGGAGAAATTCTTCACATCGATTACATTTCCGACATCTGCAGGCGGGACTGTAGTGACAGCATTAACGTGGCGACGCTCCATATCTCCTTCTTGTTGCAGTGTAGCTGTTTGTACTGGCCATTGTTCCTCTGGCAGTTTTAGAAATTCCGGGCCGTTCATCCATCTACCCGTAAGCTGCTTTACATGCAATCCTCGCGAGACATCATCTGCTACGTTTTCTTCACCGGGAATGTGCTTCCACTGGCTTGGGTCCGAGTTATTCTGGATCTCCCCGATCCGTGCTGAGACAAACGGCTTGAAACTGCGGGAAGGACTTTGAATCCAGGCAAGTGTGATGCTGCTGTCAGTGAAGAATTTGACATCGGCGAATTGAATCGTACACTCTTTCACTATCGTTTTCGCGAGGCGGGAGGCGAGAACGGCTGCTTGTAATTCCAGGCGTGGAATTGTTAGTTGCTTTAGGGGTGCCACTCTAGACTTAGCGGCAACGAAGTTTACTTCATAGGTGCCTTGTTTCGTTTTCTGGCGGATGTACGCGCAGGCCCCAAATGCTTCTTGCGAGGCGTCTGAGAAGACACACAGTACTGGTAATTCTGGAGTTTCGGGTGGAATCAGACACCTCTTGAAACAATCAATTTCCTTGAAGTCCAAGTTCCTCGTCCCATTTGCCACAGTTCTTGTAAACCTATTTTGGCTCTGATGACGAATGGATCCACGTTTGATGAGAAGAGTTCTTTGGTCATCATCATCTATGAATAATCTGAAGCCACTTTAACATCGTCCCAAATCACTCCAAGTTTTCTTCAACTTCTTCCTGGAACATCTTGAACCAATTTTCTGTCTTGGTTAGAAGTTTGTTCGACGTCCAGTTCTTGTCGAACCTAGATTTTGGCTTGTGCTGATGACGACCATGTAGGAATTCTTTGGCACCTCGGCTGCTTCTGGGTAGTCCTTCTTGTTTTCTTCAGCTGTTTTTCTTAACAATTTGGGATCGTCAGGACTGTTTTACGTACACATCAGGTTCTCTTTCCGTTTCCAAGTTTCTCCACAGGAACAAACATTTGATCCTCTTCCGGGATGATAGGTGATACATTTTGGATATGTCACCCATCTTGGTTGTTCATCAGGCCCCTTAAGCCAATAATCATTCAGTGCGTGACCTTGATAGACTCTTCGTACTGAAATAACGGCATCTTTGTCCATTTCTTTTCTGGACAGCTTTCTTGAGAACTGTCTCCTTCAATCTGTTTGTCATCCACTTTTCCTTTTTCTGGGTCTTTCTTACGTTTCCGTACTTTCCAACCGTTTCATCGAACTTATTATCCGGCAACAGCATCGGGTCTTTCTTCCAGGGGTAAGGTATCATCCAATTTTCCAAATCACTTCAAGCCTCACAAACACACGGTTTAACTTCTACTTTTCAGTCTTCAAAAAATCTTTTCTTCCTGGTAACATTCACTTGAACTACCCATCCTAGAGGTGTTCTTCTTGCAACTTGTCCTGTTGCCTGGTCTGTCCAGTATGCATCTGGGCGTGGTCGATTCCTATTAGTAAATCGACAGGACCATTGCCTCTGCGTATCCTTTCGCTCTCCAGTCCAAGAAGCTTGGCGATCGGTCTAAGCTGGACTGCTGACACTTCCTCACTAATGCGCGGAATTCCAATTGCCTTGATTGAGAACATCTCGGTGTTGTCAATTGATGATACAGGAACTTTGTAAACTTTGGTCTTGATCGTCTCCTCTTCTCCTCCCACTTTCGTAAGTGTTACGGCGGTGTCGTTTCCTTTGAGTCCCAGTGCAGCTGCTGTTTCTTCGCGGATTAGGCTGATCTGCGCTCCCGAGTCAAGGAGAGAGTGTTGCTTTGCTTTTGGAACCCATTTTGACCGTAAATCTTGCATGTTACCACCGGCAAAAGAGTTTCATGTGGCTCGGAGAGTGACGCGACGCCAACTTTGACTGCGGTGCTCTTGTGAAGCAACGGGTGATGAAAATGCATGCATTCCCTTCCGTTCTCGGTTTTCGTACACTTTCTACGTCTCCTACAGTTGTCAACTCGGTGTTCTCTTCCGGCTGCTTTCATGCAACTAAAGCACACATGGTTTTCTTTGGCGGTCCGGAAACAACGGATGTGCCTTCATGGTCTGGTGTGAAATTATCATTACCGGAACTTGTACTTTGATGGGTGCTAATTGGATTGATTGGATGATCATTATCGCCAGAACTTACACTAAGCGCGTCTTCTTCTATTTGCATATTCAGAATTCCACTACTTCCCGGCTCACCAACACCACTATTTTTCGTTTTAGATGCTGTAGATGTATGATTAGTTTTCATCGGGCCTTTTCTACTGAAGAAAGAATCCAAATATTTTTTGCGTCCATTTCCATTGACATAAAGTCTTCTTGGCATTCCCCATCCATCCCTCTTGCACTTCGAACTCAGTGTCATCTTCGATTAAACGCGAATAATTTTCATGCTTCGCCACAAGATTGTCAAAGGCTAACTGCAGTTTGCTTAGACCATCTCTTACCTCTTGCTCTGGTCTTTCGCTTCTATTGACTTCGCTAAGGACTTTCCACAGCGTGTGAGCGTTCCTTTGGCAGTCCTCCGATCAGTTTTGGCAGTTTTCAGGGCTTCCTCCGCCATGTGCTCAGGATTGCGTAGTTCTTCGTTACAACCCAGAAATCGAATGTAATGTTTCCTTACTCGGAACTGATTAGATCAAGTGACCACCACAAACCGTATAATATTAAGCCAAGCTTTAATAATTATTCGATCTAAAAAAAATACATTTATAATTCGCAATTAGAACAAACGCAAATCAAGTCTTTATCTTGTAACTGAATTCAAAAACTTCAATATAAACTTACTTCTGTGGCGGGTCGTTACAACAGTCTCACTATTCATTCTCCAGGTAAGCGGATTTAGAGACAGAAAAACGATAACAAAAAAAATTGAAAAAACTGACTCCTGCAAAAATCACAGAAGGTTAAATGGAAGTATTTTAGCCGTCAATCGAAACAAATGAAAAAATTACCTCCGAACAAATGTCAGTTTATTAGACGCTGTTGAAGAACCATAGCTGAGTGAATTCAATCATTTCTGAAATGTTTTATAATTCCTCGACGATATATTTAATGCATCATTTTCAAATATCTTTTGAATAGGGTTTAAATTTCAACCATGTTTGGGCGTCTCATCTAATATTAGTCAGCCGTTTCAATATGGTCGTGACCTCAACCAAATTTAGCTAAATATGGTCAAGTGAGAATCACGGACAAGAAACACTCTCTTCGGCATCCTGCTGTGGGCCGACAACCTTAAAAGGAAATCAGCTACCTGTTTGTCAAGAATTTGCTCTGTACAGAGGAAAACCTCACCTGATTCTCATGAGGTCGACTGTTAACGTAACTGACTGCTACTTAGTTCGAATCGTGTCACATAAATGTTTTTTTTCATCACGATTCAATCGGGCAAAGAACTGAGTAGTCATCCAGTGAGATTTATCGACTTCAGAAGACAGTATTGAAAGCAATTTGGTGATAAGTTTGGATCACTCTACCATTGAAAACCAATATTCAACATCGAGTTCCTCACAAACAGAAAGACTTTCGTCTACGATTATAGCTTGCTGATAATAGGCTTTGAATCTTATCACTGAGTTGAGAAGAGACACGAGTTATTAAAGACAAATCATCCTATAGCTATATATATCAGAGTCCTTACCGGACAGATAATACTCAATTGAAATGTGAGGCCCCTTTCATTATATGTCAAGCCTGTCATGGCTGATCACCCGTCAGCGATTAATATCCTATTGATTTTCTTATTTATTAAGTTGCCAGATTATTTTTACCATAAAAAGGAATGGCTAAATGCAAAATCAGCAAACGTGGCAAAACATTGATCATTCCCCCTACCGTATGGAAAAAATATATTTATTCAGCGAATATTTTTGTTGCACTATGTACTACGGTTTTGCTAGAATTTAAACTAGCACTCCCTTCTAAACTTCGAATGCATGATTGTCGGTTTGCCTTAGACAAAAAAAAACAGATAACTATTAGATAGTCCTTTAAAAATAGCTCCTAATTACTAGCCAACGTGTAGCTTTACCCTCCCCCAGAAGGTGAAACGGAAGCGAGGGAACGTCTATGAAAACCTGACACGTTTCCTCGTTTCCGTTTCATCTTGTGTGGTGGGGGAGAGGAGAGGGAGGGTACGGCTACACGTAGGCTACTAATTACATGCCCATGACGGAGCTTTTAAGAGGCCGTGTCACAGGCACCTTTTGTTGCGTGATACGCACGTGACACTGCAACTCATGTTCAAAAGTACAAATTAGGTTTGCATTACTATAAGTGCCCTTTTCCGGTGGAGCCAGACACGGGGTATATCATACCCGTTCGATCAGTACACAGTAGTTTGCACTGATCCATCAACATGGTTTTACGACAATGCCTCGCTTGCAACTCAACGGTGAGTAGGCAGAAATCTGTGTGAGGATTATTATGTAAACCATGTCGGGGATTTTTTTATTATATGAATATTCCACTGCCGATGTTCACATGTTGTTACGGCCTGAGTGAGTCGAAGTGAAGACCTCGCTTTGCAATTGCAGTTTGACAACTTCGAAAGGTCTAGATTAATATCGAGTAACAGGATTACACGAAGGGATCTAAGAAAGTATAAATTGGATTGATTTCGATTTGAACGTTAATGCTTCGTTTGGAAACGTTTCACTCGATCGTTGTTAGAAGTTTACACAAAGGTAATCTCCGCTATTGTTTTTACTTTGCTACTAACGAATGTATCAACTGGCAAGTTATGTACATCAGCGTGAAAATTTACCTTAAGCTGATTTTTGTAATAAGAGGCATACCTATAACTCTTGTTCAGCGCATGCTTGGGCGGGCCAATATGCAAATTTATTTTAAAATCATCAGCCCGGAAAACGTGTTCGTCTTGCTTTCGCTTTTCAGGAGAGCAAATTTGAATTATCACAATCACTGTTGCCGTTCCCGTGTGACTTGTCCCAAAGTTTTCCCTTGCTACGATTCGTACAGAAAATCGCATAAGGTCGAGTGAAATTAGGCTTTAATATCTCGTGTAATTTTAGAATTACGAAGTTCAAGGTTCAAAGCTAACCCCAACAAAATGTGTTTCCCTTAGTGGGGTCGACCAAGTGGTTCCTTTAGCTGGGGGGTTTAACGAAGAACGAAAAATAGTTTCTTAAGGTGAATTATTTTACCCAGCGAACCCGGTATAGGAACACGCAGAGGCAACCCTCGATAGCGTCAGAGCTTGTTCAGGTGGCTCATAAGACAGGGGCGTGAGTGGGTAGGTGTGTTGCGGGTGGGGGGGGGACTAGTTTTTGTTCTTAGACGTACATCTTAGTTTACAAACTTGATACGATTGATAATTTATCATCTTGATTCCTTACATGCATTGCAGGTTTTAGGCACATTACAGATATGTACCTGTGGCCACGTATTCGAAGATGTTCGGCAGATTGGTGGGAAAAGGTTCTCAGGTCTGTGTGTGCAAACTTCCAAATCTTCGATTATTTACCAGAGCTAACAACCTCGTTGGTCAAATTTTAATCGCAGTGTAGACTGCGTTTGCCAGTCGAAATTTCGGCTCAAACACTTGTGGTTATTGTCATCAGCTATGTGACATTTGCTTGACGCTTCATGCGGTTCCCGAATTCCCGTTTTGCTTTTTCTTGCCCAGGCAAGCTGTGATAGTGACCTTTGACCTTCACCTTGTTGTTTTCTGCTGAGTTTTCTTATTCTCGCCTCTTTCGTAGAAAAGGTTGTGGTTATTCATCGTGGTGAATAACGATAAAAGCTAAGTTTTTCGTTTGTCTCACGATGTAGTCACGTGTGAATTCTTCGCCTGAAGAAGACTAGCAGTATGTAGTCGAAACGTCGCGATCTGCATCACACGTGACTACATCGTGAGACAAACGAAAAACTTAGTTTTTATTCTCGCCTCTTTGTATCTACAAAAATTCAAGTTGGAGGAAAATGCAAGCTTTTTTTTTTTTCAAAGGAAGTGGTATGAATTGAATTGCTGGAAGCCTCTTTAGTAGGGGCAGAGGGAATCCTTTGAACGGAAATATTCGCGCTTCATTTAGCCTTATATACTGCGTCCTCTTCCTCCTCTCCCCTCCTTCGTGGGCTAACCGACATACTTATGAGAAGTGGGGGGTGGGGTGGGGGGTGGTTTAAAAAGTCAAAAAAATTAGTGCATGTGCACTATGTGGTGGTTCAATCTTTGGAATAATTACTTTTACTCGTGTCACTTGGTAGAAAATGTACCGAACTTTCTTTTTCCTTATGCACGGCCAGAACTCGCACATTTAAAAGTTTTCCTTTTAAAATACCTCGTTTCCGCAGTATATCGAGCTAGCCTGTACACAAGACTGGAAGCCAAGAAAATAAAATTCAGAGGGGATGAGAGCAAGACCCAAAGCGACCCGGATTCATCCGAAGATTGTCGCTCGAAGCAGGTAACAAAAAACGAAAATATGGGTGTAGCGAATGAGAACGGGAACTGCTGAAAGAAAGTCTCTCGCTCTGGGATTTGGCTGCGCTTTTCTGCCCGTGAGTTTATGATCAAAGACAAATTTTAACGAGGCAGTGCAGAATTCTGAACAATATTCTGGCTCTGAAAACATATTCGGTTATGGCCCCCTTCATCGGGGCTTTCAAGGCTGAATTTTTAGTCACGCAATCTTCTGATATGATGAAAGGACTGAAACAGTAGAAATAGGATCATGATTTACCTAGCATGGCATATACTTGAGATCCTGCCTTTAAGCTGATTCTCACTCTTACCAACTATGCGTAATGAAAAGATGAAGGTTTTGTTAAAGACGAGCCACAAAAACATCCTAACCCATGACGCTTGCACTGGTTTCTTCAACTGTTACGCACGCATTCCTTTGACCAGTTCAAATGAACCAACCGGACAATTTAAATATCTGAGCAACTGCGCGCCTACCCTTCCCATAACCCATCATTAACCCTAACTTGTTATCAGCTGACTCTTGTTGGGTTGGGGAGGGGAGGGAGGGAGGGGGGGAGGGGGAGGGGGAGGGGAGGGGAGGGGAGGGGAGGGGGAGGGGGGGGAACAGGGGAGGGGAGGGGAGGGGAGGGGAGGGGGGGGAGGGGAGGTCAGAACACTCAGATACTGATACTGATCCAACCCGGCAACCAACCAATGGAAACTTTACGTATCAGTAACAGCTGATGCTTTGGTATTCCATCTTTTATCACGATAGGTAGCTTTGAAAACTAAAAAAGGAATTATTGGTTCATCTTCCTCAAGTAAAGTGCCAAGAAAGAAAGGAAGAAGAAGGGGAAGAAATGGAAAGAATACGCATGAAAATCGGCGCGAAAACAAAGCAGTTTCTTTGTTTTATTCCCCCGAAGAGGAAGCTGAACGATTTTCGCAAGCTCTTCAAGAAATCAACCGAAGAATCATGGGGCAGTCTTTGGTTTGGCTGCTCTAAAGTTCTATTTTCTAGAGATCATCATTGACGGCTGTGAATTCGAACGGGAATTTTTACGGTATTCCCTATCAATTTTACTGGAATTCTCATGGAAAAGTGTCTACGAAGAAAGTAGAGATTCAGCATTGCCTATCTTATCCTTTGTTTTGATATGGTTTACTCAGGTGAACCAGACGGTCATTGAGTTTGACAGTAATGTAATGGATTTGTCGTCTTACATTATACATTGAAGTATACGTTTTGTATTTTGTTCATATGTTGCGAAGCCAACAAATTTTAATTGGACCATTCATAAAAAAGTAAATAAAAGAGTAAAAACTCAAAGAGTAAGTTTTATGATAGGGGGTTTACAATTGGTGTTAAGTATCTTAAATTGATTTTTGCGCCATTTGGCTGCCATCAGATCCTCGAAGTGAAATTAACGCGAAAAGTCGTTTCCCTCTATTGTAACGCAATATTTTTCACGCTGGTGAAAGACTGAAATAATAGACAAGAATAAGAAAACAATCTCTCTACTCCCAGTGGCATAGATGTTTCTTCGAGCAATATTCCATTTGAAATTACCTACTATTTGGCGGTTGAATCATGTTACGTGACTGTCACGCAACGAAATGGAAAGATGACGTTTGTGAACTTGACCCCTTGCGCACGCGTGTATGACGCGATCGGTGCTTTCATGACGAGCGTGAAAGAAAATTTTTATGTCGTGCCTGTAAAGACTATTCCTAATAGAAGGAAAAGGTCCCAGTGAAGGTATTAAGAATCCCCGTTATGATTCAACGGCAGCAATGTGTGGCTTGTAACCTTATGGTAAGTACTTGTACATCGTTTTGCTCGGAATCGTTCATCGTTTGACCCAATGTAAGCTTAATTTCACACTAAGGTACGACGGTGACAGTGTTTCCTATTTCAAATCTTTTGATGTTCATTCCTACGTGCTATACTGAAATATGGTATCAACTGATTTTGAAAAGATACAGTCGCAAAAAAAATTGTTGGTTCAGAGAAGTACTTTCCTGAGAATTGTTTTAATGCGGTAGAAAGTGACAGGCTTTCAGCTAATCCCCTGATAAGTTAATTAAATTGAGCTTTGTGAAAGATAAAAGTGAATTTATCATAATGTTAGAGTGGCAAGCCCCGCAGAAAAAAATTGATGACTTTATTTTATCAAAAACAGATCCCCGACTCTGAGTCCACAGATATGTCTTGTACCTGTGGTCATGTGTTCAAGGAAATCAAACTGATTGGTGGAAAGAGATTCTCAGGTAAGACGGAGATCTTTTATGATGAAAGTAGAAATTATTTCAAGTGCCGTTGCAATATAGCAATTCTATGTCAATTGGGCTATGGTCAACAGATCGCAACATGTCAACCTTGATCCTGAATGCTTTAGTTTTTAAAAGCATTGTTATCCATTCTGTTTATTATACCATATACCACTAACGTGGTGAATTTGTTGAATAACCATCAGCTTCTTTTTAGTCAGCGATCCTTTCCTTTATTTTCATGACCTTGATGTTTGATCCAAAAAGTGAAACTGTGAGAAGAAACCAGATGCTAATTCACTCTTAAGGGTCAAGGGAATAGATAATTTAAGGCCTGAACAACTGAGTGCTGCATATTTTCATGGTGAAGCTCCGTCCTCGACTGAAATGAAAAATTAAAACTCAATTGGGCGTGATAAGTAGCATTTATTCACGAATAGAGGATGTTAAAATTTTAGTTTCGAGCGGGCGCAAACAGCATATTGTTCCAACGAGACTGTTGTTCTTTTTCATCACTAACATTTCAGCAGCATCAAACGAGTCTGACTTTGATTAAGTGTAAATCTATGGAGATTACTGCCGTTCAGATTATCAACAAAACCAAAATACTAACAATTCTTGTTAATACTTAGTGCTTGCCTGAATCCATATTGTGTGTGAATTACATACAATGTGTATTTCATGATAGGAGGCCCTAAACATTCTTTAACGGTGGATTGCTGAAGGCAGTAAATCAGGCCCCTATGCAAATTGAACTATAGCAAAAACAAATTCATTGCCCTTCACTTAAGCTCGTATGCATTGCAATGATTCTCTCTTATAGAATACCGAGCGCAGCTTTACTCTCGTTTGGAAAACAGAAAGCAGAGATTAACCACCGGTGAAAACAAACCAACTAGGGAGAAAGCTCAAAACGTAGGGAAACTTGAGGTAAATATGTGCTTTTTCGTCGCTTAAAATTGCTAATACTTCGCCTTGTGGTTGGTTTTAAAAACTTGCGCCACTCTCTCAACCAATCAGATTCAAAACTTAGACCAATCACGATTTGTTCCATCGCGTTTTCCTACGCTTCATGCAGTTCGTCTGTTTTGTAAATTGAGCTCTCATTGCCTAATGATGACGTCAATCTTCGCTCTGATTGGCCGTTATAATTTTTCTGGTGTTGTACGCTCAATAAGAGAACTGTTCTAAAGCGGCCAACTGAACATGGCGATGTTTGGCAGGAGACAAGAGTGTCTTTAAAATGTTGAACGAAACATTTACTCAATTTTATCAAACAGCATATCTGCATGTTGGAAGGAAATTGTTCTCACTGTCTAAACACCGGAAAAGGTGCTATAGGTGACGTTACTCGACGAGAAAAAGAACCATTTGTAAGGCCCAAGGCGATAAGACGACAACTCAACCAGCCACATCACGCCATGAAAAGCAAGTTGAGCGAATCGAAAAATACTTCCAGTGTGAGAAATTTCCAAAGAAGGTTTCACATCGCCTTAACAGAAATTAACAGACGTCTTGTCTCCCAGAATCAGTTATGGTCATCGCTGGACAATCGATACAAAGTAGATCAGTAACCACCCTAAATGAACAAACATTTACTTTTTTGGTTTTTCTTTTGTAAAAGAGGACCGAGTCACTACTACTTCCATAATATTGAGAATTTTGAATCGTAAAGAAAAGAACATCTATTGGTTTACTAGACATGAATATCTAAAAAATAAATTGTTGCTTCAAATGAAGCCAGTTTTGTCTGAGTCATAAGATAAGTAATTTCCAGTATACGCCAATTTCACTCTCACAACACGATACGAGCTCAGGACATGTGCAAACTGATTACAAATTTCGGTTGGTGTGTCGGACATGAATCAAGCTTTTTCACACCCTTATGACCACGTGACGTAATACACAATTTTCGCGAAACAAACTCGAGCCGATGACAAGATTGCTTGGCAAACCTATTAGTGGCATCTTTGGAAATTTTTGGTGGGAAATTTGGAAAAAAGTTGGAATTGTTATTGACATAAATGTTATTTTCAGATTTTTTTTACAATACATAAAGTAACTGCAAGTGCATACAGAAGATGCTCTAAGCATATTTTTTTTGCTTAGGATATCATGAGACGCTGTGCAAACATTTTTCTAACTCTAACGGAGACACTAGACTGTCCAGTGTCTAGTTCTGCCAGAACTAGACACTGGACAGTTGTGAGTTTTCACGAGGTCTCGTAGATGCCATAGGTTCTTCATCATTCAGATTTCTTTCATAATATTTCCTTGCTTCTCTTCGTTTTCATCTTGGCTGCTAATGCTACATATTTCTGCCTCACTTCCTGGCAATGCCCCCACTCTGCAACTCTCAAACAGCTTCCGTTTGGCGGATGAAAGTCTTGCTTCTCTTATCGAGTTTTCACATAGCCTTGTGGACAAAGATTCTTCAACGTTCAGGTTTCCGACCCATTTCTTCATCTGTTCCTCCGTGTTGCCATCTTTGCTGCCAAAGATTACTACATCAGTTGCACTTGCTGACGACAGTTGTTCCATTCTGTTAGGCTCCAGCATCTTTGGTTTGTGTTCAGGGCTTTCTGTGTTTTTATGGAGATCTGTGAGTACTCTGGGCTCGTTGATTTGAAGTTCTTTGGTCGGACCCTCCTTTCGTTTCTCTTCACCTCGTGGATTCACGGGTTTTTCCTGAAAAGCGCTTGTTCCGCAAGGATCTTTCAAGAGTTGCCGGACAGCGAAACGGTTTCTTCGATTACGTAATACGTAGATAGCTGGATTAAAAACGCTCGCTATAAAGGTCAAATAACCAGCTGCAAAAGGGAACCACCCCTGGTTGTCAATACGACCCGAGATGCCGAAGGCAATTGCGGGAATGTAACAAACATAAAAGGTTGCAATGGCCATTGCGACAGTTTTGGTGGCTTTTACGTCCGATTGGAGTCTAGCTTCCTCTTGAAGGGCGGTTAGATTTAGGACCTTTCTCTGTAATAAAGAAAAGGAATCGTAATGATCTGCCTCTATATGCTGTAAAACCAAGTTATTCAAGTAAAAGCATGGGATAATTCATTATAAACTATCTTGTTTCTCTTAGATGGCCTTGTGAGCAATGTCATTTATCTAAGCTTGAATCTGCGTGAATGTATCGAGATACCGTCGCAGCATTTCTCGCAACGTTAGGTCCTTTCTGACCAGGTTGTGTTATGAACATTTAAAAGCACGATCACCGTGCTGATTACTGCTCAGCTTTTTCCCACATGTAGACCGATGGTGTCATGTTTTGTATTTCTTGTGTCCAATTTAAGCAGCTAGCGTTAACAAACAAACAAACAAAAACACGTAAAAATTAAAAAAACAAAAACACGTAAAAAACAAATAAACAAACAAAAACGAAGTTCTTCATGTGTCGCTCTCAGGGTTGGAGACAACGAACCCTCATTCTAAGATGAGAGCAAGCCGTCACTTTCGCTTTGAATAAAATTGATTCTCTGCGATTTTGGAAGACAAATTTAGAAGAAAAGCCGAGGCAATGTTGAAGTGACATTTCCAGAAAATCACGATTTGATATGACTTCCACTTTATGCAATCTCCCAAAATTTTCCACAAGGTTTCCCTAACAATCAAGTTGAAATAACCGTATGGTTGAACAGCAAAAAAGTTTTTGAAAGGTGTAAAGTGATAATGAGTTATAATAGGCATTCCACGTGTTTTTTCTAACTTTGATGTTAACTGTGACAAAGTAGTGAAGTTTTGATTAGTGGTGAAGTAACTGTATCGTTAGACCATTAGGGTTTTGTTTTTTCAATTACATATATAAATGTAACTCAAGGAAATCAAGGCGTTCTTTATTTCATAAGGAAGTTCTTAATGCATTCCACTGCATAAAGTGGAAGTCATATCAAATCGTGATTTTCTGGAAATGTCACTTCGACATTGCCTCGGCTTTTCTGCTAAATTTGTCTTCCACGGTCTCCGGTGGGACCTTTTTCAAAACTCCCACGGGTATGTGAATTTTCAAAATCGAACGCTCCTCCAGCATGTAAAATAAGCACGTAATGTGTGATTTTTTCTAACAATAGCATAAACAATAACTTTCTAAGCTGTTGTTTCTTAGCTCCGCCTTGAACAGTTAATGAGCTAAAACTATTCCCGACCCAGGTGGAAAGCTCGTGTACTCTATGACCAATCAAAGCTCTCCAGATTACGCTTCGCTGCTAATATTACAGATCTATATTTTTTCACTACTGTAAATAAATGTCGCGAGAACAATGGGCATTTTGCGCGATGAGTTTAGTTTAAAATAAAAGACCTTTGAATATCATTTCTAGAAAAACGATGTTTTCTTACCCTCTTTTTCTTCTGGTTGATGGCATAACTGACCAATGTTCCAAGCACGGTTGCAGCTACGGTAAACAGAGCCATCACTGACTTAATCACTGATTTTCGTATTTCAAATATCATTCCTCTGGCTTGACCCAATGGCACATTGTCAAGATTTATATCAATCAATTGCAAGCGTAAAGAAGCCAACGCCGTCACTGTGGTACATAAAAACGACATAAAGGCGACAGCCATGATCGCTCTCTTCTTTGTTTTCCACGCGAAATACCTCAGATCCATGAAGAGAACCAGAAACCTGTCCAACATTAAGGCGGACATAGATACCAAGTTCAGCAACGTGAATTCCAGATGTTGTGCAGATGCAATCGTGGCCCACATTCTACCTTTCAACCAAAGGGGAAAGATTTGGGCAATGAGAAATAGTGGAGCACCTGTGAGTGCGTTGATAAGACCGACCAGGGCGGAATTGGCGAAGAGAATGTTTGGAAAATTTTGAAACACCTTGAAGCGAGCAAAGATGGCGAGAAAAGATATGTTTCCAATCAAGGCTAAGATTATCAAAATGACTACGAGAAAAATCTTTGCTGTTTGGACAGCAGGATGTTTCTCCCGAACTTCATGCTCCATTTTGCTGTTTGAGAAGAAGATAAAAGTGGAGAACAGAGGGAAGGGTTTTTAGTTAGGTTGTGAAAATACTGTATGCAAATCTGCGCCTTTCTTTCAAACAAAATCACTTCCTGGAAATCTACAAAGGAACACTCAAAAGCGAGTTTTTCCCTACGGAAATAGACCGGAGATACGTTTGTCAAACTATCATGATAATTATTTGAATGTTTAGTCATGACAGTACGGAGAAAGTGGGATATAAACGATCAGAAATCCCAATGATTAAGACAATATATACGTTTGTTACCATTCTTTGGCTTTATTAACCGTGTTTTATTTTAAACCAAAAATGACATTTTAGCGAGTTGGCGTGGTAGAAACAGTTTCAAGTCTTGATTGAACTGACATGATTATTTTTAAATTTCTTTCGTCTTACTAGTTATTTGAAAGAAAGCTGATTCCGCCGAAAATTAACCTGGTACTTTAGAGTTCCTCATATAGCCTGGTATAATTTCATCCTGCGAAAAAAAACTGATAATCGTGGGAAGGTACGAGGCTGTAGCAAGTGAATTCCTTTCGAAAAGGAAAACATAAGAAACAAAACCCAACAGATTGTGAATTCGCATGCCCTGAAAGGATGCAGTTAGCTTTGTCATTCGTATTGATCAGTAAGCGGAGAGATTAATTGTCTTCTACTAATTGGGAGAGATATCTTCTTACAATTTGCTGTAAATGGGCGAAAAAAAAACTGCTTTAAATTATTTTCAAAAATCCAAGAGTTGTAAAGAAACTTTGAGAAATTTTGAGTTGTAAAGAAATTTTGATATTTAAACCAGGGTCGTCATCAAGTCATAAAATACACCAGTTGATAAAAATATAAATTTGTAATAAAACAATACTTCATGAAAACGAGTAAAGTGTTTGGAAGGTTCTTCTGTTAAGAATAACGTTGATTTAGCAACCTTTTATCACAAAACACGGATGCTTACTCTGGGATGAGAGTTTTCCAAGGTTTCCGTGTTCTTATATTTTTCTTGAGTGCTTTTTGGTGATTCAGATAATGCTTACGTCATATGATTGGATGTTTTTTCCGAGATTTACGTGAGGCAGGGATTAGTTAATTACGGGAATGACGTACATACCCTTCAGTGGTCATAAAAAGAAAAATAACAATGCTTTTCAGTGGGTTGAACTGAAACAAAAATGTTTTCCTTGCATCTACTCATCGGTAAATCTTAAATGGCGAACGCCTACAATAAACTGATCTAATACTAATCTGCCACTACCGATTTCGAAAAGCTAGATTTATTTTCATTCTCAAACTGTAGTTATCATCCATGGTGGATGGTTACGGTATGTGCCACGATTCGAGGAGGGATCGTCCACGGCAATATTTTTTGTTCGAGGGAAAGACTTTAATTGAGATTTTAGTAAAAAGAAACGTTAAAACTGAGCTTCGTGAAGCAAGCTATCTATAGGCATTAGCTAGAATGTTTTTTGTCGCGCGACTGATACGGCTCCGCGCGCGCTTTTTAATGGTAATTAGCTGAGTGGAGTGCAATTTGGGCTGAAATCATACGCGTGATTTCAAAATCGAACGAGTGCGATTAAAGCAAAAAATGGTGCAATTCGTGAATAAATCGCACCAATTAGAGCCCATAAGTTTACAAGGACTACCAATGATTTCAAAATGGGTGTAATAACATTGAAAAGCAGTTGACAAAACTCCCCGTATGAGGGCTGTAAGCAATAGAGTGGTTTAGCAAGAGGACGGGAACGCCAAATTGACAACGGCGCGCGCAGCAAAAATACCGGTAAGAAACTGGGTCGAGAACTTCGCCCCGTTGTGTCTCACAAGTGACTTAGCAGTCGATGGAACGAGTCGTTAGCGTTATATTTGTTCTTGAATATCCTAACCTCGGCTCTTTAAGGATCACCATCGCCTTTAAATTTTCGGTTTCATAGACCACTCTAAGGACAACGAAATTATCTTCTTTGAGAGTTGTGTAACGAGCGCAAACAGAGGATAATTATAGATACGGCAAGTAAGTTGTTGATATGAATCCACATGGGCGATTAAACTTTGAAATTATTCCATTCCAGTTAAGTCTGGAGTCTGCTGTTTCATCTGTCAATTTTGGAGCCCACAAAATAATTTTTTTCTATGATTTGTTTCGCTGTCATTTTGTTTCGTGCTACTAGATTTCAGCGCTACTCGTTTTTCTCCGTAATTGTGTGAAGCATAATTTGGAAATCTCGGTCGCACCACCTTCACAGAGTTGCAACGCATTTTGAACGGATTTATCAGGAGTTATGGCGAAACCATGAAGAAACCAAGCGATCCAGCAATGGAGTTGTTTACGATGAGTTTCTGTTTAACAATGAAAAAATAAAATGAACTCAAAGTAGTCACCAACAAAACGGTTAAACTTAGAAATCTGATGCAGTGAACGTCGTAAAAAAGTCTTTATTTAGCTTATTTTATTCGAAAGTCTTTATTTAGCTTAACCTTACTGTCTATTTGCCACTCAATTAAACCCCAAAGCCTTTTTTCGTATAACGGTGGAAACACCTTGAAGCAGGCTCGGATGGCGAGATAAGATCCGGTTCCAATCAGGGCCACGATTATTCCTTACACTGTAATGAAGATCATCGACATTTGGACATCTAGGCAGTTCGGAAAGCCGTAAAACTCCAGAACAAAAATTTATCTTCAAATCGGCATTCATAATCCCCACGGTATCAACGAACGCTTTTCCTTCAACTACTAGCGTAGTATATATTTACTGCATATTAACACAAACAACCCACAATTCATCCATTCGCTCTGACAAGGGCCTAACGCTGGAAAAGTAAGCTTGGAAATTATTTACGGTGGCCAATTTACATTATCAACCCAGTTGATATTACCAAATTATCTTCTTTTACTCCCTCACCGACGTAGCACCACACTTTCTTTAGAAACTTACCCCCTTTAGACATTATGACGGCCCGAGAGTTTCACGAGCTACCATTTTTCGTGTAATACACATTTTTTCTTCCACCTCTCCGAGTTTTGCTATAAAATTTGGAAAAATATTATTTCCGATGAAAATTATCAATGGCCTCTATTAATCGTGAACGCAAAATTGTGTTTTGCAGATCACTCACCCAAGGAAAAATTCGAGTTTATTGATTTTAATGTCTGTGGCTATGCTATGAAGCAACAATTTAATTGTCTCTCTGGATCAACACAACAGAACTCCTTCGAAGTTTGTAGAATGTGCGTTGTTTGCTTGTTATATCCGTTCAGCATTAATTACCCTGTTTATCTCATTATGTCAGTTCAAATCGTGGTGATGTTGGTGCGGAATAATCGGGAGAAATTCTGAAGAACGTCGTTCGTCACTCTTACAGTCTCAATGCTCTAAAGAAGCTATCGCCGTGATAAGACGCAGTGAAACTGATAACTTTGTTGATTGCGGGGATTTTCTAAAACCCAACTTGTATTATTATACTTTAAAAGACGCCCAAACAGACAGTACAGACATTAATTTCTTTTTCGTGCAAAAAAGTGTTACAATCATGAGAAAATACGGGAAAAGTTGGCATTGTGGGAAACAGTCGGAAGGAATTCTTACGAATGTCTTAGTCATCTCACATTTACAAGGAATAACCTTCTGCGTAAAAGATGTTATGAACGCGGAGAAGCCGGGAAAAACGATTCTTCGATTTCCCAAACTCAGCTAAAAGTATTAACTATAAGATGAAGACACATAAATAGGCCTTTGTATTTTTTCCTGCAAAAAAAGTGCAATAATCGTGGGAGAGTAAAGAAGGCAATCTCTTTCTTGTCCAAACAGAAAAAAAAAACCGCAAGCAAGGAAACAACAACAACAACAACAACAAAAACTCACAAATGCTTAACCGTGATCTTTTATTTCCAAATGATATACGTTGGATAGAAGAGAGTAACGTTTTCAATTTTCCATTCTCGGTGATCTATGTTTTCTTACTTCCTTTCTTTGGTATCTAAGTTTTACCCAGTCTTCTCAAACGGAGCTGACAGGTCACGTGATGCTATCTGATGATGTTGACCGGGTTAGGTCCAACTTGTCTAAGATGCAGGTGTAGGATACAGAATTACGAATTTATTTTTTTTGCGTGTGTGTAGTGAATTGCGTCCCTAGCGTAAAATGGCCTAACGTAGACATCTAAGGGTCTAATAACGGGTCTTTGCGCTAATCTTCAATAAAGAATTTTATATTATGTGCTCAAACTCAATAACGAAATGAAAGCTTATGGTAAGGCCGTTGAAGTGTTTACATGACCTTCTCATGCCCTACACTTAGAATTATTTTGTACTCGCTTAAGAAATCAATTATTAGGAATGTTTCTTTTACACTGTTTTCCGCATTATTGGAGAAGAAGGAAGATCATTGGCATGCTAAGAGTTTAAAAAAAAAAATCCGTGAGATAGGATTTTTAAGGTAAACTTTATTTTTAAGCAATGGGGACTCGATATTTCTGCTATATATTCGTGGACGAATAGGGCGCTAGTAATGAAATATTTAAAACAAAATGTATCGTTGTTTCTTGAATCTTTATTAGACTTCAAGTGTTGGATGTTGTCCTTGAGTAGCATAGTGTTATAAAGTCTGACGTGTAAATCAAGTGAGGCCAGGTATGCTACGATAATTTAGTTTTTTAATTTAGTTTTCCGAGCTTTCACCGATCTACGGCATCGTCAGGAATGATTATGATGCCGTAGATCGGCGAAAGCTCGGAAAACTAAATTATCGTAGCATACATGGCCTCATTCGATTTACACGTCTGACTTTATTAGATTTAATTTCTAAGGTCCTCTTTTATTTATTCCTGTTTCGCCTTCGCCAAACCACATTCCACATTCAACAACGCTTTCGAACTGAAATTTGTGAAAAACACCCCCGATTTTGTTTTTGCTTCACGTTATGATTCAAACCTGTTAATCTTAACTCGCAAGGATGCAAATTTAGTTTGACGACCTTCTCGTCTTCTCTCATTCATTTCGGCCTACGATGTCTTTCCTTGATCGAAGATCACATGCATTGATGAGTTCATGCGCATATTCAACGTACTACTATCTAACTCCCCACCCCACCCCTCCAGCTCCCTCTCCCTCTGGTGTTACTTTAAAAAGAGGTCGGCCCTGAACATACCATGTAAACTGAGGCAAGTTCTTTTTTATTTTATCTTTGATCTCAGGTATTAAATGTATGCGAACCAACGCCGCAAATACGTGTGCCCTGTGCTGACGATTGATTTCGTGAGTTTACCTGTAGGAGTATTTATTTATATACAAACAAAAACGCTTTAAATTACATTCGAATCCTGGCCTGGTGAAAGGTTCAAGAGACAAGTTAATTATTAAATAAATAGTTTCCAGACAAAGAGTGTCAATTTACTTATTTTCTTAAATAAGTAAATACTCAATTTACTTTTACTTAAAAATGATCTCCATATGCTATGAACGACGATAGTCATTTGATGATTGTTTATTCCTTGGGTTATTAATTCTTGAAAAAATCTGCCAGAATTAACCGCAAATGCTGACGATGTTTAAATGACTCGTCGGACAGTTGATGGAATCAAACAACATTTATGGTTTCACACAAAGTCTGCTTCTTTATGGATATTCCATCTACACCAAACTTTTCCACACCATATTTTGCGTTAGAATCTTTTTGTTAATTTCTTCCAGGGCTTTAGAGAGTCGGTACAGAACTTCGGGTGACACACTTTTGTCGTTGCTGGGTTGAACACGTTGGTAGTTCATGTTAGAAGGCTTATGGAGTCCTCTGTTTGTAGGACACAACCCTTTAACCCTGCGCTGAAGAATTCTTTTCTTGGGGACTGCTGATAGCCGAACGATGGGCTCCGCGATTTTCTGCTGGGTGTTAAATAGACTGAATTATTAGGTCATTTTTCGAGATGCATGAAATCTCTGGCAAGGGTAAGGCTTTTAAAGTGAAAATGATGTTTTATTTTAAATCAAATATACATCATTTTTCTCAAGAATGATTTTGCACTTAGCGTCATCTTTAAAGTGATGGTTATTGCCATTCGAAAATCGTAATCAAGAAAACGAGAAAACCAAATAATCGCTCACTTGATGCTTCATTGAAAATATTTTCGTTTTTGCTGATTGATACAGTTTTACATTTGTTGTTTTGGTTCACCTTGATAATTGACCTTGATCGAGCTCGTGCTTCCCACAAGGTCAATTTTAGGCGGGTAAAAAAAGAAAACATCCTCTTTAAAATCAAAATATTAAGACCACCAACATAATTTGTTTTGTCTGAGTGTAAAACTGCACGTGAACAGGTGATTAAGTTCAGCTGTTATATCGATAACTTTTAACTCTGTAGATCACTTCAGTTCTTTGTACCTTGTTCCAAGTCAAAAGACCAAGCTAGGGCTGTGCCCCAATTTTACTTTTACGGTTCCAAGAAAATATTTTTACGGTTTACTTTTTCTACGATTAACGGTTAACATTAATCAATTTTTACGCCAAACGGCTAAAACTTAAGTAACTCGGCTAAAACTTAAGTAACTCCTCCTCGGGCGACTCTGTCATAGCCTTGGCTTCAGCGAAAACCTCCTACAAAGCGTGTTTTGCTCAATTTTTCTCTTAAAGCTTATAACACGCAAAACTGGTACAACGGAAAATAAATGAGTGGTGATCCATAGATTACCGGTTTGTACATAATTACATTATTTAGACCGTCTCTGGACTCGATCATGACATCATCGATTCCATTCATTTAACAAACGACCTCCCAACTCAACGCGGGGACACTCATCGGGGTTGATATTTTACTCTGAGTTGTTCTGTTTGCCTTAAGCGTTACGGAAGGCGCCAAGAGAAATAATTGACGAAAAACCTACTTTACCTCGTTATTGTTGTTGTCTTTGACATCTTTGTTAACATTGTTATTTTCATCAGTGGGTGTCACTTCGTTAAGTGGGGTGTTTTCTTTCGATAACGCTTTCATTCGCTTGCTCTCTAGTCGCCAGTACAACTCTGCCCGATACTCTGCAGAAAACAAACACGAATCCGCTAACAACTGTTTCACGATTTGTTTTATCCTGTTCAACATCTAACATTTACCTGAAAACCGTTTTCCCGCGATTTGTTTGACATCCTCAAAGACGTGGCCACACTGGCATGACTTACTGGACTTGGGGACCTGAGTGTTATAAAATTAAGCAAAGCATTGAGAATTTAGGACACAAAGTAATTGTTACGGCTTTCCTGACGTTTCGCAAAAGCGATATTTTGTGTGCGTTTTCGGGGTGCATCAATCATTTATTCTTATTCAAAGATCGGATTAACCATGCATCCTTTCTAAAGAGGGACAATCAGTCGATCACCTGATCGGGCAGTCAGGATGTCCCACGGTCGGTCAGTCAGTCAGACGTTTAGTCAGTAGGTCAGTCTGCCAGTCAGCCAGAAGTCAGTCAGCCAGTCAGCCAGTCAGCCAGTCAGACCAGTCAGCCAGTCAGTCAGTAAAGTGAGTCAGTCGGTCGGTCGGTCAGTCAGTCAGTGAGTCAGTCGGTCAATAAATCCCTGTTCAAATCCTTTTTTGGAGAGCTCTAGAGACTTGTCAAAGTATAGGACGAATGAGTGGGAAGTGTGAGAAGCACTGAAACTTTTCGTCCTCTCTTCCAATTTATTTGGTGTTCATGTCTCTTATAACTGCTTCGTAGGCTAAAAAAATCGTACGTAGAGCCCCCCCCTTTGTTAGGAAGACGGACTGTTTTACATAGGTTAGATGTTATCAAGAATATTCATTGTCAGCAAAAAGGGTTGAAATTTCAAAATGATGGTTAAACAAAGACGATTCCGCGAAGATAAAGACACCGAATTTCTGCTTCTTTTAGAATGATTCAAGTTCTGCCTTACTAGTTGACGCTCTCAATGTTTTAAAAAAAGCGCTTAGCTTTTTGAATTCCCATTAAGAGAACGCCCACGGGTATCCAATAAACTAAGAGGCACAATCTCAGGTCTAAACTGAAGGATGCCGCCTGACTTGACGCGAGCCGCAGACGACAGCTTGAGGAAGCCGCTAAAGGTAAATGGCACTGATTGTCGAGACTTTATGCTCCATAGGTGTTTGAGAAAAATACTAAGCCATTTAATGAAGAGGTCAGAAAGTGGTTTAGAAAAGGAGTCTTAAGTTGACGAGCCAATATGCGCGATCGACATGATATAAGCGCATATGGGCCAATTTTCCCCAGTAGAAAAGGAGCCTTTGTTCTCGCAAGGAATAGCCAGACTGATCTAAACGAATCCTTTTGATACGCTCACGTCGGTTCACAATGTTGATATTTGGAGCTTAACATCTGATTTTAGTCTCTCGAGAAAATTAATAAATACTATCAAAATTAAATATTTCATTCTAATTTGGTACAACTACTTTTGCTGTTGAATCAAGTTTCATAATAACTTACAACAAGGCTTAAAAGGGTAATCAGTATACCGTAAGTAGACGTGATATCTCAGTAAGGCAATGCTTGCCTGCCGGCGGCAAGGCGGTTATACTACATCAGTTGCACGTGAGTGGTACTTTAAAATGGCATCAACTTCGATTCTGAGAAGAACCAAGATCACAATTTATTTGAGAGAATAGTGGAAAAGTGGAGTATGAACGGTTACTGCGACGAGAGTGCAAAAAAAGAAAAGAGAGGAGGGCTCTTAATTTTCATCAGTTAACTTGTCTATCGTTTACTTACACTTGCATGCCGGGAATTCTACCGCCATGACTGTATCCTCTAGTTAAGAGGATCGTATCATCTTCTTTTTGGCTCCGATTCAGTCAAAATCAGTTTTAAGGGCCATTTCCCGGGTTCAAATATGTCAGCTAACTCTTATTGACTTTTCAGCAATGATTAAGAATCACCTTTTTCTCTGGGGCATAAGTCTATGACAATTACTTTTTCGGGCAGCATTTCATAATTGATTTTCAAGGACGGGAAAGAAAGGTTATAGCTACTTATCATGAGAAAACCAAATAATTTGTTTAAGTAGCCGAACGAAATATTCAGCGTTGGAGACACTTGACAACACACGTTCAAACCACGCGTTGATAATTACTTTCGAAAGTCAAGTCTTCCAAGGTAAAAATTATAGTGAATAAAAATATATAAATAAATAGAGAGAGGGGATGACTTTATTTGGTGGCTTAAGGAGATAACAGTGAACCAGGATTTTGAACAAATTAGAGTCTTAGAAGAATGTATGAGGTTTAACTTGTTGTGGAAACAAAAATTGAATCTTAACTCTGACTCGAGATCTCACAAAAGCTTTCAAGTTACGCAAGCCTATTTTAACGTGACAAGAATGCTTCGATTTTTTACCCATGTAATTAAGAATACACGAACGTGACATTAGTTGATTTACAGGTTAGATTATTTGCTGTCAGAGGGAATTTTGCAAGAGGTATTTTCTTCCTTCACAGCTGACGCCAAAACCGCCATAACTGATCTGATGCACTCTCAGACTAAATTCGTCTCTTGTCAGAGACAACGTACAACAGCGGCTGGTTTCAGTCTCCTTTACTTTTATGGTCAAACACGCTTTTATTCCTCTTTAGTTTCGAAGTGCTGAGGCTAAAAGCGGCATAAATTACGTCGTCTGATATACAAGAATTGCTACGTGTTACTGGCATGGCAAAATCAATATCTTAACTGCCAGCGAAAATTTTGGTTTGGCGTGGTGTAAAGTGCTTTCATATGAATTCAGCTCTTCGTTTTGTTGTAAAACTATACGATGTCAATAAAGAATTACATGCTGTGTCTGATGCTTTCGAAAAGCACGAATCTAAGGCGATGTGAAGTTATTAATTTTCGCCAGACAAGTTGAAGCACATGTGTATTCAAAATCGGTCGACAGAGGATAACGTTCGAAATAAATAATATGAACGATCTTTAAGACACAGTCTACTCACCACAGCATTACAGGCTAAACATTGTTGAACAGACATAGCGAGGTTATCTTCAACTCGCTTGCAGTCGAAACCACTGCTTACTTTCGCGATTGTAGCGGACCCGAGTCGCTCAGTGGGTATTTCAATTCGTGAATGTTTTGACCTGACTTCGTCCTTGCGTGGAGCGGATGGTAACACAACATGTGACGTCACTGAATTGAAAAACAACGCACGGAATTAGTACGATCTTTTTATTGCATGTAAATGGAAATCTAATTGCGGATAGCTCTGTTAGACGCGAGTGGTTGATATTCATGAAATCCAAGAGACAAGAGACGTGTTTGCTTCTGCATCAAATACTCATTATATCTTATGTCACGTTTGAACTTAAGTTTTCTCTCCTCGCAGAGCCTCACGTGCATGAACGATCTGTGAGTTGTGTAATGTTATTGCACATTACACATTAGCAGATATTTTGTTGCCACGGTAGCATGCGTCTACCCAACTAATCAAAAATAAGGGATTTTTATTTAAAAGAAAAGATAATGGTTAATTACGTTAGGGGATGTCTTAAGAAGTTTTTGCTGGAGAGATCTTTTTTCAAATTTAACGAAACCGTCAGCTTTCGGCTTTTTCCACAAACTATTTGCTAAAACTTTGATTCTCAATTTCTCTCTTTTCTGTCACATAGAATTCTTATTATTTAACCTTTGAAGAGGTACTAACTCATTAGTAGTAATTTGCCGAGCATAGCGCTCTTTAGCGGCATATGTTAAGACGCTTTTAAACACGAATACCCGTAAGACGTACCTTCCCCGACCCAGGTCACTAATAAGAATACACTTAATTGGATCTACTTATCTCTCAATTTCACTATGAGGTTAACCATCTTCAGATATGAAGGCCTAGATCCTTCTAAGAATATTTATGCGCTGCAAGCAAGCGTGAATTGAAACCGTCATTGTCAGTAACTTGCCTTGAGGTTTAAGTAATTCTCGTCCACACAATGCTCATACACTGACATTGATCCATAATTGCATGGAAGAGTGCTCATTGCACCAGAGGAGTCAGAGTCTATACAAGAGATTATAGTTATAGTCTCTTGATCTAAATTAAACCAAAGGTTATTAAATGATAGACCATATTACCAACTCAATCAGACTAGAGTTGAATTTAATTAACAGTTTCAGCTTTGTAAAAGAGAAAACATGGTCTGAATAACTTTTCTTCTTTCAAATTTTGACCCTGTACTTTCTATACACGTTTGGAATGGTAGACCTGGCCGAAACATCTAGAAACAGTATCGAAAAATTTCCCAAAATATGTTTAGTAATATACTATAATTTTTTTTTAATTTTTTAAATAAACTTAGGGCGAGAAATAGCTGCAGTGCTGTAAGATAATCACAAATTAATTACAGTATTATTAATACGAGAAAAATTAAAACAAGTGAGTAATTATGAAACTTTAGATGTGCAGGTGTGAAATAAAAAACTAAATAAATACAGAAAAAAAAATTGTAAAGGATAAAAAGAACCAGACGAAGGAAATGAGAGTCAACTTCTTTCGCAATTTTCGCGGAAGAAACGAATCACTCTGTTGAATCGCGTGGAAAAATTTGTTCCGGATGAAAATTATTTGCGATATGATGATTAAGAGCGCAGATTGTGTGAATTCAGATAAACTTCATAGCTGCATGACAAGCGCAGCATTATTTCGGTCTTGAGGCCAACGACATCATGCACGACACCAATGAAGCAGTTATTTGTGACGGGTCAAGGCAACCTTCACGGACTGACTAACAGCTCTCACTCTGGTGTAAGAAAAACCTGTAAAGGACATACTGTAAAGAACGTAATTTTTTCCAAATTGCGTTAATCCTAAGTATGAGCGAAATTGCATTTATCTTAAGTATGTAAGTAGAGAACTAGGAGATAATGAAAGGAGGAACTGAGGCGAAACAGTTTCATCCGCAGACTGAGGGGTCCAACTTTAATTAATCGTTCTAGAAACTGTAGCTTTGTGTTCATTGAAGGCCTCAAGCCTTCAGAACCACACCTATTCTTGAAGCTCGCAACCACAAATATCAAACATAGTCAAACATCTGTGATACCAATCAGTCACAACTCTAAAAAAAAGTGAAAATACACAGTTTCGTAATATGTCCTTTGCGAAGTAAAACTTAGTTTAGTGGAAGTGGTATTCAAAATTAACCTCGTTTTTCCCTTTTACTCCAGAATGTTGGATGGTTCTAGAATTCAGTCGGCATTTATTGTGACATAGCTCCATTTAACGTCATGTCCGTTTTGTTACGGCATAATTAATATTTCCGTAAACAACTGAGCTCAGGGTAAGGCCGCCTTTGGCGAGAATAAACAGAGATGTGGAAAGTTCGGGAACATGATAAACCCTAATATGATCACGATATTTGTTCTAATATCCTAGCTTTGATATCACTTTCACCCCACTTTTTCATCTTTACTGAGATTTCTGAGCGGCTATACGAAGTAATCCGGCTTCATCATTCGTAGTAGAACAGAATCTATGTGGAAACGAACAGCTCTTATCACAGACAAGGTCGAAAATCAACTTTAGAGCAAAGGAATAATTTGTTTCTTCATGGTTACTATGGTTATATTAGAGATCTTGTTGGTGGGCGAATTCAGTTCCAATTATAGTAAAGGGATTGTGTAGCATACAAGCCACACCTTTGCTTTGTGATATACCAAGGCCTATTCCCACAGGGCGTGAATAACGTCTCCGGAGTTGCGAGAGGTTTCAGAATACAGTGGAACTGCTATAGCCCCGGATTCCATTAAGTAATGATGACGGGAAGCTCCGCCGCTCGACCAAATTGTCGCTGTGTAATTGAAAATATTCTTTTATTAAAAGTCAGTCTGTAAAAAACTGGGAGGTGTTGAAGTGTCTTAAAGCATAACAAAAAAAAAACAGATATTAATCATTTTGAACCTCTATATTTCTTAATGCCACAATTTAAGGTCGCAATACTTCCACTGTTATAATAAGGGCTTGCATTATGGCCTTGGAAACCGAGAGAAAAATAAGTTTTTGTTTGATAAAATTAGAAGAAACCACAGAACGTGATAAAACGCCTATCAAGAAACTCACTTAGGCTGGGGTTCATTTCCAATTTGTCAAGAATTATATGGTATCTTGTCAGAGAATATTCTTTTTACACAAAATTTTCAGCTGTGTGGCAACACACCGTTCCAGTGGGAAACATTTTCGTGTGAATCCCAAAATAACTTTGTTTGCTCCAAAATAATCACAAAATCTTCCTGTCCATTATATTATTAGTGTCGCTGAATAGGATAATAAGCCACGTAGGTCCGGCTGAGCGACTGACAAGGTTCAACTGAGGGCTGTGATTCGCTCGATTTAATATTAAAATACATACAAGTTGTTTGCTTTCCCTTTATCTTGAGTCGTATATGGTCTATAAATATTCATTTTAAAACATCTTGCTTTCCCTTTACACTGATTCCTGTAACGAAACTGGTGTTTACCCAAGCTGTCGTTGAAAGCGCTAGAGAATAAATTCAATGCTAAAATGGTCAAACAGTTATTGATTCCTCTTGAAAAACCATAAACCTTAAATGCGACTAACTGTGAAAGAGCGAATTCTCTGTAGCTTGTAAATAAAATAAATAGGGACTAGTTAGCATCACCGGCCATTGAGATTTCTTTGCTGTGTTTTGTTTTCTGAAAATCTCGAACTCTTTGTTCGAATAGATTTCGAAACCTTAATCACATTTTATTGACAATCTTTTTCCAAGTAACCATAGGTTTCCCCGTTCATTTCTCTTTCGCTTGCCGCCTTAAACTGCCGATTGAGCAAGTTTCGTCGTATTGTCTTCAGAAATCTACTTAACGAGCATTTCTCGATTCGTTGTTTTGACATATTCTGTTCGCTCCGAATATTTTTTAAATACTGTATAAATTATCAAAATGTTATCTGTGTGCGTTTGAGGTCCACCGCTTCTGGGTAAAATGTCAACCACCCTGAAACGAGCGCGAGTGAATTCGAAAAAAAAAATTACTGGCATCTTCATTGGTTATGATAACTACCGTTTATCTAAACATGAGTTCATGACCCTGAAGGGAATTACCAGAGAGATGGAGTAAATTCATGTTCGTTGCTTACTACAGAATTCAGCGGAAGTCCACGGTTACAATTACGGCGGTCTTCCTTTTATAAGATTGTGTAATTGTAAGGGAGGATAATCTCAGCTATGATGAGAAAAGACGAAAAGGCACAATGCTCTATATATGCAACAATTTCGCTGTTAGAAAATTCGAAAAAAAAAAGACACAAATCAAGAAACATCTAGATAAGTTATCTGGTTATTGTTTGTCTTATGCAAGGTTCATCAAACTCCCAAAATATCTGTAATTATTACGTCACCAAGCGGTAAACGAACAAGATACCTTTTTTAGAATTGACGTCACGCAGTGAACACTCAACACCTATAAATGAAACGCTAAACAGCTCTGACGTCTTTATTGAAGAGTGAGAGCTATAGGAAGCTGATACAATAAGAAAACGTACTAGCCAGCCTTAAAGACATGGTTCTTCAACGGTGTCTTGCTTGTAATTTATTGGTAAGTGACGAGATTAGTAGTGAATGATCGATGTTTTTCATCACTATGCTAAATATAGCTATATAGTGTGAAACCTCTTTCTCTCTATTTCTCGATCTTGAACATTTTAACTGGGTAAACCGATTCCAGAATCATTGAAAACAAGCGCGAAATGATGACGTTTACTTTTTGTCTCGGAGTTAGCCAACAAGAAAAAAAAAAATTCTGCTTTAGTTTTCTACAGAACAGTTTCGTTGCTTCGTTGAAAATAATTTCTTGAAGGAATTGCTTGCCACAGCTAGCTTCAAGTGAGTCCAATGTCAGACATCATTAAGATGAGTGTGTTTTTGAATATTTTTTTTATGAAATGTTCTTAACAGCTGTTTACTAGAGAAATACTTTGAACCTTCCCAGACTGCGATCAAAATCTATTCGCCAAGAAAACGTCATATTTGAAAAACAAAAGTACAAAAATTAATGAAATAAAAAAAGGAGCTCGAGTGAGGTTGTTATGATGAATTGACTCTGAAGAAGACATGTCACGGGGTAAAATAGATAGGAGCAGTAAATTTTTACTGATAGGTGTCAATATCGAGGATCCACGTAATGTCTTAAACAATAATGCATCATATACTCTGCTTCTTAGGAGTCACAATTATCTTCGTACAGTTATCTCTAGTTCCCCTTAAATCAGTGCTGTCTTTGTTATGTCTTACCAATGAAACTAACTTATTTAGGTGTATTTAGCATTCTTTTAGATCTCTCAAGGATAGTTATATATACATCAGTAAAATAACGTAACACAAGAGATTATAATATTACGATCCCTTGGGTATTTTGATGGGAAATCTTCTGATCGTGACTTCCCCCATGTCTCCATGTAGCTATTGCGAAAGAAAACGTTTTATGATCCTTCCTTATTGAGGATTAGTTTCAGAGGTCTTTCCATCTCTCAAATTGAAGAAATATCAAACACCGTGTTTTAAATAATCATTTTTTGCCGTAAAATATCAATGTGCCTTGATTCTGATTTTCTTGGGTACTAATCTTTTCTACTCTACAGAGCTAGACAATTTAAAAAATGAAGTTAGAATCTTAAGGGCCGACTAACCCCTTAGGGTTACAGCAATTTACATATTTAAAGTGGCTCCAATTTACGTTTTACGTTGATGCTTTTCACCAATTTTCATTACTTATAAAATATATCGCACTTTTAATTTTTGGTCTGCAAAGGGCCGCAATTCTTTGAAGGCCTGTATTCAGTTGAAGCGTGTGATCGGAGTCTTACGTGTATTGAGTTTGAGCTTGAAAAGATCGCATTAAGCGATTTTAAAAAGTGATATAATATATACACAACTTATTAATTAGAACTTACTTGAGCTACAACTGACTTGATCGGTAGATAACTGGATCATCAAAATCATGCGTGTGTGGTCACGTCTTTGAGGACACGTCTCGTCACATTGGAGGAAAACGATATTCAGGTATTAAAACAATGTATTCCCTATTCCAGATTTTTCTTTTCCAAAATGACTTGTATGTGTGGTTAAGCCTGCGAAAAAATTTAACTTGTTCCAGGTCTTCAGTTGGTAATCAAAATCTTGACTATCTTGTGTTCAAAAAGATTCTAAAATTTCTCTGACAGTGATTGCGAATCATTTATGAAAAAATATCCCGTGTTTGTGACACCGCCATAAGGCAGTTTATTTAAAATGTCTTGGATGCCCTTAGGTCGTCTCTTTTAATAATAATTCGATTTCTCTGGTTTTCTTTCTCATATTTTGGTTTTACTAGAATATCGAGCCATGTTGTATTCTCGACTGGAATTTAAGAGACAGAAAAGAGAAGCCAGGGAAAGCAAAAAGGCGAAGGCATATCAACAGGAACCATCAATGAAACACAAGGTAACTGATTGACAAAAATTCTGATTGGCTTTTATAAAAAAAATATTTTTTTCGAGACTGAGAAGTCACCAGCGTAAACGTAAATGAAAATCCCCGATGATAGGTTGCAGCAAAATGACTCTGAGGCGATATATCAAAACGATGGGCTCTCGGTGAGCTACAGTCACTCGTGAATTTTGAACGACGGGAACTAATAACGGAAGTGAATTAGCAAGTCAGTCCTATTTCCAAGACATAGTTTGAAATTCTCCTCTCTAGTTGCTGTACATATCGCTTGTTTTGAATTAGTTTAAGGAGTTTAAAATAATAATGAAAAGGTTAAACTTTCTGACTGACAAGTTTGGCTGCTGTCATCACCTGTTTTCTGGGTAATTTATTGACGTTGTGAAGGAGTATATTGCGTTTAATTAATGATTCGTCAATTTTAAAGGATAAAGAAATTCCCGGTTTTAGTTGCAAGGCCGCTTTCTGAAATTTCTTTCTACAGGAACAAAAGGCTGTAACAACGAAAAAATCCCACTTTAAACCTGCAAGGCGACGAACAATAAGAAAAAGAAATTCAACGAAAGGGAAAATTGGAAGGACATCATCATCGATAGTGAAACAACATCCGGTCAAGAGCACGGAAGTTCCAAAAGAACTGTTGTCAAGATTTCCTGTTGCTCTCAAAGAAATAAACCGAAGACTTCTGGGACAAAACATGGTATGGATAGCATTGTGCAGTTGAAGAGTCCAAACTGTTTGAGGCACTGGCACGAAAGCGAACTAAAATTCACGCCAAGGAAAACAGTCTTCAGTGATGCAAGAAGACCTCCCGAAACCTGCCGTTTGGAACGCGTGGCAAGGATATGAAAATAAAAGCGCTTTGAAAACAGGAAGTCCAAAACTGTATGACACGATTCACGTTATTGGGCAAAGTTATTAACAGGAAAGGGAACATCAGAAATTCCTCTCTGTAACAAAACGTGAAGCTATTTTGGTTAAAGACTTCTCTTATCTTTTCAGGGCTATTTTAGAATTTGTAAATTTCCATTTTTATAATATTGTATTTCATCCAAAAATGGCTTCATATAGGTGAATACCTAAAACCAATATGTGCCCAGCAACTCAAGGATTTCTTTAAAGGTATATCACTTCCAGAGACTCTCTGGAAGTGATATGCCTTCATCACATTTTCGGAAAAAGTGATAAAGTAATCAAATAGAATTTTGAAGTGTTTTATCAGTAAAACTAATATCATTCAACAGAGGCCCATATCAAAACATTGTTATGCAAAAAGTAATGACGAGAAAGCGAAGTATCAGTTAAGCAGGATACCGTTTGATGCAGCACTCGTAATCTTTTCTCGAAAGTAAAATTATCAGAACTGTCTTACAGACAAAAACGAGAATAGATCCGTAGATTTGGGGAGTGAAAGAGTCAACTTATATTTCTGTTCACTCTTTTATAGCCGATCTTTTCATTCTCTATCCACATTGGTTTCCGATAAAATTGAAGCTGAATTGACTTCGTGAATTTAATATGTGTGTGTTGTTTCTTTATTCTGGTTTTTTTTTTCGTAAATGACGAGTTGGTATCAATATCACCATAATTGCTTATGGTTTCGTGCTGGGTTATTCCCCTGAGAAAGTGGAAAATGAAATGTGTTATTGTTAAAATCTGACTGGATTCCAACTATTTCGCAATATCGCAAGACCATAACCACAACTAACTTTTTTACGGAAACTTGGTCATCTTTACAAGTTATTTATTGGAAAAACAGCGTAACAAATGATACAAGAAAAGCAACACTAGATTGAGATATATATATCTTAAGTATTATTATACTTTACGTAAATTTCTAGATTAGTTTGTAACTTTTATTTGTCAATGAACCTCATTTTATTGACTTGAACTGAATTCAAATACCATAGGTTGATTTTACAAATTATTTTGTTTATTATTTCACATTTTATTAGTTAATTGTAGGTCCACATCAGCCTCATGGCTGGCTGCCACTTTTGTAACCTGCATCACTAAATAAAATGATTGATTGATTGATTGATTGATTGAGGAGCAATAAGTAATCGGAGATTTCTTCTAATTCTTTTCACTACCAAAACATCTTTCTATCGTTATTCCTTCTCTCTCTTTCTAAACCAAGTTACTCTCCACTTTTTCCGCCGTCAAGTTCTGTCTCCTTCCTGAGCGGCTCCTCTTTTCTCAAAATAGAACGATATTGGGAACTGAACTAAGTTTATCAGATGTGAACTAATATAAAAATACTACAGACGTTTGATGGAGAAAAAAAGCTATAAAAGGACAATCTTGCAGTAGAAACATCAAAACAATCCGTTTAAGAATTCTTTTAAAATAATGTCTGTGGTCCAACTTAAGTTGGTTCTTCCTTTCGGGCGCTGACATCTACTTTGAAATGCTTAGGTATACTTTGAACATCGCTCACAATGCTATTGTCTTTCGCGACATGTACTTACAATGCCCAGTTTATCAAGACGCAGCATAATAATTTGCATAAGAGATTTAACTTTGAGAATACTTGAGTCGCTTCGCAGATTTTACATTTCGCCTCTCCGCTTCAAAAATTTTTACTAATATCGAAGCGAGCATCGCGAAGTAAGATGAAACATTTCATAGTTACTAGTTACTCACCCAGGAAACGAGACCCTTATGGGATATTCGCCAAGTCAATTTCAAAACGTCATCGGCGCACTTGATTACTATTTATAAAGTAACAAGTTCATTATTATACACTGGATAATACGAATTCTGAGAGACATTTCTCGGAGATTTGTTCCAAGAAAAGAAGCCGTGAAATTCTCGTCCATTCGTCATCTCTAAGAAACGCATGTTAGTCCAATATTTTGTTTGTCAAAGCCTATTTTTTGTGCATCTATCGAAGCATTAACTCCCCTGCGTTGCTATGCAGCGTTGCGGATTTAAACATGTTTCTGCATGTTTACGTCAGAGCCAGATTCACCGGTCGTAAATTTTGTATTGTTTGGCTAAAGAAAATCAGTAGGCGAGACCCGACTACCTCCTACAGATTGGATGTAATACAGTTGTGTTTATTTTGAGCGATCATTTTTAAGTGTTCACTGAGCTAAATCTGTTGGCGGTTAAAACAACGGCAGAGTAGGGAAAACTTGATGTCATCGCCGATATTGGGTCGCTTGCCGAATTTAAGAATTACCTTAGTTCATAAGCTTAGAAAAAACGTAATTTAGTGTTAACAACTGGGTTGAAAACGTAAATTAGCCACCGTAAACTTACGTTTTCAACCCAGTTGTTAACACTAAATTACCTGCTATACTCTCCCACCGACGCAGCACCACAGTTTCTTTAGAAACTTACCCCTTTATTAGAAAAAACGTGCCAAGTTGTACAGTTTATTTTTTTATTCTGTATTGTACTTACTGTAGCATGCAATTTTTCTTTTGCATTTTGTAAGTGGTTGGTGTGTTGCCTAACCGGCTTTCACCGACCTAATTGAGATGATGAGATGATGATGACGTCATCAAAAAGCTATGCCTAAAAGAAGTTACAAAAATTACCCAGCTATGATGGCGTTAAGTGTTTGGAACAGGCTGTAAGTTCTGTAGCACCGACAGCATAGATATAGGAAAAAGAACAAGTCATTAAATTAAATGATATCTTGTTTGAAAATTTTAAGATCTTAGGAAACAATGACAAAAACAATAATGAAAATCAGGGACCATTACTTAACACTCTGCAATCTAGCTACCATGTGTTTTGCAAGCCTAGATTCCTTGTACTAAACCTATTACCCCAGGAGCGAAATGCAAACCTGTATGAACGGATCGCTTAGGCGATCGCTTACGTCTGTTGTAATTTTGTATCCGTCAGCATTGAAATACTCCTTTCTCCCCCATAGTTGCCGACGTGTCTTCATAGTTTTCATCGTCACAGCTATGTTGCAAGATCATTTTAACCGCGCGCTTAATGGCGACACTTTTTGGGCGCCAAATCTTAATTTCAATGCACAAAAAAATGGTCAACGAGAACTCGCTAGGCGCTGAGGTCGATTATTTCTAATTTTAATTACTGCTATCAACCAGAAATGCAAACCAAAAAAATTTCGCGTTGTAAGCACTTTAACCACAACAAGGCCACAGTTCCGTTTTAGAGTTCGTCTTAGCTTTGCTATTTTAACACTGGCCTTATTTAATAGTGGGCCACAGTGACGGGGGTAAAAACCCACGTCGGGCTAAACTGGTCTCAACCGCCGATCCATGTTTGCTTCTAGATAATTAGTCACGCGTCATGATGTGTCATCACAGGTCAGTCAAAGTACTGCTATTTGTGACACTGACGTCATGAATGGTTACCCAGTTTTCACGCGGCTTTGCATAAGGTTAAATATAATAGGATAACCAAAATATTTACGACTTGAACGTTTCCAAGCAGTGAATAAAGAGCGACGGAGGAGAAGGCGTGAAAACTTGATTCATTATGGTTCTTCAACAGTGCCTCGCTTGTAATAGTTTGGTAAGTCCCGTCACATTCTCGCCGTGATTCTGGTTTTGCAAAATCGAATTTTTGGTCGTTGCTTTTGAATTAGTGTGGAAGTCGGTGATGTGAATATTAATTCATTTCTTTGGTCGATTAAATAAACAAACTGGCAATTTCGCAAGATTTAACGTCAGGCTTACGAAATTTTCCAAAGCAGTCTTATAATGCGCTTAAATCCTTTAATCGATATATATTTTCTTTGCCCAAGGTGCGTACTAAACAGTAACACTACCAACTAGGTACAAGCCGCAAAATAATAACATTGATTTCCGTACGGATATTGCCTGTTAAAATGATACCGGGTCAGAAGCTCCCAAGAACTATGCGGAAGCCGACAAGATGTCTCGCTTAAGCCATCACCGATTCTGGAAGTGTTATTCCAGTTAACTGTAGAGGTCGGAATAGATCAAATAATTTCAGAGAAGTTCTTTCAAACTTCCGTTTAAAAGCGACCAATGCGTTTAAGTCAAATTTTGAATAAGGATAGGATTATTGCATGTAATCTATTGATGATCACGGTTATGGTGATTTTACGTTCGACCGAGTATCTGATGCAGGGATACGACTGTTTTAGCGAAGCAGTCTACTCGATCTATTCTCACGAACAAGTCTCTATTCCTCAGATTACAGAAACATCAAGATCATGTGTGTGTGGCCACGTATTAGAAGATGCGCATCGCTTTATCGGAGGCAAACGTTTTTCAGGTACAACTGAATAACATTCTTATAAAGTGCGAGATAGGACTTATGAATAGCCATCGGATAAATCAAAAGCTCAGGGAGGTTTCGTTTTTGTTTAATAATCTGGAAAATTCTTGTTTCTCTCAATCAATTTGTTCAGAATATCGAGCAGAACTCTGGAAAATTCTTATTTCTCTCCATCAATTTGTTCAGAATATCGAGCAGAACTTTACTCTCGTCTGGAGAGCAAAAGCAGGAAGAGAGAAGAACGTGAGATCAAAGAGCAAGCAAAACTCCAGCTTGGAAGAAAGGTATTATTTCTAAATATGCGACATGAGGAATTATGTAAACTACAGTATTGTTTATTTTCCGGATCTATTTTCTCGAAATCTCGAATCTCGGAAGACGTGACAGTCACCGGAGACGTGAGGTGAGCTCTGTTAGGAGGTCACGTTTCTACTTCCTTCTTCCTTCTAAGGAATATTATCACGGAATTAGTAAACAACCAAACACCGCTCCAGCAATGTGGGCATAAAATCTCTCGCAACTGGAAAATAAGTTAAAGGCAAGTTGTTGCGAGTTCATTTGGTGTCAGACAGCATTGCAGCTTACAGAGTAAACTTTGGCACTTGTTCGAACATAAGCATCTTACATTGTGTATCGCTAACTGTTTCCAAGAAACAAAGGACTGAAAAAACCAACCACAGGTAATTTACAGCTGAAAGATTTAGACTTTACGGTTTTAAAGTCTTGTGAGCCAAACGAATGAACGAGAGTTGGATGGATGATCGATAGGTGATGCATTTTGTGTCTTTTATGCTAATCGAGGACAAAGTACAGTAAATACATAGATTTAGTAGTAATTGCGTGGTGTAAATAGCTTGTTGAACATTTTACAATCGCTAGGAGGAGCGCCGTTGTGTTATTTGAAAAGTGCAGTGGACTTGAGGAGTTCGCTGCCGAGGAACAAATTCATCTGAGCGCCATAATGACCTCTCGACTTCAAATCCATTTCTCTAAACCGCAGGTCACGCTTTTCAAAAATGTAAATTAACTTTAATCGTCTTTTCGCAGAATATCATGGCAGGATCAGTGTCAGAACAACCAGGATTCAAACCTCCCGTGAAAAGAAAGCCATTAGCAGCAAGGAAAACAAATAAGAAAAGACGAGTGAAGAGGGGAACGTCTCGATTGCAAACAGGGCAGTCCGCAACTAAGCGGAATGATAGCAAAAGCAGTGTACCACCGGAACTTTTGTCAAGGCTTCCTGCTGCTCTGCAGGAGATTAATCGAAGAATACTGGGACAGAACTTTATGTGGTTAGCGTTACAACTGGACTGAAACGAAAACTCTTTTTTCGGCTTGCAAGTACAGAAGTCTGGAAAATTTTATTTGAAGACCGGAAGATGAATGCTAGGTGAATCTTACCAAGTGGCTTTAATAACAGGAAGACATCGTAATGGAAGCAGAACGTGAAGGAATTTTATGGTTTTGACCTGGAAAAGGCGGATGCGAAAAAGAATTGCTGATAAATAACCTATGGGCACAGAGCCAAATACAAAGTCATATTTTAGCTATAAAGCTTTCAGAGAAAACTGCCGGGGAGGAGGTCGATAGCGAGCTGATTCTCTCCGCAAACGGAAGAATCTTCGATTAAGTTACGCGAACAGGACCTACACAACCTTTTTGTTTTGTTGTAAAAACACAGCAAAGATATTATTATGAACTTTTATTTACATCATTTTTATTGAGGAAAAAATGTAATTTCTTTGTAATACAAAGTTGTACAAAAAGAGAATGATTGAACATCAAAATATCTTAAACCCAAAATAAAATTTTCATACAAAAAAAACTACCAGACGGGTGAAATACAACCATAACCGTAGACTTCACTACATACTTGACCGATTCCTAATCATGTCACACTTCTCATAATTGTTGCAGTAATTCGTAAACCAATCTCAATCTCTACACTCTTTGCCATAGATTTCTCATAATTTTAACTCAGAGTTTGGTGTTTGAACACATTCTTTCTTCTCGTCACCTTTTTTATTTTGAGGGGAAAAAATCACTTATTGGTCACAATTGGGAATGAAAGGGTTAATTTTTAGCGTGAAGCGGTTCATATAAAGCAAACAAATATTACGTTAATAATCCACTTTCTGTTTCACCTTCCTCGGCAAAAGCTCAGCAATATTGTTTTCTTACCATGACTTTTTGAACAAGTTACTACTTCAAGTTTACGAAAACCTTGGTGTTCGTCTAATGAATATAAAACTTCTTATTTTAATACTCGATTTAAAAAGGTACTGCTTTATTCGACATGCAATTCTTACATGTCAAGAAAAGGCAAAGCAGACGGAGAAGCGAAGCACGCGCAGCCGACTAGTTAAACGAGTTTTTTTTTAACAGTACAAAGTAACTAACTGTTCAAATATCGTGTGATATTTGTACCCGATCCGCACGTTATTTGCTCTCTACGTAGTGCAGTTGAATAGTTCTTGGATTGATTAAAAAAAAATCCCCTGAACTTAATTTTAATTTCATTTATATTTTAAACCCTTTATCGTATCGTTACTGTGTGAACAAAACATTACTGTAAAAATATGGAATCTTGTAAGTCTACGACGGATGACCCTTGAAATTGATAAGGTTAAATACCTTTGCTATAGGTGTTGTTATATCTCTGACGAAATTCAACCGAATTAATTGAGATATAGGAATATCTTAAAATGGATCCCTCCGTTCAGTGGCGACCTCGAGAGCTACATCACCAATCCGTTAAAAGTCATCCACCTCAAGTCTTAACCAGTGGATGCCACTGAGCGATGGGTTTCCTCGGAGTTGTCATCATACAGTTCCAATGATGTAAGCCAATACTTGTCTGTGCATCCGGTCCCACGATCGCCTTGCCAATGGTTTTGGTTTGCGGTCGCCTTCCGTCCTCTGTGTTAGTGTCGAGCATGCGCACTAGCAAGCTAACATCACTCAGGCGATCGATTGGGACGTCAAATACAAATGCCTCGTTGTACACCGGAGCTAAGGTGTTTTTGGCCACAGAGGTCTTTGTTTTCTTTAATTGTCGACCGCTCAACATCAATGAAACTTTGACAAATGGATCTAAAGAAAAAAAAAGAAGATAAAGGATGGAAACAAATATTTCATATGTCATCAAATGAAAATGGCCAGCGTACAAAGAGGCTCTCGATGGGGTTAACCGTTAGACGTAAAACATCCAAAAGAATTTAGCCGTTTGGCGTTAAAATTGTCAAATTTTTACCGTTAGTCGTTAAAAAAAGTTAGTGTTAATCGTTAGCTGAAAATGTTAGCTGAAAAAGCCATAATTCCCTTGAGACACTTGAAGATGTGCTAACATCTTAACCTGACTCATAGTATTGCAGGACGGTAATTAAAGAATCCGTTAGTCTTTTCTCTCTCTCTAACTAAGCAAGAGACTTGGTGCGCAGTCAGCAGCTGTAATCTAACATCTTTATAGCATTTCTAAATGACTGTCGAAAGTTGTTGATATTGGTTGACTTTTGCTTCATTGTTCTCTCTGATTGGTCTAGAATACTCGTGTCACATTTTCAACCAATCACATTTAAAACTAACATCAAGTACGACCTGGTCACTCGCGTTTTTCCCGCGCTTCAGCTTCATGCAGTTCTCATTGGCCCTTGTGAAACTGGCCTTTGTTATAACTGGATGTTTCTGGCGATTATTTTCGTTTTGGAGAACGCTCTCTCATCAATGCCATTGGAAAATTAAACTTGAAAATCATAGGCCGACCCAATTCAAGTTTGCTCCAACTGATATAAGTGTCATTCACAACGCTCGAGAATCAACTTGCTTGGTTTGTTGTCGTTTACATCTAAAAATCTGTTCCTCGACTGATTATTTTAATTTGTCAGAATTAGCGAACATAAAAAAAGTTCACTTGAGCAGCTTCAGCAAACTCTTTCAAGGTCTTTAAGCAGCTACATATTTTTGTAAAAGTTTTTATTTCTTGTTCTTCTTGGCGCATTGCAGTGCATTGTATTGGCCTTTGGCTCATATTGTGTCCATAGCAATTTAAATTGAGTAAATATTGACAAAGGGCGATTTATGTTAAGGTTAAACAATATTTAGAGTGGATATTCTTTTGGCATCGTCAGAAGCAGATCGTTATTTGGCAAATAATATTTTTTAAAATTGTCGAGACCATTTTTATTGTTGTTTCTCTGTATTTAGCCCTTACGCTAAAAAATTGTAAAAAAAAAGTTTTACTTTAAAAGCAAATGTCGCCAAGAGCTTTTGCATGGGATTTGGCCAATAAGTTAAATATAATACTGATAATAAAATCCATACACTTTGCACTAAAACAATTTGCTCTTGTAATAAAGAATATATTGTAAAATTCTGCTAACGGAGAAATTGTGAAATCTGCTTTTGTCATTCATTCAGAATTTTCTAGTTTTCTATCGAAAACTATGAAAACATTATGAACGGCTTGACATAACAACTACCACGAGTGCGTATTGTTTGCTGTTTCGCGAGGCGTATCCAAGCACATCCAAATCTAATTTGAATTGGAAATTGGGCTGTCGATGAGTAAATATTCTGAATTCAGAATGAAAACACATCCGATTATTTTCCTTTCGTAATTTAAAGAGGTGTTTATTCAAAGGTAACGCAACACACGAAGTACAGTAAGTTTTTTAAATACCGATGGAAACCGAAATATTAAGGTTTTGAAATTTGTATTTGGTTCAAAGTACAGATGGAGTGTTAAATATCTGTACAGCGCATATGGCTGAAAAAACATCCAACGATTCAGAGGACAACGGAAATACATTTGAGTCTTTCCAACCGATCGAGGAAATTGATATTCATGCGCCGATTGTTGGTTATGAAGTGGTGGAAGCGAGAAAGAGATTCACAGTTTATCAGATCTTTGTCCAACTTGGAGGCGAGCGAAATTGGCATGTTTTCCGAAGATATTCCGATTTTGTCCGTATGGACGAAGCATTAAGAAAGTTATTCACGGATTTTCACGCTACCCTTCCGCCTAAAAAATATTGGGGCGATAATTTTGACCCTTCTTTCATAGAAATGAGAAAACAAGGTTTGCAAGAGTACATCGATAATGTGTTAATAAGGCAGGAAGTTATTACCTCGCAACCGGCGGCGGAGTTCTTCTGCTTCGACGATCCGCCCGGACCTTATGACAGTCTTGAGGAGAGCCGCGCATTCATTGAAACGTTGGAAGACACAGTAACCGATATGAGAACCAGGCAAAGTGAACTACAATCGGAGATTAAGCTGGTCAAGTCACAGCTTCGCCAGTCTCAGGCTCAAAAACAAGCCTTGTTGATAGCTTTGCGCTCCGAACGCGTTTTGAACGGAAAGCCATCACATGATGACGACGATGCGCAATTGTTGTCGGAATATACACGGCTGCCGGAGGTGGCACAACTTGACTTTAAACTCTTTTCGAGGAGTAGCTCGAGAGTTAACGGAGAACACTCAAGGCAGCAAACGAATCGTTTGAGATCAAGCCGGTTTCCAACTTCAACAGCAGCAAGTCAGTGGGACATTCGAGTTGAAACCACCGAAGGGTTGGCAAAGCGAACATCGCCTTTTACGGGCAGGCGAACCCAATCTACTTCAGATTTAACACATTCACAAAATTACAGAAAGCGAAACGTGTCACATTTGCCTTCGAAATCAGGCAGTCGTGGTAATTTGACTCTGTTAGACAAATTCATGACACAAAGCACAGACGCATTGCAGTTTATAAGGGACAGTGTTCGACAGAAATTAGGGCCAACGGAGAACACCGAATCTACTGCCGCAACTGACAAATGAACTGAAAGCAATTTTCAGTTCCAGTTCATGTTGTGCTGAAAAGCGAAACATTTGATGCAGAGAGAGAATCTTTTTGAAATCCTTATTTAAGAAATTTAAGGAAAAAGAATCCAGTACGACCGGCCAATAAAATAATTATTTCGGATATTACTTAATTTTCATAGAACACAACAAAATATTAACATGACCGACAGTGAGGAGAACCGGCAGAAGTTATTTTTAAGATATGGAGATTTCAATACGTAATACGGTGTAAAGAGATCAATTACATTTATTTTAAAGATTACAATACTGAAAGTTCTACACGATTCAGAACGGTTCAGAACGGTTCCTGAAAGTGGCTGCTATTTGAAGTGTAAAATAATAGATTCTTTTATGGCCACAGCATCCACAAATGCCAAATAAAAAGAGACTAATTATTCTTTAATGCAAATATTCAGCTCAGAAAGAAATCAGTAGACTAGAAAAATAAAATTTGAGATGTCTACGTGATGTGGATTTTGTTTGCTATTATTTTCCCTGAAGGTGTTGTATATTGATGAAGACAGGACATAATGAAGACCTATATAAATGAAGAATCTTGCACAGAAACAGTTAAGCTCAAAGCCTCTTTTGCAAGTCCACAGCTGGTTTTTTTTTCTTTACTTAATTTGCAGGTGTAAATTCGTGGTAATGATTTGAAACTCGAATAAATTTCTTGTAAACAGAGGCTTATTGGCTTTGGGGAAAGCTTTAGGGGTTACAAAAAATTAAAAAAAAAAAGTCACTTCACAAATTGAACACTCCAGCTGAGCGGAGTTCCATTAGTACTTAATTCTGCATACAAAGGCAGTTCCCTGACTTTGGAAGATAATTGCAAGCAGGTTAACAAACAGCTCGAACAGAGAACGAAATCGTTAAATTTGTTTGAACCAGCGAAGCACGCATGAATTCCGTCGAACAAAAGACCTGTGGCGAAGAATTAATACCTGTATAGATCTGACAAGACACTATTTAAAATTTAAATTACTGTCTCTACCTTTTAACAATCCATTAACTTTGCACGGAGAAAACCATTTTATTTTGAATTATATGCTAAAATAGCCAAAGACTTTCCTCTAATCGAAGAAAAAAGGTTTCGGTAAAATTTCCGCACAGCCCGATACTACATTATACATTCAGTTCTTGAATAGAGAAACAGTGACAAAAACAATACGTTTCCATTGGGAAAACAGATTTGTTTTACAATTGTATGGGGCTGTACGGAAACTTTACCAAGGTTTCCTTCGCGTTCTGTCTTAACTGGAGTCTGAACCACCTCGCTCCCGAGCTGAAGGGAAATTGTGGAAACGAGTTTAAGCTCCATGAATGCAATCGCGCACGGTGCGTTGTCCTGTGTGAATAATTGCATTTTTGTGACAGCCCTGCACTTCAATAAATATAGTCAGTTTTCAATTCAAATTCTAGCGTGCTCGAACAGCAGAGAAGACTACTCTTTTAAATCAAACACTAATCTTTTTCCAACTGAAATACAAATTGTACTCACGTGGCAAATCATTTGGAAATGAAGTTTTCGAAAGCCTCGCTTTTAGGACAACAAATGTGAGTCTGTTGGTGGTGGGAAGGTAACAAAGTGACACTAGCACCTCCCCTGCACGGGATGGACTATCCTCCTTGGTATGGAAAGAAGAATAAAATCAGTGTAACGAAAATGAGCAACACTTGAACAGACTTTTTTTCAATGAAAAAGAAGAAAAGTTCGATACTGCGAAGAAAAAAGCATAGTTAATGGAGTTACAGAAACTTCAGTTCTCGAAAATTTCTGCTCGTATTATGGTGCGAACCACAAACAAACCACAACTCGGACACTTTACGTCCCAACTCAGTGACAACACGATTAAAAAAAACATATCGCTCCCGGGTTTTTACCATGGAGGTGTTATTATGAATTAGACTAATGAAGCCAACATCCACACAGAAAATTGGTCCTATTTTTATCAGTAGGGTGGGGCTGTCAGTACGTAGGCGCCTAACTTCAGTTTGTTTGCTTTAGATATTAGCTTCAAGACTGGCCATAAAAATGAGCTAACAAAATGAACATCTCACCTTTAACAGAGACGCATCTCTCATGATCTCTTTGCATAATGCTACTCCTCCGTACTCACTCAAATGATCATTCTCGCCAAACGAATAAAAAACTTCCCCTAGGGATTGATGTCGCGAAAATCCATCGTAACTAAACACACAGCACTGTAAGGTGCGCTCAGCAAGTTCCGAAAACGCGATATCAAACACGAATTCTTCATTGAAAAAAGGATTGCAATTAGAGTAGTGTACTTTAGTCTGGTGCTTTTCAACTCTGTCGGGTAGCAAGTACAATTCCACGTAGCTCGTACTGTGAATAGTCGGCAAACCGTACGCCGCTAACACCAACACTCGTAAACATTCCTTATCAGTATCGTAGTTTATGTTAAACTCCAACTTTCCAAGTTTAAGACTTTCTTCGCTGCTGTCTGATTCATTAGCAGACATTCGGTTGTTGTTTTTATGCAACCACGAATCGAAGTCGATTTCGGACACAGAGCTGTCCGATCTCATCAGAGGTTGATGCCGACGTTGTCGGCGACCCTTTTTAAAGTCTTGGTCGTCCGGGCTTGACGCACGTCGCACTGGTGCACTATTTGACGACGGTTTTCTGGCGACGTCGGTCTTAGTTCCGGTCTTGGATCGGAACCATAGCACCTTATACAACAATATTATAAATATTGCTAATAAAAGCACAGCACAGATGGCAGCGAATCCAATAGCAATCCTGATCTTGACTCTCTCCCCTGCAAAATAAAACAGTTGTTTGGTTGCTTCTTCATAATTGCAAATCAGAAAGAACTAAGTTTATCACTCAAGCTACCATTCTCGAAGACAGTCAATTTCTGCTGTAGTTGAATACAAGATACCGAGGCTTCATCATTATGAACTTGAGCGGAATTTTCATTTGGAACTGAGTTAATTGATGATCGTTCGATCATTGATATCAGGAACATTACATTCCGGCACGTTTGAAGCGAAGACGTTCAGAAATCTAAATTTCACAGGCATTTACAATGCTGGCTAAAACTATCAAAACTATGCAAAGCGTGGTGTAGAACAAACAGTCAGCAGAGGGAATTTTGACTATTGTGTAGGAACAAAATAAAGTTGAACAATACAGGTAGTCCCTACGATTCAGCCGTTACAAATGCTATGTACTCGCACAAAAAATCGTTTTAACGGACTTTTGTGAACCGTGACAAACCGGTACTAAAATTTATTCATTTGTCTTTAGATACCAAAACATATCAACATCTAACAGTCTAAAATTTCGCCTCTTTTTTTCTCTGAAATGACTGGCTAAATTGCACGCCCTTTATGATGTAAGATTTCTATGTCTTCTGGTCTTTTAAAACAAAAGTTCGATTGTTCATATTCATTCCTAATTTACATTAAGAGGCATTGTTACTTATCTTGGCGGGAACTTATAACCTCTCAAGTTGGAACGAGCATATTCGCGGGACTATTATTTCCTGGTTTGGCCAAATACATACATAAAAAAAGAACTGCATTTCACTAAAATTTTCAAAATACTGATATGTATTGACAAACAATTCGTCTACGAATTCGAAGGCCCGAACTTAAGAAAGAGATCAAGTACAAGATAATTACAGTACGTGGTGAACTGACAATTCCGAAGCAAATACACTTACAACTATGGCTGAAGAAGCATTCGTGAACCCCGACAAACCAATAATAATCTCCACTATTCAGTATACTGAAAAAACTTTAACATGGAAAAATCGCTTCAATTCTAAATCAAAGAATACCTCTGGCCAACTCGTGCTTCAGTTAAAGTACTTAGTCTAGAGATGAAACATGGCTGTGATCTTGTAATTATTGGCCTTACAGGAATGCAAGGTTGCTCTCATCTCAAAAGCCAAGCTTCTGAAAAAACCACGGAGTTCCACAATTATATTTACCATTCAACTCCGCAGAATAATAAATACATAAAAAAATCAACAAAACAGCACAAAATAGTATCTTGCGTTTATCGAATTCCCGTTTTGCGCAACGTCAAATTTAGGCGCTGCAATCCAAATCTTTCTTTGCCTGCGCCAGCCAAATTCCTCTATTCTATTTTTATGTCACGTTTCGCCTCACAGTCGCTCAATAAATATTGGCATTGTAACGCAATGATCTTTGTTTACAGGTTTTTCTCCTTCTTGCATCTGATAACAAAGCTTTAAGTTTTCTGCCTCGGAACAAAAATACTTCAGAATGCATTTCATGTGACCGCAATTTTTCTTGATTGATTGAAATTTGAAATATGCAGCAATGAATTCCACAGGTTTTCTTTTGTCACAAAGCACAAGATTATTTCTGTTCGCCTCTGATTGTCCGGCCGCTAATATTTTCATGAGATAATCGAATTTAATCACAGTTCTTGTTGTACATCAGATCATGAACAATCGAAGCGATTCACAGTAGTTTTTTGTGTCTGAACTCGAGAAATTTTTGTTCATTTGGAAAGTGATGTTTAAAGCAACGATGTGTGGTATAAACTGTAACAAGGCCTCTATCCTTTTATACTAGGTTGCAACACCAAAATGGTTTCGTGCTCGAGCGAGTTCATGACGCCGGCTAGTTACCACAGTATAAACAGGGTGAGGGAATGACTCATTTGCACATTAGAGTCCCCCACAAAAACTCGTTTGCATGAGTTAAAAATGGCTTGGTTTTTTTCGTAACTGTTCAGGTTCGATTTTTGACGACTATTCTAAATTTATACTATTCAACAAAATTTGTTCTGAAACAAATTACATTTCTGAACATGACATTAATACTTTGTTTCGACCTCCGTGTTTGGGAAGAAATTTATTAAGAGGCGGAGGGCCAAAGTATAAAAAACCCAACATACGTGGGAAAATTTTGTGAAAAATGTCCACATTATGTACCGAGTGACTGAGTATGAGCACCGAAAGAAAAAACATTTAGTTCGAGGTCATGACGTACTGACCAAGAGTGACTTATGACCAAAAGCCGCATAATTTCCCGTCCGGCTTGATCAAATTCAGTCGATAAGTATTCCTTATGACCACTGACCTTTATGTTTGAACCTAAAGATATGGCGCGGTTACAAACTTGAGAAGAGTGCGCGCAGGACAACTTCAAAAAGGATTCTACAATGACAACTTTTCTTTAATTCCTTCGGGTCAAGACGAAAACCGCACAATTCATCGAAAAAACGAGGCTTATTTCCACCTTACTACTTTAGGTCCATCACAGAAATTGATGTTCTAAGGAAAATATAACAGAGCTAGGTGAAATTTCCGCACAGCCCCATACTATTTTAAAACAAATCTGTTTTCCCAATGGCAATGTATGGTTTTTGTTATTGTTTACTCTATCCAAGAATTGAATGCATAATGAAGTATGGGGCTGAGCGGAAATTTTACCACAGAGCTGTTTCTCATTATCTTGTTGGGGCCAAGCTTTCAAAAAGTTATATCCTGAGGATTAAATATTATTTTACTTCGCAATTGGAAATATTATTTGTACCATATAACTAGTTACATACCAACACCAATTCACATCACACAACCGAACTGAATGGACCACAAGTTTGACCATCACCATGAAAATAGAACCATATTCTCAGAGTAAAAGAAGATCAAGAACCTTGACCTGACCTCCCTCTAGGAATCTGACTTCTCCCTCTAGGAGTCGTGAAAATTTCGTAATAATGAATTTTTAATTTGGTTGCACCATCAAATTAAGCCATGTGAAGCAGTCGGCATCATCCTCTATTTCACACTAATCTCATTGTTGTAAGATAGAACAGGCGGGGTTCTCTTAAATAAACATTCCCTGTAATTATCTGAGGGAATCCGTAGTATTTGCTGTTACTGATTATTTTCCAGTAAAGGCATTAAAACTATCACAAAAATGATTTCCAGTGGAGTGCAATTTGGGCAAGAAGTACGAGATTGGTTAAGAATATATGAAAGTCATATATTTGAACTGCGGATAGAGACGTGAATGAAAGTGATCCTCGCAGTGATGTGCACTACTTAGGCAGCAGTGAAATCCCGTACAGGCCTGAATTTTTTTCAGGCCTTATTTTCACTGCTGCCTAAGTAGTGCACATCACTGCGAGGATCACTTTCATTCAAGTACGAGATTGTTCATAAAAACATTTCAGATCTATGCAAATGAAGTCAAACTGGGGAACAAAATAATAAGGAATTTGTGATTCTTGGAGGAATTCATTTCTTTTATTTTCCTCCAAGTTGAGCAGCAGGACATTGATCTATTGTTAATTTCACCGCATGTGACCTTTAGTGCTGGTGACCTTTTCGAACATCGTTCTACATGGACGTGAGAACTATGCTTTGCGCTGATTTCCAGGGGTGGTCAGTAAACAAGGAGGAGCGTTAAACCCTTCTCAGACGTGAGACAAAGCAATAAAATCACGTAACGCCCAAAAGAATTCGAACTTCGACTTTTCGATCTCGCAGTCGGCTGCTTTAATGACAGAGCGATTGACGAAGGGCTAACGCTCGAAACGTCTGCTTTTTAAATTCTTTACGGTGGCCAATTTGTTATTAACTCAGTTGATAATTCTAAATTACCCTGTTATTCCCACTTATACATCTGGCCGCCCTTCAAAAGCTTTTGTCCTTTGTCCTTTCGAAACAAAGCACAAAGAAGTGCATCATCTTTGAAATATCTCAAAGAAATCTAAAAGTTATTCCCCTGATGGAATCATTCTTAAAATTTTAGCCGAAGTCACATTATTTCTACTGACCTCCAACCTTTTCGAACCACTTCAGACATAAACCATAGCATGCAAGAGTGATGTTTTAATTAAGCCGATAGAGCGAATCCTAATGGGGATTGTTCATCACAAACAACAAAATTACGTATGCATTATGGAGACCTGCTTAAATGAATAATTAACTTAACGTGCAAACCAAAAGGTTCATAATGTGTTATGTTCCTGGTTTATTGAACAACTCTTACCATAATCTATGTTGAAAAGGATCGAAGTCTTGCAGAATCGAGTTAGACAGTATTGATGGTTTGGTTAAATTTCGGACGTGCCATTTGCTATCTTAATCGATTCGAAGTTTCAACACTTAGCAGTCGACATGTTGATAAGATACTGCTCACGATAACTTTTGAAGTTTAACCAAGTGAGGTACTTTCTGCTCTGAGCGGTAAATCCAACAATTACCCCATGATATAAATAAAAGAAAGTTTTTAAAGTGATAAAGTTTAATCGATCACATCATTTGTCGGCGACTTATTAATTCACTGTGCTTTAAATAAGTTATCTTCTTTGGGTTTCAAACCGGATAGATACTTCAAAAGGTAAGCGAAAACATTGAATAGCGACAAACTCGAAACGAAAGGCGAAAAAGAAAAATTTTTTCAACCGAACCACAAGGGATAAAATTATACCTCTGAAAATACTTGACGATTACACTTAAAAGAGACTTAATCGTGTGACGTACGTTTAAGAGTTTGAAGTTCCTCTACCTTAAACAGATTTATTTGCATGTGTGGCTTTGTCACAGGTATACTAACCTGAAACGGTATCTTGTCCATTGGAACCTTCATCATTCACGTAATAATCCAATATTTGGCGAATTTTTTCGCTCTCGTCGGCTTCAGTCATCGAGTCTCCTCACGTAAATGCAAATCTTGGGAGGTTTTGTTCCTCCTTCGTCGAAGTTCGCTATAGCCGTTTAATGCAGGCCAAATAAAAGTTCGATCATCTGTTTCATGTTCTAACCCGAGGGTAAAGCGTGTGTAAACATGCCACACACTATTCGGAAAACGCTGAGGAGCAGAAGCAAAGGCAAGGCCGAGGTGTAATTCCTCCTCATAGATTTGTATTCATCACTTCGACAGGTCTAAATCCCGCTTTGTCGTGCATGAGGTGAAGGGAACAATACATTTTTCGAATCCTTTCAGAACCGTCGCGATATGAATAAACATGTGCTCTGATTGTGGTTTCAAATACATTATCTCAAACAACAACTACCTGCTCGGTTGAATGGCTCACAAAAAAAATTGGTTCTAATGGAACAAACCTGTACGAAAGAAAATCTTGCAACTTCTTATTCACAAACTTGATAAAAGTTGGGGAAGGAACAACCTTTTATAATGCAAAGGGCAAGGACAAAAATTTAGCAAACCAAAGGATTGAATAAACGTGAACAGGGGTGGGTCACAACTGTTTACTCGGTAGGGCAATACACGGAAATTTCGAGAACTCCTCCACTTTTCTCAAACTTTCTTCATGAACAATGGAAACCAAAAAAAATACTTGTAGTTAAGGAAACAAAGCTGCGAAAAAAAATAATTTAGCAAATTTGACAATGCAAAATGATCTACGTAACTTTTGCATAGGGATTACATAGAGTTTCCCGACATAATGCCTTTTCATTCTCTAAATCAAGAAGGTGCTTAAACTGAAAATATGCGACAAATAGAGGTATTTTTGAGGCATGATAAATATTCAGGTTGACAGTGGTGTAAAAACGTGCTTTCTTTTATGTTATAATCCTCAATGCGATCAAAGGAAATTTACGTCTACAAACACAATACTGACTTTCACTTAGCACGACTAGTATTCGCTTCTTCTACGAGGCGGTACTTATCCCTCTTGCAAATAGGTATTATATGGTCGATGTATTTATTAACATTATTCCTTTCGTTTATCTTGATTTTTCCCACATTTTGTAAAATCTGAAGAGGACATAGGTAAAGAATGTTGCTGTTGTTGTTTTAAAAACAATGCTTAAGCAAAACTCTAGGGCAAACTTAGTGTATTTGGAGTAAATTCGAACATGAAATATTGTAAAAGGACGTAAAAGGTTAAGTAGAGCAAACAATCAACTTTGAATGATACAAAGAAAGCGTTTCTTACGGCGCAAACGCAAACTGAAGCATTAAGGAACGGAATTGTAAGCTAATGACCCTGAGTCTAACCAATTGTGACGGTTGGAGAGTTCAGAGTAAATCAAAAGTGTAAACTGATCAGTCAACTGTCGCTCCCATCTTTTTTTCCATTACCTTCATGTAAAAGTTTATTTGATGTCAAATGTCTCAAGACATGCTGCGATTTACAGCCTTAAACACCGTTAAAAATCCAAAAGCGGAGGAATTGTGACAAAGATGGCGCAGAATTGAAAATATATTTTTAACCCAGCTTAACAAGAGGAACATTGAAACTCGTCATCATCAATTTTAGAGAGCTCACATCATTACCGACAGGCGCCGTTTTCTTCCCTACAGTTACACGTTTTCATTTACCTTTATGGGTCTTTCCTACCAGTTGACTTAAGTCACGAGAATTCTGGGATCTAAAATGGGCAAGCACCGACAAAAGTATACAACTCGACCCGATATGAATGACTAGCGTCTTAATGAATTGAGCGCGAACCATTCCGAACGTTGGGTCTATGAAACAAACAGAGTTAGTTGCTGTAGTACCTTCGAACACGCCCTATAATTAAGGACAAAAACAAACGTTCCACGTCGTTAACACTAAATTTTAAGTCTTTGACACAGTGTGCGGAAACGAATTAAGACGAAAACGAGAATTTAAAGAGTAAAAATTACCGCAAAAATTTTTCACTTTTGTCGCTGGTGTCAACACCTATTTTGCAAACAGTATAATTTACACCTGAGTGGATGAGAATTAGAGACCTGAGTGGTGGACTCGCGGCGCTAAAGAGCTGTAAAATGCCAACAAAGGAATAATTTCATAACGAGTGGACTGAAAACAAACATCTCCGGTGTAGTTGATAGAGCATCCTTGAGTCATCCATCATGGAGTTTTCAGTTCATTCCGCGTCTAAAACTCAGCCCGTTGAGATTCCTGTGGGCAGTATGCTCCCTTCAGACAGTGAGCACAGCGGAAGTTATGTCTACACAAGAGCCAGCAGCTTTGACTCGGCTCTGCCTCGAATAAACGCCGAACTTCATCTTCCAAACCAACAGGAACCGAGTAAAAGCTTCTCAGAGTTTCCTGAACTTGGTAAACAAACGAGAAAAAGTGGAGACGGTTTAGAACTACCCGACGTCCAAGGATCTAAATATTTGGTGTCGTTTTCAGACTTAAGACAGCTTGAGAAAACTGACACAACAAGGAACTTGGATTTTCGCGAAAGATCCTTAAAGGTTTCAAAGCTTCTGCAAGATCGCATTTGTGTGCTTGAGAACGAGTTACAGAAACAATTAACAGCTGTTAAAGAAACCATTCATCAAGCAGAAATCGTACAAAAACAAGAAACCACTACATCGCGAAGTGGGAAAAAAAGGCGCGATAAAGATTCAGCAACTCATAGACAAGGAACTGAAAGACAAAAACGTTCCGTTCAGCGTAAAGATTACGAGATAAAATCACGAGAGTTTACTGGAAAGCGACTGCAGAAACCAAATAGTGAGTCCTCCATAAGTGAATCCGCCGAATTCCGTCGATCTTCCGCTGAAAACCAAACTTGTCAAGATGCAAACAAGAAGCAAGACGACTTGTTGGCAACAGAAACTAAAGAGAACCATGGAGTGTCTAGCCTAGAGATGAGTGAACAGTCGACTCAGGAACAGAAAGATGTCAGGTTTTCTGATGGAGATGTAAAGCCTGTTGATACTCTCAAAGGTTATGGGTTACCACCAAAAGGCATCCTAAAAGAGCGTAAGAGCGATACCTCGCAGCCGGCAAATTCGACTAAAGCTGTCAAAAAAACCATACGAAAACTCTACAAACTGAACAAACAAACAGAGGCGGAGAACTTGACTGACCTTCTGGAATCTAAAGTTATGACAGAAAAAGAGCTGAACAAAGCAATCAAGCGGGAACTTCAAGAAGAAAGAGACGAGAAAAACCGTCAAAAGGCGAGAAATATCGAGAGAAACAGACGAGAGACTTTCTTTCAGAGAATGGAGGAGCTGGAGAGGTTGGAGGAGGAGATGAGAGAGAGTAGACTGCGTGAAAGAGAGAAAAGACGGGCAGAGGCTCTACGACGACGAGAGAAAAACACTGCGTTTTTGTATGAAAAGCAAAAGGCTATACTATCCGCAAAGATATCACGGGCTTTTAAATTCTCGTATTTCCCTTTGTATATACCCGAATCAGGGTCTGCTTGTCCTGACTATGAGCAGTCAAGCAGTGAGGACAGCGACAGTAGCGACAGAAGTCTTTCCCGCCAAAATTCGACATGTTCTTGTGTGTCAACGAAGAAGAAGGGCAAAAATCGGGCCATCTGCTCCTCACATTCTGAGCAGAGCTGAAAGTTAAGTAAATCAGCTTGAACCAGTTCGTTTGTTGAAAAAAAAAAAAAAAACTGACAGTACAACCGGTTCCAATCAGAGCAAGCATTGATTTTAGCAATGATATCTAGAATAACGCTCAAGGAACTGAGCGGGAAAATAGGAAGACAACACTGAAGAGAAAGGAAAACTAAACAGTAGTACAGGGGTTTCAATAACTTTTTCCACAGGCAGCTGCCGATGGTGTAATAGGCGGTTGTGCCTAGAAAAGGAGTCGCACAGCGCATCCTAAATACGAGGGCAAGCTCACAGGCTAAACAGATGGCGGTGTGAAGTCTTCTAGGGGGGGTGCTAGACTGCTGATAACCGGGTTTTATTGAAACTCCTGGTAGTGCTGCGGGAAACACGTAAGTCAGTAGCAGTGCGAGTAAAAATAGGCCTATCATAGCGCTGGAAAACCTGTATCCAACGACAAGCGCAGGAAAGAAGAAACATGATCCTGTTTCGCGCGATAACCGCGGAAAACAAGAAATGTTCAGCAAGTTCGGCAATTACATTGATAACCCAAGAGTCGAGTACAAGGAGTATAAAACTGTACATCGCACTTCAGTTAGTTTTATTTCACTGTACCCTAATTTTTGCGGACTAAATACAAGCATCTGCGCTTTGAACAATTGGAGCATGAGCTTAGGTAAAAAGTGAACAATGCATTCCTACTCACGTGAGTCATGTAAGACTGAACATTTTTGTATATAGAGCTCAAAACGAAAGGGTTAGGAAAATAAATGAAGAAAATACAAAGAAAAATAAACAATTTAAGAGCACCATTGAAGGATTTTCACTGACTTCATCCTTAGGTGATCTCTTACGACGCAAATCTTTAAGCGAGGTAGAGTCACTATGCTGACTACAAAGTCACGGTTGTAGATCACTTCGTGCTACAAGTGCCGTTGTGGGTTCCCTTTTTTCCCACCATGTTTGTTACCATCTACACGACTTGCTTTCGCTTTTTCTTACTTACCTCCGAAAGAAAAGAAAGCGGAAAGAAAAAAATTAAATCAGTTCTAAATCATTTTGACTCACAAAACAACTTGAACTGCAGAAACGGATTCATAAAGAGGAAATGACACATACTAGTCTAGGTTCTATTATTAACTTTGACAGCGTAGATTCTCTCTATTTGTAGAATTTTATTGATCTTATTGTTTTTCGTTTGGTCGCTGTAAAAATACTTCAAACAAGCGAATCGTCAACCGCTTTATTATTAAGTTATGAGGTTCTTTGTGCTCTTAAAGTAAATACGGCTGAAAACATTGATAAGATATTTCAGACGAAGACACTAATGAAATAAAAGTTTTTAAAAACATCCGTCGATATGCTTACTTTTCTGGAACTCGGACTTTGGGATACGATTCCAATCGCGAGTTTCCTATCAAGTCCTTGATTGCTCAGACACGAAAAACAAGGCCAAAAATAGTTATAAGCCAAAGGCAATGATAGCACTGAAGGTAGTGTTTATCATCGCAGAACATCAAGCACTTCTCTCAGTTTCGTGTGGTTATACTTTAAAGAATGAGAGCGCCGTGCGAGGTCCCTATAACATATAACAAAGTAACCGCATGTAATTAGGGAAATTTCTTTTTATTGATTTCGTGTCGAAAGCCGGGTGAGAACTGACGATCAGCAAGCACTATCAATTGAAAGAACTCGATGTCGTTTCCACGCGATAAACCGTTTCTGGTCGATATTTTTAAGTCAGATGCAAGAGGAAATCCTTTCGAAAGATTGGATACAATCCAGGAGACTTATCGAGGAAATACAAGGAAAACCAGCAGCTTGGGGCTGCCAAGTATTGATTCTGCTTACGGCGACTCGGATAGTTTGTCCCCTGTTTCTAACAGTAACAGTCATGAAGACGAAAAAAGTGTTTCGACTTCGGAATTTTCGTTCGACGACTTGGATGAATTTCGCAGCGATGCAAAACTGTCTTCTAATAAACGGGCAGACAATTATATGCTTTCTAAAAAAGACATGCAAGAAATTGAGGATCGAGTCGAAGAAAATCTAAGAGAAGATTTCAAAAAGATTTGGCACAATGCCAGGTTAAAAGAGTTACAAATAAAAAAGAAATTCACCAAGGTTATTGACAATGCTCGCGACATGCTGATAGAAGCTCGAGTGCACGCAGAGAAAGAGGCTGTTAACAAGTTGGAAGAAAGAGCAGAAGAAAAACAGAGCGAGATAATGAAGAAAAGATCTTTGAGGAAATGGCAAATCTTGAACAAAAAGAACAAAAAAGAGGGGAATGAAATTCCAGAGCACAACTTTGGAGGTGGTGATGAATGGGTAAGACAACAAGTCGAGGAAATGGCTGCCTTGAGAAAAATCCAATCAGATTTAGATCGAGCTCGGGCAAGACGAAAGAGTTCGACTGGACTCATCTCTATCCTGAAGGCAAAGAAAGCAGGAAAAATAAAGCAGATGATGCAAACAGAGATGCGTAAACTTGAAAGGATCGACGAAATCCAGAACCTGATTCAAGACCTGGTTGATCTTGGGTTAAATGAGCAGGCTGATTCTTTACGTGGGTCAATTCAGTCGAAAGAAAAAGCTGACATTACACTACGCCATCAGCTCAAGGAAGAAAGAAATAAAGCACGCGTTGAGGCTTTAAAGAAAAAGGAAGAGGAGGTGGAGAAGTTACGCAAAAAAAGGATCGCTGAGGTGGAGAGACTGGAACAAGAAAGAGAGGCGAGAGAAGAGCGAGAAAGACGTAGGCGAGTGATGGCGGCACTGGCAAAAAAAGCTCATAATCAAGCGCTCAGGCGAAGTTTTGATCAAACTAAACTGACCTCACGAATTTCAAGAGCGCACACTTTCTCTTTTTTTCCTCCTCCAATACGAAAATAGTAACTACATGAGTTACCATGAGCCGTCTGATAATGAATAAATTACGGAATGATTCGTTGATCGGTAAACATCAGTGGAAAAACTTCGAGTACCAGAATCTTCTTTACCACACGAAGGAGTTCACTATGGTAACAACCGGTACAAAAGCTGTCACGCAACGCAGCAGTCCCGCCTCCAGCGCTGCGTGACAGACTTTACAAAACGCTGAGAGCAGATCGTGTGTTGTGAATCATGACAAAAAAAGTGTCAGAGTATTTAAACCACCTATATACCTCGAGATCATATTGATAACTTATTATCAAAACGATGATAAAAACCGCGTTTCATTTAAAAATAGTTTTTCACAAAACACGACCAAACATTTCGATAAAAATGAAATAGAGGTTAGTTTAAATACTGAACGATATTATTCATGCCGTTTCTCTCTCTCTACTTTAGAGAGAAAAAAAGTCAACTTTTTTATAATTAAACACGCGAGTCCCTGATCATGATGGAAACACAAGAGTCGTGATAAAATGGAGTTGTTGAAACAAAGAAGAGGCAGAAGCAAGGAAGAGGTAAAAAAGTAAAGGCACGCCGCATCACGTTGGTCATTTGAAACACATCCAGACCAGTCTACTCTATCCCTGTTTCTGTACAGCACCTGCTTTCTATTTTATTTTTTATTTCTTTTAATCTTATCAATCATGTTGAAGGTAATTTTTTGACGTCGAAAGAAAATACTCGATATATTATCACCTAACACTCTATTTTAAGGCCAGTTTATAGTAAAAAACTTTCTCGCAAAGATATTCAACAACCTACAGCCGAAAGTGTTGTCACAAAAAAGGTGACAAAGCTAACAACAACACAATGAGATCGCAAGGTGACAATTTTACTCAGTTGTAAAATCGTGATATCCATTCATTTACAGTTCACCTGTGCATGCCGAACGTTCTGAACGCGAATTCAGGGGGCAAATATCCAGAAACGCCTATTGGAAAGCAAATATGTCAGTACAACTTAAGAAATTCGACGCAAACGCCACACTGACAGGTTTTGATGGGTGCCATTCTAATAAACTTCTTCTCCTCGTCTTCATCACCATCATCATTCTGATCTGTAGATATGGCTCTACTGCTGCTACCTAGAATGACACGTGACTATAGTATTTGACTATAGCCGCAATCTTTGCAATCTATCATTACTGATGACTCGAACTCGGGCAGTAAAAAACATCACTGAAATCAACATTCGATGCTCCTGCAATCAAAGTAGCTCGCAGTACTATGATGTTATGCGTGAGCTCTAAACCCTAGCTAAAAACTTATGCCTCCTGCTGGAAAAGTTTAGATTTCACGTGTAAAATAATTTCCCCCCTATTTCTTCTAACTTATTAAGATGGGTAAGAAGTACAGGTGATGCCCAATAGTTAGGTAACATCAGAGGGTTGTAAGCTTCTGGTAACATTGATAATCATTTTTAAGATTTTATCATATAAAGTGAGCTTATAAATTAATAAATTCTTCGCACAGAATTTATGAATTATTAATCCAAACACGAAACAATAACAATAAAAACACGCGGCAAGAAATTAGTCATTCGCTTTAATAATTTCCAAATCTTCTATCTATGGGCCTTGCAGTTCTGTCGATATCGCTGTGACGTGCTAATACCAGATAAAAGAAGTTTCTGATAGGCTACTTCAGAGCCATGATGTTATCTTAAGTGGAAGTTGCTTTGTCTAGGAAACGGACTGTTCTAGAGAAAGAAATGCGACCACACGAAAAAACTTGATAAACAACGAAGTACTATCGAAGCTTTACTAGATGTACCCACCTTAAAAAGATTTCTTTTGGCCATCAAAGAAACGGATTGTATCATTTTGGAATTCCCTAGTTGTTTTGCGCTGAGGCAATACAACACAATAGTTGACAAAAACTCGAAGCGACATTTTTGTCGTATAAATGGAACCATACAACAAAAAGAGATTCAAAGACGATGCGGTCACAGGATTCAACAACAATGTTCGCATTGTTTTACCAAAAATTGAAGGGACTAAGAGAAATTCAAGTCTTACGGGATCAGAAACTCATTCTCTCATCACAAGCGCTAGTTCAATCACCCCTGAGATGGACGACGACAGTGACCTTGACGAGATGGCGCTTCAAGAAGAAGACGAGGACGAAGAACGAAACGGAAGAAAAGATGGCGAAGATGAGCCCAAACAAAACGTTGATGACGAATATCATCTGATAAAACTTTCTGCGACTGCTGAAAAGGAAATTCGCCAAAGGGCTAAACAAACGTTGAAAAAAGAACTGACGAGGCTACGATACGAAGCTGCCGCAAAAAGAAATGAAACGAGAAGAAAATTTAAAGTCGTAATTGAAGATACGAGGTCACAACTTATTGCAACACGGATTGAAGCTGAGAAAGTTTCTATCGACAGGCTGGAAGAAAGAGCAGGTAAGCAGCAGGCTAGAATAATGCAAGAGCGAGCACAGCGCAAAAAAGAAGAGAAAGGTAAAGAAGTTGAGTATGGCGATAGAGGCAAGGCGCATTCTGAAGAACTCGCTTCTCTCCGGAAGATTCAAGCCGAACTGGATCGAGCGCGTGCAAGAAGGAAACATAGTCTCGCTGCTGTGTTGACAACGGTAAACGGTAAAGCAAAAGTGGCGAACCTTCTGCAGCATGAGGTGAAAAGATTGGAGAGAGCTGAGGAAGTACAGAAGATTATTGTGGAACTTCACTCTTTGGGATTAACCCAAGCGGCCATTGATCTCACACACGCCCTCCAAGGAAAGGAAGACTCGGAAATGGAGTTCCGTAACCAGTTACACGCTGATCAAATGAAGGCTAAGAAAAAAGTCTCTATGCTCGTGGAAAGCGAAATAGAGAAAGTTCGGAAAGAATGCATGGCCGAAATGGAACGAAAAGAATTGGAACGATTAGAAAAGGAAAGGCTGAAGAAAGAAAGAGAGGAAAAGGAACGGAGAGAACGGGAGATGGCCAAATTAAAGAAAATGGCACGTGATATGGCTATGAAAAAGATGTTCAAAGAATCAATGTTTAACACGAGCGTATCAAGACCATTTAGCTTTTCATACTTTCCTTCCTTGAAGAAATGAATTAAATTCATTTTTTTCTCAGCTTAACAGGCAACATAAGACAAGCGAGTGGGATATGCATTCCATAGCCTCGTCGTTTCGCCAGCTGTTTTTCTTCTAAAATAAGTAGCTCATTTAGTCATATTAGACTATGAGTTAAGGCTTTAATGTACAGACAGATTTGGTGGTCAATCGCTTGTGGGAAGACCAGAGTTCTTCCTTATTGATATTACGAAGATACCGTTACACTCATACCTCAGAGTACTTTTCGATTGCGAGTCGTAAAACGAAAACCAATGTTATCACAATGACTCTCAGAAGAAACGAAAATTCCCTTAGGAATCAATGATAACTCCAACTAAAACCAAGCAAACTTCCCAAAGCGCGGGAAAATGAGGGTGACTAAGTCGTGATCGGTAATAGGCTTGTATCTAATTTGTTGAGAGGGTAACGCGAGTTTTTTGGACCAAAGGAAGAGAAACCACAGCATTCTCGACCGATGACTTTCGACAGTCTATTGAAAATGGCTTTAAATGATAATTCATGCATGTTTATAAGTAATTAAAAAAAATAGATAGTTTTATGTAATGATATAGAAGAGAAAGAAAGTACAGAAAACGTTAACAACTTCACCGAATGTGTAAAGAAAATCTGTGTATTACGTTTGCATTGTATTGTAGCGACAGCCAGGAGTAAAATCATCCTCCAGCTTAGTAATTTGATTAGTTGCATGTGGAAAAGGGTAAATTTTCGCAACAGCAGTATTTTTAAAAATCATATCAATAGGAGTAATTAAAATTATCAAAATGTAAGTACTGCATGACGCTCCATAACGCTATCGACTGAAAACCAGCTGTAAGCACATTGGACAATAGTCAATGGAGTATTATGGCTACAACACTTTCTCGCCTCATTTCTATTCATTAAAGATTAAATAACATAATGTTTGTTGGTAAAGAGAACGTGCAGGCACATCAACAAAAAACAACTGTATAACTCAAAGGGATTGGGGAAAATGCTCAAGTTGACTGCCTCGTCGCTAACTTTCAGACTCAGGAATGTGTTTCAGTAAACCACCACAACACACCCATAACATCATTTCATGTTTACTAATGATCCATCTTTTGTCTCTGGATCAATCCTGACCCCACCCTCCCTTGAAGTTAAGTTCGAGTATCAGCAGTCAGGAAGCAACAAAAGAGGAATACAAACTTACTACCTAAGCACGTTGTGCATATTTAACGGCTGTATTAATTACACGGTATATTACATAAACTTACATTTTGATACGCGTCAGGGAGAATGTTGTTGTCCAAAGTGCCTGATTGATACTCCTGTCTTCATTTTAAGGAGATTTTACCCTTGCATTGACAATGAAAATCAAGTGCCAATCATATTTTTAGTAGTATTGGTGAATATTTAAAACTGTGCTTTATGGAGTAGCTGCAGTATGCTAAGGACTTGAACAATCAGCCATCTTGGAAATCGGGAGCAGGGGACCGCTGACGCGTTTAAACGATGGCTCGGGTTAATGGTCAGCAAGCACCTTGCTCAGGGATGGAACATGACAAGTGCTGTGATCGACATGTTAAGAATCGATGTAAAAAAAAAAAAAAAAAAAAGATTTACGAGACAGTCTCCTTTCATGTTTTCAAAAATAACTAAGTTTCAAAGTGATACAAAAAAAACACTTTCAAAATGGCATGCTGGGTCTATAATCATAGATGAGGTTTGGGAATTTAAATCCATATCCTCCACTTAACAGATTCCATGTTGCATTGCTCTGTTCAGTACTAAATCACAAATGGCATACAGATATGGTAAAAAGCTGAGTAGAGATGAAGGGGCAAGAAGTTACAACTTGATGACAGCAGAAATTGGGAGAGAAATCCTTAATTGCAATCACCCATATATCCTTTACTTTAAGGGTAGGTTTAAACTGGAGTCAAGGGTGCAGGAGGCAGCAGAGCAGTGAAAAGAAGTGGGAGTTTCTAACACACACCCAAAAAATAATTATAAGCCAACATTCCCTGATTCAAAGAAGTTTATAAATAAATACCAGGTGCTAAATGCTTAACACCATAAATAACTGGAGGTCATACATAATTCTAGCATTTGCTGGGTCAGATTTTAAAAATCCTTCGAATTTTTATTATGTTTGATTCCACTACTTTTTAGATTGTGCTTTTAGTTCCTTCCAAAAGAGAAGTGCTCTCTTCTTGAGTGAGGGAAGGCCATGGTTCATTTCCCACAAAGCAGCTATTTGTTATGGCAAAACACTGAATGCACTGTACCCATCAGTGATCTACCAGTAAAAAGATTAATGACCAACACTAACTGCAAAGAATATGTTTCATGATAAATATGATGTGTTGCCCATGATAATTAATCAACAGAGACCTGTCTGGTAGAGCACTGCATGGGTATTGCAGAGGTCATGGGTTCAAATCCCGTACCGGCCTGAGTTTTTTTCTGGTCTTATTTTCACTTCTTTTTAAAGTAGTGTTAATTGCGAAGATTGCTATCATTCAGAGACCTTTCTGCAGAGTATGGCAGATTTTCACTCAATTTTCCCTTTCTTACTTTCAGTTTCCCATTTACAGGCAGGAGATCTCATTGAGTTCTGCCCTACTCTGCAGTCTGGCAGAGAGACATGTGATAAATGGCTATATTTCATACGTAAATGGGATGCTTGCTTCAGGTGAGTCATCCCTTGGAGGGATGATTTGGCCACTACTGGTTTGCAACTTAAGTACATTATGGGCAACACCATATCGATGATAATTATAAGGTGAAAAATCTTGCTTTAATGTTCACCACACCAACCACAGTTGCATGTATGTGGTAGATTAAAGATACAAAATAATTCCTTGGTAAGTGGGAAAAACCTTCTCACTGAAATGGAAACTGAGGCAAAATAAAACTATATCTTTAACACATAAAAATCTAACGGCTGATTTCGTGGAAGAAAAAATACAAAATGCCACCAAAATTGTAATAAAGTATCATTATCCACCCAATATTTTCAGTCAATAATATCTCATGGATATAACGAGTTCAAATATTCAGAATTTTAATTCAAGCTTAAAAGTTGATATCTAAACTAGCTTTCTACATTTTCATCGTATATCAAAAAGGCGTTTAAAACAACAGAACGAGTTTACCCCATGTATCCTCACCGAAACAAATAATAGACAAACTGTAAAAATTCTTAAAAATTCGCATTGTTCGATGCGATACTTAAATATAAAAGAAAAAATGCCATAAGATGTCAAAAATTAAGAATAAAGCATAATTCGCATTGTTCGATGCGATACTTAAATATAAAGAAAAAATGCCATAAAAAGGCAAAAATCAAGAATAAAGCATAAAATTCACAAATAAATCCTTAACCATAGAGTGTCCCATTGTTGATCACCTTGTAGAGCGGCTGAGTGCCTCGTAACATATCGCGAACACCGGGTCTGCCAACGTAAACATCCCGAGCAAATTCGTCCCTAGCAACATGAATGTTTCGTTTGACTGTATCGAGAAGAACCTGTCTTTGATGTTGCACATCAGCAATCATTTCGCTTTGATTTGTCAATACGCTTATCTGTTGATCTCTTGTGAACTTCATTCTATCTCCTTGGTCGGTCAAACCGACGAGCGTCTTGTTTCGAGGCCATTGTATTGTTTGGAATCGTTCTTCCATTCTCCGCGTTTCTTGTGAGTTTGGGTAGTTTTGCGGATAGTTCAGGCGATAGCCGGTTCGAATGAACGGCCCTGGAGCTTCATAACGCTTGTAGTCTTTGATCTTGTAGTTATGTTCCATCTGATTCATTCTGGAAGCGATTTTCTGGAAGGAATGTTTTAGTTATGTAGTTTAAGACATAAACCTCATACGAGCGACTTCTCTCTCAGCAACAAGTATTTTCGGCGGGGAGACTGGGAAGGACAGTCCGACTGTGCAGGGCTGCGCAGCCGTCTTGCTCATGGCGAGGCGCAATGATAGAGGGCCTCGCTTCTCAGTTTTCACACTGGGATGTTTTTCCTAAAGAAAATCAGTTGCCAGCAGCTGCTGCATTCATTTAACATTCAACCGCCATGGGTCAGCCGATAAAGAAATGCGTAGTGCTATCAATTATAAAATTGAACTTGGATGAGATAGAAAGTGTCTAGAAAACTGTGATGATAATTTAATGAAAATGACTAAAAGTTGAAAGCTTAAATTTTTTTTACGTTATCATTTTTTAATTCAAAATCATAATCTAGCCCAAAGATTGCAGAAAGCATTTTTAAAAGTGATGGCAAAAAATTGTTCTATTTTGATGATATGATGATACAAACTGAATGTTGATGCCTGACCAATTTTCAGGACAAGGAAAATGGGGGAATGGGGAAGGGGGTTATTACTGAGTTCTTTCCTTCAAAAACAGCCAAATTGTTTTCTGTTGTGAGCGTTCCGTTGAATCTTACAATCCTTTATCAATACCTAATGAGATAAATGAGACAGGTTGTGCTATCATAGTCTGACTGTGTTACACTATCACTCACATGGTTAAGTGATATCCAAGATAGAACCAATGAGGCGAGGTTTTTTATCCATTTCATTCATTTATCCAGTGAGGTTTTTTATCCATTTCTTGTTTCCTTTATCTTCTCTAAGGGTTACAGATAATTCAACTGAATTGTCTTTTCTTTTTTATAGTTCTCGGTTTCATTAATAAATTAAAAGGCATAACTACGCGCAAATTATAACCCAAGTTGCGGAGTCTTTATTCTGTAAGCGTGAATATAGATAAAGCCTGTCCAGCAATCAAGCAATGCCTAAAGTGATAAGATTTTTACGATAACGTTCTTCAACTGAAAATTCTGATTCAGTCTCTGAGGAAAAAAAAAAAAAAAAAAAAAAATGTCGATTAATTCTAAAAGTTTGTTTTCAAATCATAATCAAACATGTTCGTATATAATGGATATCTAAGTAGTTATCGACATTTTCTCAGCAGTTGTCAAAAAAAACCCAAAAAAACCGCAGGTCTCGTAAACATAACAAACGGGTAAAATAAGAAGGTTGTTTTTTATTATCTTATTTTGTTTTGCTTTTGCTGATCAATTATGAACAGCTTTGCGCGATCATCGACTGATCGACACGTCTTCTATAAAGTGAATAAAGAATCTGAGCAAAAGAGAAGTTTCACATTACAAAGGGGTACTTTGTTACGTTCACAGCACCGATAAAAGCAATCAATTTATCCTACACTACTACCAGTAAAGGTTTGAGGATAAGAAAAAAAAATATTGAACGGAAGCACAAGCAAGGCTATGGAGCCCACAAACTTCTTTCACAAAACCTCAACAACACACGTGAGTCCTTTCCTATTCTTGAAATGAAACTGTTCCTTTGTCACAGCGAAATTACACCTGTGATCCGGCTGCGATAAAGTTGTAATTTTGTAATCTTGCTTTTGATGCCAACATCTGTGGCCGTTAGGAAATGTTCAAGCTCAGTATAAAAACAAATCAGTGAGAAACTGGTCGTAGTTTATCTCTTCGGAGTTGAGTCGCCAGCCGGCTTTAGTTGATATGTCCAGTTCAGCATCGACATCTTCTAGCAGAAAACTTTCAGCTTTAACAGAATATTATGACGGAGATACGGAAAGTATGACTCACTCTGGGTCACGACTGGAAAGTTTAAACATCGACCTTAGTCGTAACAGTTCACTTGCTTCTCTTACGTTACCGGAAACGTTGCTTAACGAGGCAACAATTTGCGGCGATGCTACTTGTAATCTCGATAGAGCAACACGGCGATCAATATTGTTTGAATCCGGAACTGAAACTGAAACCTCGACTTCCTACTCCAGTACTCACAACTACACGGACAGCGAGTTCAAGCGCGTGAACCGACGAGAGGACGAATTCGTTGAATCAGAAGAGGAATCAAAAAGTGCAGAAGGTTGTAAGAGTGCCGACGGTTCCATTTGTAACAGCGGAAATGTTATTGTGGATAGTTTATCGACGATGCTTTTCAATTCGAGCATAGCATCTGTGGAAACTCCTTTCGCCATTCTCTGTGATCACACTGACTGTGAAGAAGATTCTAAATTCTGTTCGAGTCCATACATGCTGAGTGATTTACCAGTCGGTGAAAATGAGTTAGTAAGTATGACTGATAAACCGCAAGAGACCGAGAAAGAAATTAAAGAAAAGAAACGCGCTTTGAGAAACAATTTTAGAGAAATCGTCAAGGATGCAAGGAAAACTTTGAGACAGACACGTGAAAATCGACAACTTCACGAAATAAATCCACAGTGCAATGAAGGTACAAATAAAAAGCAACGAGAAAGGGGAAAAATAAATAACACTTCAGTAAATTCAAAGAAGAAAGATCTTTCTCACAAAGAGACGAAGATGAAGGGTGTTGCTCAACGAAAACGCGTACGGAATGTTTCCAGAAGTGACAATATTTTAGAGAAGCGTGGTTTAGAAATTGAAAAAATTCAAGTTAAACATTTGATAACAGAGTTGGCATTTTGGAATTTGAACGAACACGCTGCGAATGTCAAGCGCGCGTTGACTTTTACCGAAGAAAAGGAAAGAGAGATGGACATTCAATTGCAAGAAGAACGGGAAAACACAAGGAGGAGGAAAATTGCTGAGAGGTGGAATCAAAAGCGAGAGGAGAACAGGAAACGCCTCGAAGAAATAAGAAAAATGGAAGCAGAACGGAAAGAAAAAGAAGCCAGGGATAGACAAAGGAGAATCGAGGAAGCTAAGATTCAGCGGGAACGTAATCGAATGCTATGGGATAGTTACAACAAAGTAGTTCTGGACAATTCCTTCACAAGATCTTTTACCTTTTCATATTTTCCAAAACTTCGGCCCAAGCCAGTTGAGCGAAAGCAAATAGAACCTCACAAAATTACACATTCAGCTAAGGTTCAAGAAGCCAGAGAAAAATACGCTGGGGCGTGGTAGAATAAAAGCAGAAGATATTTGTTTCGTCTTTTTGGTGGTATCTCTCTCACGACAACTTGCTTGCCCATTTGATTCGTCGTATTTTCAATCTCGACAACTATTTCCTATCATTCTAAAGCTTTCTTAAAAGTTTTGCTTTATCTAAGGAAAACATCCAAATCAAAATTTTATTGTTGAACCAGGTAATTTTGCCCATGTTTGTTGTCGGTGTGGATCTGTCAACCTGCTCCTTTGAGAAATTTTCCTTGGTTTTGATAGGCTGACACGGCTATGCGGTTGCATTTCATTGGCTACTGAGATATTGGATTTAGTCTTTTTAATTGCAAATGTTTCTAATTGGAAGGTCTAATTGGACAGTTTATAGGCCCTTGAGCACCAATAAGATTTGAACATTTAGATACAAACTCAATCATTTGTAACAAGCATAATTTAAATTTTCAATGTAACATAATACTATACCTGGTATTTTCTTTATTCAGCATTTGTTCAATTATTTCAAGAACTCTAAAAGAGTTAACTCTTGTTTGACAAAATTATTGTCAATTTTAGATTTAAGCACTAAAAATAACTTAATTCCAAAGCCTCTTTCTAATGCCACCCAGAACACAAAATAACTTAATTTAACTTAAGTTAATTTCTATCTCATAATTACTCACAACATGTTCTTGAAAGAAAGAATAAATCACAACAAGGGAACGAAATGTTGTATTTATAAAATATTACTAATGATATAATACTGACGATAATAATAGTAATAATAATGGAGATGATAACAATTATAATGACAACTCAAATCAGGTTTAACGTGACAGTCTATGAAGCAGATGACCTTTTCACCATCTGCAAAGCTAAGACAAAAATTTCTCACACCACTTGTTCATGGCTGTAGTTATTGGGTAAGCAATGAACAATGCCATTAGAAAAATTGTTAGTTTTGGCAGAATGCAAATAGTTTATCAGTTGCACAAATTTATACAGGCATTAGGCAACCATCGGTAGCCACATTGCTGGTCTGGCATTCATTTTGATGATGCACAATAACAAAGTCTTCATTAGATACCACAGGCATACTGACAGTTTTTGGAGCAGATTTTGACCGGACACTGATTGTGCACTGGTGACCAAAGTCACACTCTGATTCCTCTGGGAAAAACAAATATCTTGAAGTAGGATCTTCATTTTTGTGCAAAAATCTATGGACAAAAGAGGGATTACACAAATGAGTAAGCTGTCTTGTTCAACTAGAACCAAGGAACTGTTAGAACAACTCCAAAGAACTTTCCTGTTACTTTCACATTCTTAATCAATTCTGTCATCACTAAAGGCTCATTCCATTTTTTTAGCTCAAAACTTTCACATGGCTGCTAATCTTTGGACCACTTAGCCTTAAATGTGTGTGGGTAGAAAACTGAACTGCATTTAAATCTTTCAAATTTAGTTAACAAGAAGTACTGTTGTTTTTGTTTTACAATGCTATTGTATGCTTTTTTGTTTGAAGTTATGAATTTTTGCAAGTTTTTTTTTAACTATTCTAACTTTATTCAACTGAACATGAATATTGCTAGATCTTAAAAATGTACAATTTTGCACATTTCTCTTTTCCATATCATTATGACCATATTTTTATCTAATATTAATTCACTCATCTGACCATCTATCTACCCATGTGTCCATCTGAATGAGACACAATAGGCAGAAAAATGAACACCTTTTAAATGGTCCTTACTCTCAGTCTATTGAAGAACAGACACATAGATGATGTCACCATTAACTACTCTTTGTGTCATCATCACAAAAAAAGCACATAAGACATCACTTTTTGATCTTCTCACATATTGACATAATCTGCAGCCTATTACTGAACAGATGCATGTCTGTTTATTGTTTCATCAAATAAAATAATCAACAGATCAGTTCATCAATTAATCATATTTCTAATGACAAGAGGTAAACTGAGGAAATAGGTAAGTGTTACAAACCCAACAAGACCAGCTGGAACAATCAGTAACAAGGCTCCTATCACAAAGGGTAGTCCAGTTAATATCTTGCTTGTGTCATCATAAACTTCACTGAATAGAATAACTCCAAGAAAGGCTGCTGAGGCCTCCAGACATGAGGCAACAGCAAACAATATTCCTATAAAAACATGAGTTGTTTGTTTAGAAATAAAAGTTATAGCAAATTGTGGCCGCGGTTATTGAAGAGGGAAAGTCCCTTCCTCAAACTAAAGTTAACAAATGGTGGACAGAGAATAAGTTTTATTAGAGCCTAAAGATTTTAACTAGGTCAACACTATTGGCTTTAATTTTAACTAAATTGGGCAGCAAAAGTGGGGTATTTTTCACCACTCTCTCTAGTTTTGTCTTTACATCCCTTACCAGAGAGGGAAGGGTACATGTTCACTTTCAGAAAAGAGTACTAATTATATATTCATAAAAATTGAAGTGAGTAGTCATATTGAACAGTAGAGAAATGAGTAACTGAGTAGGTAAATAATAAATATGCCAGGATATTAATTTATAAATATAACACTGTAAGAATTCAAAATAGATGTAGTAAGGAGTAACATGTGCCACATTACTTTGGTTAAAGTAACACATTATAACTGGTGAAAAGTACTATTATGTTGAAGTTGTTATTATATGTTAATGCTATATATATTGTATTGCATACCAAGTGTTTGTCACGTGTTTTTTTTTTTTGCATTTTAAGGAAAAAAAATGTGGCATGTTCAAAAAATGTTCTATTCCATCTTACCCTGTTCCTGAGGTTCTACCAGCCTAGACAAACTGGCTTTCATCACTGATAATGGCATGCCACCTAAAAACTGAAATGCTGGAACTGATAAAAAAAGTGAAAAGTTTATTAATAAGTATACCAGTAGAAACTACTGAATCATAAGTGAGCCCTATTATCAATTAGGTATGTCTTTCTGAGACATACCTAATACATAAATTGGGCTACTATACCACATACTACATACCTAGTATACAACCAACATCTTTTAAACATAAAGCAAAGCAAGAAGATGATTGTAATGTATTCAACACAACAATTGGACATTTCTTCAATACCAGGAATTTGAATCCATAATAGAAACTCAGAATTTTCTTGAAGGTAAGACTAGCCACAATTGATACCATTATGTATCTCACAAATAGTAATAGTAATAGATCACAGCTGTGCATCAATTTGTGGTAAGAACAAAAAAGTGACACACAAGGTGCAGTTGAGTGTGTATCATATTATTATCATATTAACATTATTATAACTATATTTATTTATTATCATATTAACGATATTAACCTTTTAACTTCCAGAAGTGATCAACATAAAACTTCTCCCTATAACATTCACACATTATTCAACAAACAGGTAATGAGAATATTCAAATTGATCAGGTAGAAGCTGTTATCTTGATATAGCACCAAGTTCTCATAACCAATAGACAAGGAAATATGTAGCAGCTAGAGGGGAGAATTCACAATCAGATCTTGGGAGTTAAAAGGTTAAGTAAGAACCAATCAGAATGCATTTATAATTCAATAGATAATGCTATAACACTTACCAATAAACAAAAAACGCGTTGTCCTGCTAAATACTGCCACAATAAGACCAGCAAAAAGGGACAGTAAACCAAATTCAATGATCAGGTTATTGGCCATTTTTAAGATGGTCTGAAACAACTTGACAAAGACCAGGCTTACAATATATCGCAGAGCTAGAGCACCAGATAAGAAACCCAACAGGATCAGAGTAAAACAAAGATATGTTTGGGCATGAAAAAGAATCAGATCATTTGTCCCATAAAAAACCACTCCACCAACAAATAGTGCAGCACTATATGTAACTAGGCGCCATCTTCGACCATTTCCTGGATCATGACTGAAAATTTTCCAAATGCCCACAAAATCACTGCATCTGCAGATTGGAGTAAGTTCATGGGTAAAGACATTTGTTTCCAGTAGGAAGATCACGCATAAAATGTTAAATACCATAATAGCCATGATAAGCCAGAGGGTATCATAGAAAGATTGACTTTCCAAATAGAACCCACTAATAAAATAAGCCAAGCCAATTCCAATCCCTGCTGCGCAATCTAAGCACATAATTTTCAAAGTTCTTTGTTCATTACTTGTAATATCAGCAGTATATGCCATACATGATGCCATGAAGCTAGTGTTGTATCCCACCGCACTTGTCATCAGACTAGCAATCACAAAAAAGTACAACGGTGCTTGAAACTTTATAATGATGGTAAACAAAGCTGCACGTAAGGCAATGCCTATCAAGGTAGCAACCAACACATTTCTGCGTCCTTCAGTCTCACTCCAGATTCCAAGAATTATTGTTGATGGCATTGCTGCCAAAAATGACACTAAATTTATATAAAGTAACCAATGATCATTATCAGCTGAAATGAGGCCAGGGTTTTCTAAACTACCACAGGTAGTATTATTCAATGTTTTACAACAATTGGGTCTCTCAAAATCTACATGATCTTTCACTGAACTGCCATAGATGTATTTTTGAGTGATAATGTCCAACAGAGTTGTTCCAAAAAAGTTCAGAAATGAAAGAAGCTCTATAACAGGCCAATACCTCACCATTTTCTTTACTTACAGCAGATTAGTCACTTAACCCTGTAAAAAAAGATAAATTTGAAAGAAAAGCAGTGTCAATTGCAGGAAAAAAAGATAGGAAATGTGTGTAAAGAAAAGATAATGTAGGAACTGGTGTGACCCCACATGTAATAGTTAGTACATGTAATGTAGCCTAATTGTCCACGTGAGAGTGGCATGGGTCCAAAGTTGTCATCAGAGTCAGGTTGTTGAAACATCAGTGAATGCTTCCAATAACATTCCTTTTCAGGACTACTCTCACCTGGACAATCAGATGACATGACCAAGAGAATACATAAGTATATCAATCCCACTTAAGGACATTCTGTGTAGCTTTACTCCCAGCTTCATCCCAACTGATTAAAATCTCAAGCACATTGTGTATTACCGTAACTGTTTTAGTAACTGTTTTAATAACTGACAGATGGGAAGAGTTACCAACCAATTGTAAAAGATTTTCCAAAGGATGTAAATTGATAATTGGTTGGATTCCCCTGATCCCCCTTAGCAGATTTTTTCTTTCACAGCGTGTTCTTTATGTTGGACAAAGTAGATCATTTTTAGAATGGGGGAAAGGGGTTATTGCCTGTTGTAGGATCAAGTGTTTTAATTTTCATGACCAGTGAAAATATGAAATTAAAACCCCAGTGAACTGTTTTTTTTTTTTGCTTTTCACAATATGTGAACTTTAAACTTGTTTACCCAATTTTTGGTGATGCATTATTACTACTTTTTGACAGGTGTGAAACATGCACAGGACCCCCTTTCTCAGCCATTTTCTTAAATAAGTTCATTTTGGTTGATTCTATCTCTGCAATGCTGAGGTACAAATGTCCATGGAATCAAAAGAAATTGCAGAAAGACAATTATGACCCCAAAGTTAAATCTCATTACTAATATGTTGCTGCACCAAATGACCCTCACTGAGTTGCAACAAAATTAACCAGATTTGACTTCTCCTTTACAAAAGGGTAGTTTTAAGTAAAACTCTAACTTGTGCCTACATCAGAGCAATTTGTATCTAGTATGAAATCTTCAGATTTTTAGTCTAATAGGTCAAATTCTAAAACTCATCCTTATCTTAAAAGGAAATTGAATAGCATGCTTTGGAGTCTGACTGAACGAAGGCAAACGACTTGCCTAGCACTGTAACAGAAAATGAAATTTAAATTATATCACAATCATCTGCCATGAGATTCTCTCACTTTCTCTCTTAATGACAAGAGATGAATTCAGTATTTGTGACTCATGAGTAGAGTATGTCCACTAGGCCTTAAGCTAACTCCTCCCACAAAAAAAGTCGTTGTTTACCTCTGTAAACGGTTGAGTAACCTTCCGATCCACTACAGTGTTTCCTTTTCAAATCCCCAAATGGCGATATATATGATTTATAGTCAGCAGTCAATTTTTACGATCCTCTGATACCGCAAGAGGCCATGTGATATTGTGTGGGTATCTTGTGATTAGTTGATCATGTGGGATCTCTTAGGATACCATACATACAGCATATTATGTGGAATAAAACTCATGGCGTTGAGGAATAATTTGAGATACTACGATGAGGAATTGGCAATGCAGTAACGTCAGGTTTTTACGATATCGTACAACACAGCCTTTGAACTACACTATTCCTGGGCCCGACCACAACTACAGAAGTGAGGAGTGACAGAGGAAATCTTGCGGTCGTCATGAGATCGACAGTGAGTTTCACAAGTAGATTACATATCACATGACTTAAGATAATTATACTAACCTCTGTCCCTCTTGTAACGACAGATAAATGAAATGAACACTGTTATATCTCCGATGAAAATCGTAAATGACCTGTTTGAATTGTCGTATTCAACAGTTTTAATTAAATCTAACTTCCGGAATGGTGCACGTTTCGCTTTCTCGCGCGCCATATTAGAATTTTTTCACGTCAAAAATTCGTTTCCAGGCACCGTCGTGCGTGAGTCATGGGAAAGTTTGTCACGTGCAAAGGGGAAAACCCGCTTTGTTATGGGTATCAAAAGTGTAACGCACTCATTCATAATCCTCCCCCATCAACTAAAGGAGTGATAAGCTTCTACTTTCTCTTTACGACATCACCCCTGAATCAGACATTAGGTTAACTAGAATAAAGAAATGATCACAAATTAGAAAAGCTCTCGACTTTTAAACAAATTCTCCTTGTCAGCACCGTAGGAAATGTAAACAGAACAGTATGGAGAATTTGCATGCAGGTAGTAGGGTTTAATGTGTCGATAAAACGACTAATGCTAGGCATGTGGATCGCATAATAAAGCAAAGGAACATTTGAAAAAACAGAAGTTTATTCGAAAAACTATTCAAACTGACGTAACCGTATAAAATGGGAAGGCTGAAGTAAATATTTTACAATCCATGAAGCTGATTTTTTGTTTATTCCACATGCAGCGTACATCACATGCGAAAGCTCAATTCTGTTTTCAGACTAGGCTATTACCTCCTCATCAAAACTGTAGTCCTCCCTTTGACAGAACGAGTCTATTTTTTTTTATCTCAACTTGACTCAAAGCAATGCGTCAGAGTGCATTATATCAAAATCAGCTTTTTCAGTGCTGAGCTAGGTTGATGTATTTAGGTGAATCGCCCTTTGAAAACATCCGCGAGTTGAAGTTGTGTAACAGAAGGGATTCCTATTAAAGTCTAGCATGATCCTTTGAAAACGTAATTTTGCATTTCATAAACAGCTTCTAATCCACGGCCCCTTCGTATTTTCTTCTAACTTTTTTATAACATATTTTTTAACGATGATACTAGGTTAAAATTGCTTTAACACCTGAAGTAGATTCCTCGTTCGAAATAATTATTTCCGCCTATATAATAAGGAATCTATAATCTGGCGAAATCTTTTCTTTCTGTCCTACGAAGCTTTTACACAATGAGATCTATATCAGTCTCTGAACAAGTAGTTGTTTCTTGATTTAATGGTACAATATCATTCCCATTACTTGAAAGTTTTCAGCCATATGCAGACTCTAAAATGCTTTTAGTAAACAATTTTTCCACTGGAAGTGAGATCAAAAATCGAGCTAACTTAAATATCTTTTCTCTGTTGTTTAATTCGGCGAGAGAGGCTCTCTTTCCTCTCTGGAAGTCTCCATAAATTTGAATCCTCGAAGGGTGTGCCACATCGTAACCGGTTTGTCGCGTTTTGTGGTCACGCTAGACCAATGCGCATCTTCGAGTCCAGTCGACTCTGCGCTGAAGGTGACTTCGCCAAGGCTGGAACTTTTACCCATGACGTTGTAATGATTGACAGAGATTTTCAATGTGCAACTGATAAGCTTCTCTCCAGGGATACGGAACAACAGAGCTTCGTTAAAAACCGTGTAAATATCACCGATTTCCTGCAAACTCGTTTTCCTCTTACCAATTTTTTGATTATCGTGAAGGAGAGTTGCTTTTGTGTATAACTTCTCTGAAAAAAAATTAAAGAGAGAGCAGTGTTAAATGACGTTGAAACAATAAAAACCTCCGAAGACCATTTGTATATGCAAGCTTGCACCCTAACGATCTTTATTACTAAATAATCTTCAGAGTGCAGTGATACCGAAAAAATAACTTAAAAAAGGATGAGAAATAATTTTCCCCCTTTACTTCATCTAGGTATATAACTTTGAAATCGCTTTACAACAATTTTCGTTAGCTTTTAGTAACGTTTCGTTTATAATTATCTAGAACACCTGAGAGGGGGTGGGGGGGGGTGTGTGTGGGAGGTTTAGAGGATTGGTCCCATACGATTTTCGTTCTTTTGTGCTACTTTTTTACATTACCATCAGAGTTGCATTTCATTCCGAATGATAACAGGGTGAAAACTTACCAACAGAAGACAGACGTCCTTCTGCTAGGTTCATACCCTTCATTATGGCAACCGTGAGAGTCTGGCTCTTAGAGACGTAACACAAAGACAGCAGCAGATCACCACACTCTGAAGTCACAAGACTCTGTAATGCCCCCACTAAGGTGGTGTACTAAAAAAAAGAAACATGGAAACACATGAAGGTAAAACCACTATTCTGTCCTGTTGTTATCATGAAGAGGGCAAGTAACCTGTCGCTGTTCGGAAAAGGTACTCACGCTCCCATTCCGTTGAATATGGATCTGTACAAATCTTGCTTAGAGCTAACACTAGTGATTAAAATTGACTTTTAACATTAATCTAGGTTGAATGCAAACAGATAATAAGTCGTTAAAGGAGAAACAGGATCTTTGGCCATGTTTGCACGAATTCGAAGATAGAGACAAACAAAGGAGAAAATGAAAAAACGTCATTATTGTTCTCGACCTGCATGTAACTCTGTTTTTCCAAAACAGGCCAGACAAATACGGAAGCGTAAAAAGTGAACTTGGAGTTACAAACTTCCACCCCAAAATAAAACAAAGTATTTAAGCTGGCATTAAAAAAAAAGAAAAAAAAAACTGGTACGTCAGAATAACAACACTCACCGAACCATAAGGATGGTCTAGATAGCACCAAACAATGGTTTCACTTGAAAAGTCACAATATATGAGAGGCACGTAACACTGCCCTAAAACATGGGCGTGCGAAAAACTATCGTAAAAGTACGTGATAAGAAGAAGGCTATGTGCATGAGCGTCTTCACCAAGTTGAATATTGAAAACAAAATTTTCGTTGTACTGAGGGTTCATAGATCGCCTATGAATTGCAGTTCGCTTCCGTCGTTCACGGTATGGGAGTACACAAACTGTCACGCAAGTGTCGATAGTACCAGAGAAGTCACGCGGTGGAAAGTCTTTACCGCTGACAAGCGTAACAGAGAGGTTTCTGGTTTTCCCTTTGTATTTGAGGATTAGATTTAGTTGCCCAAGTTCTTTGTCCATGCCTATCCGCACCGTTCTCTCATAGTTCTGGTACAATTGAGGATTCAGTTTACCAATTTGTTCTTCTTTGAGATAAAAAGATACCAACCTATACACAAGAACAGAATAGGTGTTATTTTGACCGCACCTTATTGGAATAACGTGGACGAGAGGTTGATTCAGGTGAACGAGTCAATCAGTCAGTTGAACATTCAGTCAGTCACTAAGGCAATAAGTTGAACAGTTGACAGTCAATTAATTGATCTGTCAGCTTGCAACCCAATCAGTGAGCCCGTTGGTCATCCAATCGGTTAGTCGAGTGACCAGCCAGTCAGTCAGCCTGCCTGTCAGCCGGTAACTCATTTAGTAAGCCAGTCAGCCAGTTGGTCATTCTTGTCAGTCAATTAATCAGTTAGTACGTTATTCAATCAGTTAGCTAGTAAATTATTCAATTAGTCAGCCAGTTAATCACACCACTCGTCAGTCAGGTTAGTAAGTCAGTCAATCAGTTAGGCAATCGAGCTACCTGTCAATCACTTATTCAGGCGGTCAGCTAGTCAACTAGTCGATCAGACAGCTAGTCTGCTACTTAGTAAATTTATGATTTATCTTTTAGTAAACCAGTGACTTAGCAGTAAAAAGCCGAATTTATCACTTACGAGAGGCGTTTATCCGCAGTAGTCTTTCCAGTCCTGCCTTGTGAGAGATCTGGGTATGGCTGCTGTATCATACAGCTGCGGGACGATGGAATAGTAAACTGCGGTGACATAACCATGCCCTCTCCTGATCTAAAGGATCCGGAGCGTTTGACAGGCGTGCTTCCTTTCCTTTGTTCTGCGCGTTTTGAATGTCTCTTTTTTGATTTCCTCTTCCATCGCGGTTTTTTCCAAAGCTTACGGCATAATTTCCCGAGATATTTACAAAGGGCACCAAGGACAAGAACACTCGATGCCACAAATAAGATAATCAGTCCTTCACTCAGACTCAAGATTGAGTCAGTGTAACTGTCACGGTGCACATCTGAAATTCTGGGCATTTTCTTATCATTCACACAGATGTCGTAGAAATGGGGCGTAACGCAAGGAGAGCGTGACGTTTAAAGAAGTCATCCTTTATGTTCTATTACCTTCCTGCGAAGGCCTGTATTGCTGAAAAACGAGATAAAACAGGGAAAGGAACATTTAATCATAATCAAAGAAACTGGTTCTTCTCATGAGATCTTAGAGAGAGAAACAATCTCAGGGTGAAAGCAATACGTAGAGAATTGACGACTCATTCATCATTTACCACAACCTTGGAAACTGACTTACTGAAAAAAAGCCCATAGTGGGTGAATTTTAACAAAGGAAATTCCAACTGTTGTTTTGGTGTGTCTTGTTGTTTGTTCATATCCTCTGAACAAGTCTTTTTTTCCTCGACGTAATATTCGTGCCGAAACCTGATCTGTGAACCACAATACCTAAGTCATAAGCAAGGAAAATACACTATTTTAGCTACTTTCTCCTTTTGTTTCAACTTGTATAGATCTATTCCAATACAATCTGTGAACACTCTCAAGATCTGAAAGACTGAGGAAAACTTGGCCAAAGATATGACTTAACGGGCGAAAACCAGAGAGTCTTCTTGAAGCCGGAATTTTTGACATGGAGCAGTTATCTTTATAATAAATTCAGCTTGAATTTAACAGCAAAATCCACAAAGATCGCAAAGAACAAATTTCCTCTAAAAATGCGCGGAAACAAGTTTTGTGTAAAACTGTAGCGTGAAAAATCAAAGTCGTAATAGTTCTTTTAATCTGCTGCTTTCTCATAAGGGCGAAAGTCGAACCGCTCGCCTGTTTGTTGGAACTGAATTGCAATTCAAATTCCAAGTTGCTGCAGGGGCTGCTACTCAACAACACCTACTATTCTAAGTTCAACAATCAGATGAGTGTTTACCATAATTTCCCGATTATGGCTCCCGGCGATAGCAGTGAATTGACTCGATGAAACACGTATTTCCGGCCGTCGCCAACGGAGTGTAATCATAAATCATGCAAATTTTGCTTATGGTACAACGGATTAACTGACAGGAATGTCAGTTCAATTGAAATGAGATCCTTTAATACTTGGCATGAAAGTGAATTCCCCTAACTACTAAATATTCCGTTCTGAGTTATTTCCGCTTACTGTAGGGCATCTTGAGCGTAGAAGCTACAACTGTTGCCGTAGTTTGGGTTGAGAAAATGTGAGCGAATATACGAGTTTTTTAATAAAGGAAGAGGAATTCAGATACAAGATACAAAGATGTTGTATCCAAAGATACAACAAAAAAGTACGGTGATACGAAAGATCAGAAACTCGGGTTTGCGCCTGAAACATTAAATACGCGCCCTCTCACTCTGTGGCACCTTATTTTCGAAAGGAATACCCATGTGGGTACCTAGGTCTTTCGTAGGATGGTTAGGGATCATGGTTAGTTAGCCAGATTCAATTAGCAACATAACTGATGCTTTTTCAGCAGAGTGGAGGTTAAATTAGATCCAGTTTTGGACTGTTGTGCTGTCGATCACACTTATAGAGTTTGAGTTAATTAGAAATTCGGAAAATTTCACACTGGCCCGTAAATTTGAAAAATGGAGAAGTGAGCCCTCTAAACGACATGAAATATGCAATTAATAGAGAATGAGATCAGAGCGCCAAGAAAATTTAAGCGGCACAACGGCTCCTCTTCCCCTTCCCCACCTCCTTCCTCCTCCAATTGAAGAAGAAAGGAAATATAAAAAAATTTACTGTTGACTTGCAGATGTGTTTGTCTGTTTAGACTAACGACAGAAAAGAGTGATGTCGAGACTTTTTCCTATAAAAATAAAGATTTAATTGTAACTACGGAAAATAGGGTGTCACACTTGCGTTTTGTGAAATGACTTTAAGACCAGTCAGGAAGAAATGTGAATCAGCTCTGATGTCTTACTTTTTTTCTCTTTTTGTCAGAATTCCAGTTTTTTTTAAAGAGTGCAAGGTTTCGTGACGAGAGAAACGACGATACCCATAAGTAATTGAAGCTTCATGGGAGATGCCGAGACTAACGGCAGATTTTAAAATAGTTTTGGTGTTTAACGATATTGCCGCCGTCCGTCTGCCATTCTCTTAAATTCGTAAGGTCATTTGGTAAAATAAATGATACTGAAGATAAAAACATCGATTTAAACAATACTGTAACAATATGAATATTTCGTCGCAAGATCAGGAATATTAGAGATCAGTTTTTTTTAATTCACGAAAATTACGAAAATAACAAATTTAATTTCTGATATTTATCACTTCTTCAATTTTCAGCTCGACTTTACAGTAGTGTTTGTAGAGTGGCAATCATGAAAATTTCGAAAACAGTTCACCCACCGTTCGATTCACAGAAATTCATGTATGGGGGAAAAAAATCCAGGAACCGCCCGCGGTGAAATGAGTGCTGATTGAGGCCTGTTATGTCGGGTGGCCACGCCGCCATGTCACACCTTTTTATTTGCCGATGTCGCCCAAAAAACAGAGTAAGATTCGTCCTACTTCAGAGGGTGTTGAAATGTCGCTGTCGCCCAGTTGTTAGTACTTTTTTCGGCCTTGAACTTAAGTGATGGGGAGCTACTGACTTGAAGCAAGTTGTTCGTAATTTAGGATCCTGTTTAGTTTCTCTGCTACTCCTCCTGCATTGTTTCTAGAAATACTCTGGGTCTGGTGATCGCGTGAACCTATTTTTGTCCACTGTACTGCTACCAGTCTGGTCTGTTTTTTTTTCTGTTTGTTTTTTTTTTTTTTCAGTGCTTCTCGCGTCGCTGTCTAGTTTTGAGTAGTAACCTAATGGTTTTTCGTTGATAAAAGAGTTCACTACAAGATGTTTGACTGAGGTCATACGGCTTATCGCTAACTGACCCCTTGTTAGGCTTTGAACATTAAAAATGCGTTGTTATTTCCTAACTTGAATTCATAATCTTCATTCAAAATATAATACAGTTCAAGTGCAAATTAGTGCCAATGATACGTGATTTCAAGGAAGTGTTGTTGATCCGGCTAGCATTTTTCCAAATTGTATAGCCGTGAGCGGCTACTGAAACATTTAGACATCCGACTGGTAGGTGTCGCTTCAATACTGACGGCCAGACGCTGTCCAAAGCAGTTCCTAAATGACAGCGAGTCAGGCTAGCCAAACAGACAGTAAAACAGGTTACCAAAAGGACAGAGTAAGAGAACAGGGTTTCTCACAGACAAAGTAAAGCTGACCGGCCAACGACAAAACAGGTTGTCTCAAAGACTGCAAATAATTGCCACAAGATCGGAAATAATCCTTGCTGGTAAGCTGCAATCAAATAAATTGCAGTAAAGATGTTCACACTTCGACGAGACTGGAACTTGTGCAGTACTGAGATCAAAATGCTTCCGGGGAAGGATGACTCACTTAAATTCGCCTCGCTCTCAACATGTGACTTCGTACCTCAGATTGCGGTAATGCCAACTGGTTTCTGGGAGGCACGAGTTCATATCCCGAAAATACCTTAATATTTTTCAGTCTCCTTTTCTTCAAATTGTTTTAGTCAAAGCCCACCTGCGTGGATCATTTTTTTGTTTCATCCGCAGGTCAAAATACCATTTTTTTTTCATTAAATTGTGAAAACAACCTCTGGCGCTAAATTGTTACCTAACCGCAGCGTATGTCATCCACAACAAAAACAACTGAATGAAACGTTCACGAAAATACAGCGAAATGAGATATTCGAAGGTAAAAAAAATCTAAGGATTATTTTGGCTTTCAAGCCATCTTGTGTTAACTTGATATGGAGATTCTATTGTCAGTATCAACTTTACATAATCAGCCAGTGACGTGGTGGATTAACATAATGCGTGCGGTAAAGCCACATTGTTCGTCTGCCATTTCTATTTTAAGACCCGTATTAAATTAAAGCGTGTCTCTTCGAACAACGGGGCTAACTTAGGTCTTTGACTTAGCGCCAATATCAGCAGAGGTCACCTCGATATAGGCACCGTAAGTGAGTGATGTGTGTCACACGTTGATTTTAGCACGATCTTCATTCAGAGCCAAGCACAAGCTGTAATTTTAATTTCATTCAAATCAGTGACTTAAATCTGTGTGAATTTGGTTCAGTCGAGGCAGTGTTGTTCCTTCGCAGCGATGACTTACGCCGGCGACACACGCAGCGCTGATAGTCTAGATGTAGTCCTCGTCGCTAACAAACGAAAGCCTAACTTCACGGAAGGAGAAAGCTTGTTCTTAATCTCTCAGTTTGAGCGAAACTCGGAAATACTCACCTCGAAGTTGAACGATGCGACTACCAACAAACAAAAGGTCGAGGTGTGGAAGCGCATTTGCAGAGATTATAACAGCAAGAATCCGATCGTCCTACGTACTGCTAACGATTTAAAGAGAAAATGGAAAAACATGGTTCGCGCAGCAAAGAAAGAACTCCTGGAATCTACCGCAGATTCAGAAAGTGGCGAACAGGTAACGCCAAGGAAATTGTCACTAGTGAGTGAAAAGATTATAGAGATATTACACATAACGGCCTCTAATTGTAGAATCGGGGAGGGAGCAGGGATGAGTATCGATCGCAGTTTGGCCACAACCGATCAGTTAGAGCAAGCTTTATTGGAGGACGGAGAACAAGAGGAGGGGGAGGTTGCCGAGCAAAATGGAAAGCAACGAATCATGCATGTCGTGGCACAAACCGGAGAAATAGTTTCCCCAACCTCAAACAATGAGCAGACCGTAGAAAACACCCACCAGGAAAATACCAACGGAGAAACAGCCTGTTTCTCGAAAGATCAGGAGAAGACCCCATGTCAGGTTTTTCCAAACAGTAGCGGAATTCATGGTTGTGCTCCCGTTCCCATGAACATCGTCTCCTCTTTTCAGGAAGTCGGGAAGTTTCCGAGTCAACATACTGTGATCGCAGCGAACGCTTCTATAAGCGGAGGAGGTAGACATCGCATTCTTATCCCGCAACAGAAACGTATGCTTTCCTCTCCGCTGGCGCACGTGATCAAAAGGAAAAGAAATTCCGAATATGGGAATGAGTCACCCGGCTCGCACGTGAGAGATGAAATAGAAAAACTCAAGAAGGAAAAACTCTTACTAGAGAAGGAAAAGCTGGCTTTGGAAAAGGATAAATTGATGATGGAGAAAGAAAAACTTGCTCTTGAAATCCAGTTCCTACGCGATCAAATAGATACATAGGGGAATGTCGCTTCCGCTCGGCTTTGGAAAAAAACAATGACTGTCGCACAATGATCACAATAAAGAGTTGTTTTCTAAGAGCTAGGGTTGTCGTTAATAGAAAATCTTTTAATCCTTCAGTTCAGTCTAAGACTAATTTAGGAAATCTCATTTCAAACAATTTTAATCTTCGTGAAACGGTTGCGAGAGACTGTTGGGTTATCAGCTTGTTTTTATCTTTACTAGAAAAAATTACAGTGTTACTGCACCATCTATTTTTGAGTTTGATAATGATGACTAAGAACCCAGGATATTTTACGGAGACCTTGGCTTTGCACTCTGTTGATCGTAGATTTGAGAAACTCTTGCAAAATACTCCCGTCAAACATAACAAAAGAGCACAACTAAGCGGGAGAAATCTGAGATTGAGATTTACTAGGCAACGTTGTAAAACTTTTTTAAAATTCTCTTTTTCTAAAGACTGAATATTAAAGATGATTCTTGACCAATGACTTCGCGACAGGAGACAATTACATCAAGACTATTGCGGAAAGGCACCAAGAACAATTCTTCTTGCGTTTCAATTGCAGCTTTTTATCAATTCTTGATATAGTTTTTATAAATATTTTTTATTTCTAGGTATCTTTTATTTTACTGAACATTGTCTAATTTACTACTTTGAACCTAAGTTAGGACCTTTCCTGAAAACCACAGTGATGTGATGAAAGTTTCCCAATAAAAGATTGTAATCGGCAACAATGTTAATCCTTAGAAATAATCCCAACCCGTGCAGTTCCATTTTACATCCGTGCATGCGGAACTGGTCTATAATTTTACAAAGATTTTTTGTGTTTGTTAAATGAATAAAAAAAAGCTAATATAAAGTAATGATATGTGGTTGTTTGTTTCGAGTTTCCTTTCGAGTTCTGGCGAACAAAACATAACGGCGATTTTTCTGATGTCGATAAATTTGTGACCAAAGCTTTCTAGTTGCGTGTATAATCGAGGTTTAGCTGATCTGATTTAACTTGCATCGAAGACATAATTGAATGCAAAGGAAATATTATGTCGTTTTTGGTTGCAAATATTGGCACCTTATTAAAAACGTTATCATTAACTTGAGCTCGAAAATGTTACCAGATATTTAATATCGACTACATGCCATGAAGAGAATAGTACTTCTGATAGTTTAGTTCGGTAATTTTCGCCAAACAGGGACTCGGTGAATTTAAAAGATCAGAGAGAAATGCCAATGAAAACTATTCCCCGTTTTTTGCGCGTGAATGGTTGTTATCCGAAGCATGTATTTGACGATGATAGAAGGTTCAAAATTAAAAATTATACAAATAACTGATCCAGTTTTGCTCGACAAAAAACAGACTCCTGTGGAATAATCACCTCAGTGTGGTTGAAAATAGCCGAGAAAGTGAGCAACATCCTCAAATCATACCGTATAATAGAACGATTTAGCTCGTCTTTCATAGACTGCTCGGCGACCCATGCACGCTATTGTTATAAGATTGTGGATTCTTCGGACCATTAACTCTGGATGTCTAGCCTAGTAAATGATTGTTCTACCATGCATGTGGTCGTTAACTGAAGCGTTCAAATGCTTAACGGAAACACTAAATTTCAAATCTTTTCCTAAGCGGTTAGAAACTGGTTCACTTCCATGTACACGAGCGACTTGAGTTAACAATGTTTGTTCAAGGTATGAACTCCCAGCGAAATTGTGTGCAGAAATATTTCAGAATGAAACTCATTAACTCAGACAAAACTTTGAAAGTTTAATAAAATTGAGAATAGGAAAGCGTATTTCATAATAGAGTAGCATATTTCTAAACGAAAGAGAATAAAATTCTGCACACGAAACTGCGTAAGAGCATAATTGTAAAAACCATCCTAACAAATCAAAACAAAGTTGGTAACGAAGACATTAGTTCATGCACTTACTTGAGAAGGTCGACTTTCTCCTTGAATAATTTGATGACATGAACTTCTTCCAATTTCTTTCTATAATCTTTTGCCCCCTTTTATGCAACTTTACTCGCAGACCACGAACTTTTAATGCTGAGCGTCAACTGTTCATCTCGGTCAAATTTTTAAATACATATTAAAATTTTTAATTGTTAACGGTGAGTGTTCTGGAGTCACGCTTGATCGCCCAACTGACACGAATTGCCTTTGTGCGTAAATATTTACATTTTTCGCAAAAAACTTGGAACAAAGACATGGACTGTCCATTACTTTAGGTAACACCGGAATCCACAAAATTCTTATTAATATTTAATGAAACATCTGTCTGATTTTTGTTCTGCTACACGACTAATTACCCCCAAAAAAATCTGAAATACGCAATGTCAAAGTCTTCGCAGGAAAATTAATTGAAGCAGTTCAAAGCGTGATTATAAGTTGATGAACATAAACGAGGACCAAAATTTACAAGTCACTAGCATGAGTTCATAAAGGCTCTTTAAACAAAGTTCACAGTTAAACGGCTCAGACATTAATTCAAAGGAAAAACTTTTAGCGTCAGAAGTATTGTTATCATTATTCATAACTTCCCCAAAACCTGAAATGCAAGATCAATGTCACATGAGATCACAATCGTCGTTCGAGTCTTTGTGAAATGTCACAACACATTACTTTACTAAGTCAAGTTAACAAAGAGCGTTACGTAATTCTTTTGGGGCGCTGGAAAACAAACAATATGTTTAGAAATTCTTTGTCGCTATTTAACTCCTTTCATGGTGGTCCGACATAAAAATCCAACTGATTTTATTTATATTGTACTAAACGAACGACAATAAAAAATAACTTAAGATGTCGCTTTCCTAAGTGTACATTTGAATCGATATCTGACCACGAACTTCATTAACGTTTGAATTCGAATCCATAATGAACTGATTCGTTTGGTATTTGAGCTAACTATAGCAATAGCTTATCTTCTAAAAGAAAGAACGACAAAGATTTGTGTTCAAGAAATTGGGGTGAAAATTTATTTAAAGTGACACAAGTGATGCTTAAAAAGTAGTACTCTGGGATGTGTGAGTTGTACCCTTCAGTAAAAAAAATCAACCCAATTGAGATTTGTTCATTTACGTTTTATCCGCATCTCTCACAGTTTGCCTTTTTTCACTTGGAGTTGTTCCATCCCACTCTCTGGTTTTCCGTTGTAATCGTTTTGGTTTTGGTTTAAAGACATCTTAAAACGAAACTTAGTCGAAATTCCTGATAACTGTAATCTCTGTTGCAAGTCTACTAAGGTCCTGTAATCAGCATATGTAAGTATTAGGGACACCGACGCCCAAAGGGGTGTTACTGGGGAGTGATTAACAGACCTGACCAGAGATCATCCTCCAATGCCACGAGAAATTCATTCCAGAATAAAGTACTGGCTACTGATGAAATCTCCTCCAACCTCCTTGCTGTTAGCAAATACATTCTATACTAGTAGCCGTGCTCTTCGATTCCCTTATCCATGACGATATGCCGGAGCTATGCTTGAGTCTGGTCTGCGGCAGCCGTGATTTATTGGAAACACTGCCTAACAACACTTAAAAAGGTGGAGGAATTGTTACTGCTTATATTGGGTTAGAGGATAAGGGTCCACATCGTTTTAGTGAACATTTATTGCTGAAAGTCCACAGCTGTGAAAAAATTTTCATTTCAGTCAGGGCAGTGTTCTGCTTGGGGAAATTAAGTACCAGCCGAGGTGGTCTGCGGTCCTGAAATCCCCACCCTACCCCCTCCTTTCTACCTCTCGTGTCGATATTCTAAGGATTCAGCAATCAAAGTGAATAATAGGTCTTCTTGAGGAAAAGGCTGCCTTATCTTCTGAAAGGTTCACACCGTCACTGATCCTAGCCCTGGCAAAATTCTGTGAACGGTTTTATTGCGTGGTTCTGCTCATATTAAGAATTTGGGGATCGTAACACATTCGTCTCTTCGAGCCAAATTGTATCTGCTCTCTCCGTGACTGAATTCTTTCGGGGACCTTTTTAACCAGTCACGGAAACCATTCATGTTTCAGTTCATTAACCTTTTTGGAATCGTATTCGTCTTGTAAATAGTTATAAGTTAGCTTTAATAATTACGATTGAGTTACATACCAATGATTGGCCCTTTGACCCCAATGAGTGATTAGCATCTTATTTCTCCTTACAACATCACTCCTGAATCAAACATTAAGGTCACGAGAATAAAGCAAATGATCACCAACTTTAAGAGCTCTTAATTGTAGAACAAACTCTCCTTTTCAGCACCATTGGGAATGAGTGGAGAGCGTTATAGAGAATGTGCATCGCGATGCTAAGGTGTAAAAGGTGAATCTAAAACAGGATAGGAACTATCGGTTCCCTGTCGTTTCGTACCCAGCTTGGCTGATTCGCCCACGCGCGAGATATTTCGAATGTATATTGGGACGGATACGGGTGGACCGGCGGTTGGCGCACAGACCGACTCAAACTGAGCATAAATCGACCGAATTTGGATACGAAACGACTGGATACCGAACTAACATATTAACACATCTATTGTACTGACAGATTGTTTGGAATAGTTTGCCTAAACTGGGATCATAAACTTGTTTATGTCCATAAATTTTAGTCTCCTTCCACCGTGATCAAATGAAGGCCAAGTGACTGTGTGACCTGTATTCCTAGGGTGAGGTTTAATTTATTTGGGAGGAAAGTTGCTCTATCTATTTCAGTTTGAACATTCTAACAGCAGTTTTAAAATGTGGTAAATGGTAAATACTGGCAAATTTCTTCATCATGCAAAATATGCCAAAAATCCTAAAGTATACTTTAAGGATTTCCATATATGAAAGGTGTCTCATTTTTTTACCATGTTATCTTGAAGTTGATCACCACTTTGTAAAGGAGAAATTAAACCAAGAATCTAAACATTTCCTTTTAACACCCTAACATCAATATGCATATTCTCTTCACCATTCTGCGTAAATTGCCTGAGGTATCGACAAGGAGAATTTGTTTAACAATCAGGAGCTTCTTCAGTTGGTGATAATATTCTTTATCCTCATGATGTTATGTGTGATTCAGGGGTGATATTGTGAGGAGAAATAAGATGCAAGGGTTTAAAGGTTACACTATTATTGCAACCTCAACCACATGTAACAAACCGGACTCTCCCATTAAGAAATATTACAAAAGGTTTAAAAGCATCTGCTAATCAGTGTGGAGCAATTTTCATACTTTGAATAACAACCCTGTAGGTATTTCGTCTTTTTATGCTTACTGTATTAATTAGAAGATCCTATTTAAGAAGACTCATCGTTACACTGGTATGAGTTCATCTGATACCTATGTTTTCAGTTGATTGCACTCAGAAAGTTGCTCTGGTTGGCAAAGTGAACTGATCATAGAGGTGAAAAAGAAAGAGAGTAACCTTAATATTACAAAGATATCTAAACAAATAAGTACAGCTATGAAATTAGAGGTGGCCTCCAAAAGCTTTTTGTGATTGAGTCAGTTTGCCTGCCCAAGACTTAGAACTGTTTTCAAACATATACAGCAATTTTACACAACTGAATGATGATTATTATTGATAGCTTTCATAACCAGGATCCTCGTCCACTGTCATAGGCTGAGACAGAATGATGATATTATCTGCAAAATCAAAAAAAGAAAATTAACAAAACCAAAGGCAGAAATTTTCCACATAAATGTTTTCCCAGTTGACGTAGTTTCTTTTGAAAAGCCATTTGTGAAAGTGTAGTTTGATTGTCCAGGTGAGTGTAGTCCTGAGAAGGACTGTTGTCAGTAGTGGTGACTGATGTTTTGATGTTTTGATGGCAGGGCTCGAAATTAGCACTCGCGAAATGCGAGTGGTTTTTCGAAGTTGCGAGTCTAAAAAATATCCTCTGGCAAACATTTGCGAGTACCGGTATTTTTCCAGTAGAATTTCGATTAAAAAATTAACGCTGAAAATGGCTGCATTGAAAAGTTGCTAGTTAGGTTCCTTCTTTTGCTAGTAAAAAAAATCTTACTAGCAAAACTTTGCTAGTAGACAAAAAAGTTAAGTTTGAGCCCTGGACTGTAGAAAGCAATTTGTTGTTCAAGTTTGTCTTATTTCTCATGTAAAAAGGGAATGGAAAAGGTAAAAAAATACAATACTAATGATCCTTTACTTTGAGTTACCTGTTGGCAAAATACTGTAGCATGCCATAGTTTGTCATTGGAGCTGTTTCAAGCCAATTTGTGAAATGTTAATTTAAGGCAAACAATTGAAAGCTGTTTACAAGTTGTCAATAAATTCTTACTGGGAATGATACTTGTGCTAAACCTCTTGATCCCTTCCTGGTCAACATAGTTGTTGTAGTCTATATGTCCTTCAACAAACAGACGTGTTCTGGGAGTTAAACAGAAAATATGAATTTACTCATAGAACAATATTAAGTAAAACAACAGAAACAAGTGCTGAGAATAAATAAAAATACCAAGTAGGGGTTTCATGGTTGATACAATACCAATTCCTTTAAACTAAAATCATAAGAAATGTACAGCAAAGAGGAATATTGGAAAATTCTCCAAATCTGAATTAAAAAAAACTGGCTGAGGCCTTCAAATTCAGTTAGAGAATTCTACACGATACCCAGAGAATTCTCTGATCTCCAGTTCTGTACATTGCACTGAAAGGGTATAACCACCAATACTTTCTGAAATCTTCACTGAGATCCTTAATTGAACAATGTTTCTAAGCTACCAGTAACTTTCACTTTAGTAGGCAATTCAGGGCTAGAATCAAAAGCTAAGGTTTCATGAATCTATAACTAAATCCATGATAGTTTTTTTTATGAAGAACTTACCCCTTTCTCACATAGCTGTTAACTGTATCTTGTAAGTAGGGTCTGAAAACTGTAATGTTGTGCCACTGTGTCCTACTCTCCAGTTTTTCTACAAAGCAAGGGAGTCAGATGAAAACAGTAGTTCCTATTGAAAGGACAATAAACATCATTTAAAAACTACATTTCAGCACTGGAATCATGTCAGAGTGACCTCAGATAATTTGTTGGTGTAGGTCAGAGGGATTTAATCAGACTGCGTTGACAAGGCTTTTTCTACATCATTATTAGAAATGGTAATAGGACTGAGTGGACAACAATACAGTAATTCGGCATGTGATTTCAAATTGGCCCAATGCATATCATGACACTGGTGTGAAATTTGAAAGTGTGATTACCCCTAAATTGTTTGACAAGTTCAATTACCAACTGTACCAATGACAAAATATGGGGAACAAAAACTTCAATTTAGGAGTATGGACCCTTCTTACTGATACTGAATCATAGTCATTGGACCAGTTCATTTGTATGTTTGTTATCAATGTCGACCTCTCAACCTGCTTAACTTAAAAATTCTTCTTCATTTTGAGTGGCTAGCATCAGCTTGGTAGTAAAGTTTTGTTGGCTCAGTTCACTTAAAATGCAAAAATTTTAGTTGGCTGCTTAACTGTCTGATTTGAAAGTGTTTGTAATCAGATGGGTGAAATTGGATAGTTTGGGCTTAAAAAAGCCAATTTAGCCACAAATAAGGGCTGTAAAGAACCACTTGGTTTGTTATTGACACAATTATGGGTATTATATTAATTTATAAGCAATTTCTGAGTAAATCCATTAGAGAGAAAAGGGGTACAGTAGGTTGCATTGGACTTCCTTGTCACCATAAACATAATCTTTAGAAATAAAAAAAGATAAAAAATGTGAATCTCTGTGATTAAAAAAAATACTTAATAATAAAATTTTCATTCATTTTGTATAACATATCAAGACTTTTCCTGGCAGCACTTTTCAAATGAAAGAAACACTTCAACCTTACACCTACAACTTTGCCTTCTGCCCTACAAACTTTTACATATCAGGAGGATAATACATTCCTTGTTTTGTCAAGAGTTGACTGACAAAGATACATCATTATTATTTACCTTCTCTTGATGTATAATATTGTGTTGTTGCCAAGCTAAACTTAGTTGGCTGGTAGTCTGCACTCCCTTTCACTGGATCACCACCTGTATAACCAATCAACTGTACACTGTTGAGACCTGTGGGCATGAATGAAACAGCTTAGATAAATTTTTCATTTTGAAGGATATCCTGATAGTGGTAGCCTGATGCCTGCTGTTATGGACCCTGCATAGAAAGGTTTGGGTTTGACCTGTGGCCAGGGTTGTGATCATGGGTAAGACATGCCCTTTCATATTGCACCTTCTAAGCCAGGATACCAGAAAACTGCCACAGAGAAAATACTTCAAGTGGAAGAGTCAAACTGAACCGATTAGCATTCCAGTCAGAAGGATATCCTGTATACCCAGTTGCTTCATTCTTCAATAACTATGATAAGCTTCACGTGTTATTCAAGTCAGTCTTATATATCAGGGAGCTACAAATTTTGCAGTTTTGACACTTGTACTAAGGTATATTGCCAGTATCAAGGCCCCTCATTCACTTTGAGGTCCACCAAAAGTAAAGGTAAACCTTCACAAATTTGAATTTCGTTAATAATTAACGAAATTCAAATTTTTAATTATTAAACTTCCATCTAACATAACAATTAATTCAGCTTTTTTCTTCAGTCTTCTGCCACCAGCTGCCTTAGACTGCATGTTACTTTCCGTTAGTTTCTCTTCAAGAATTAGAGTTAGTTATGTTCAGTTCCATTCTACATAATGAATGTTTTCAGGAACTAGTCCTCATAGTGATTTTAAGTGTACCAGTCCAAAGATCTGTGATCAGGCAAGTTCAAAGTGAAGCCAGAGATACAATATCAACCGCTGAACGTAATCCATAGCCGCCTTTTATGACGTGACCCAATCCTCTCATTGGAGAAAATTAAACCCTCTGAGGTGGGGGAAGAGGGGAGTTCAAACTGATTGCTTTAAACGCTTCAAAATAATTTGATTTCAGAGATTAAAGGCTACGATATTTATTGTATTCTATCTTAAATGAAGTGAGGATTCCAATGACGAGCACACCATCTGCAACATGCTGACTTACACTTTCCGCTTCTCCGAGGCACTTCTCCTTCACATCGTGTGGCGATTCGTTTAAGCTGAAAAGAACAACAAAAATTTATCATAAAATATTCTCTCAAAACCCAGGAAAGAGTATAACTTGGTAAAGGTACAAATATTCCCAATCTTACCTGCACGAGACCTTGTCGACGAAACATGCTTGCAGAGTGTCTGATCATTTGCTTTGTAACCTCGCCTCACTTACTTTCCCGCGCAGTCTAACCTAGTTTATTCCACAAATCACGGCTTTTTATATGGATATCAGTTGTATGAAGGACTCATAGACCGTTTTCACGAAAGGAAGGTTTACTCAAACATATCAGAGGAAAATTTTCAGCCAAAATGGCTTTGTAACATCTTAAATCTCTATTTCCTCACAGCTACCCCGTAAAAACAAAACACTCCAGAGCACTGCGTTAGTCTCCAGTCTACCGCACTCAAATTGGAAAAGGTGTTACCATTTGTTACCATAACAACAACGACCCGCCATGTATATGTATTTCCGAAACTGACCGAAATAGGCAGCGAACAGATTGTGGTAGTAACAGCAATATTTTGCCTCCTGAAAATGTACGATCGAGCCCCAAGGTCACTTACGAAACCAACAGACAGTACAGGTCAGAATGTTGGGCCAGGATCGTATGAAGCCGCGGAACATGGACGCACAAAACACGGTATGGTTTAGAAACAGCAGAACAAACTATGCAGGTTTAGTTCAGCTGTGACGTGAATTGAAATTTTGTACTTGGTACAGCGTAAAACTCAAAACTCACCTTTCAGTAAAGAAGCAAGTGTATTCCGAAAGATGTTAGTACAAACCCAAAACATATAGCACTATAAATCGACTCGTAATCTTCTTACTTTACCAATATGTATGTGCGTGTGGACTAACATTGTTACCTTCAACACTTCCTCAAAGTAATCGGGAAGAAAAATACCATAGGGACGTTACAGCACCCTTAACAGCTAAGCAGCAGTAATACCAATAGATCAGAGGTAACTTCTTAGCTGCCCATGAGAACTCACCCGTAAATTGGGCTGTTTCAAGCATGCTCAATATGTAATGTGTATGTAGGAGTTGCGTTGTCGTTTCTTTCAGCAGTTGCTACATCTACAACAACGACTTATTTTGACAAAATACTTACCGACCTACTACAACTACTGAAACAAACTCCTCAGGTTGTTGAAACGTTATTCACTACCACTGACAATAGCCCTTCTTAGGACTACACCCACCAGGACGATCAGACTGCACAATGAAAATAATGTTATCTCCAGGTTCAAACCATTAACTGCATTGTTTATTTTGACATTTAAGGCTGGTCTGTGTTCTAAATTGGATCTTAAAATGTAGGTAATAATTTCGTTGACTTGAAAAATTGAAGGCCAATTACCCAACTTTTGTGATCTGCAGATGGATACGCACCATTCTTATCCATGACGGCACGTGAAACATTTCTTGATGTTGGTGACAATGTCATGGCTGCACCAGGACCTGGCCAGTATGATCCTGGTATAATGGGAGAGAGAGTGAGGGGAGGACACACGCTGGCCAACAGAGTGAGTACTGTGTTTTCATCAATCTTTTCAATTTTTTCCTATATGTGATTAATATTTCACCATAATCATATATATCTCCAGAAAACTACTTTAGAGTGATGTTAGGAATGTTCACACTACAAATTCATGCCAAAATCTGAACAAAGAACTGAACGTGTTTAAACTAAAAGTTGTTTGTTGGAATGTTCTTTTGAATATATATTACGTGCTTTGTAACTGAATCGAAATCTTTACAACCTAATTGGATGGTCTGTTGGTCTAATTTTTTTAGTTATTTTATTAAATTCTTAGTACATGTTGTTTGTTGGTTCTGCATGTGGATAGTGGGTATAGCAAATGGTTCAGTGCTAACTATTGGTTTGTCCACTTTTGAAGTTGCAATTAATTGGCTCAGCATCACTGAGAAATTCAGAGAAAAAATAAAAATGATAAATTTATTTTACCATGATGAGATGACTTCCAAAGTGCACATATTTATCTGAAATACTGCATGTATATTCTCATGCAATTTATGAATTGAGACCTCATCTATCATTACAGGCTTCTAGATTCAGTGATAAACAATCTCATACCCCTGGGCCAGGAGCTTATAACTTACAAAAAAGAAGTGATTGGTTGAGAGAGAATCAGCCTCAAAAGGCACTACCTCCTGATATACAAGTTCAAGAAGGAATGAAAGATGGATCTGTAAGTGGCAGAGATTTTGTTATAATATGTCATGTTGAAAAACAGTTTTTAATTGATACTGAAACATTCACGTTTTTTCTGTAATAAACCAAATATAAGTACTACCTGCCTGGATTTGACGCAAGTTGCTGTTATTGATTTCATGTTGTTGATGGGTGAACAACTGAACCCCTTGATTTGTGTGATATTTAATTCAAACATCAAGCTTCTGGCTATTCCATTCTGTTGCCTAGTTCAAAGTGTAATGAGATGAGACCATTCTTGGAATTTCATCACCTAAAATAATGTGTAAAACTTGACAAGGATGACTCTTCACTTGACAAAAAGTACATAATTATACAGTATGTATTAACAGCAATATTAGCAGAAAATAATTTTAATAATTATACTCATCTGAATGTATGTTTTTATAGCTATACAAGACAAGTCGCATAACATTTCAGAGGAAGGCTGACCCACCCTCCATTCCATCACCTGGCAAAGCATATGGATATGAAGAAGGAGCAGATGGAACTCTACGGCCACAGGATGTGCCAAATCGTGACAGCACCATGGGACCTGCTTATTATAGTGTTAATCACGTAAGCATTAAATTTTAAGAAATTAGAATCAGAGGCTATGATTAAAAAATACTAACAATGAATCAAATGACTAGCTGTAATACAATGCATACAGAGATGGTTAAAAAAATGTAATATTTGCTTTCAAATTATTCTCATAAAAAAGAGACACAAACTGAGATCAATAGAGCAGTCTTTAGAGTTATAATTACTAATATAGTCATGTTTTTTAGATTTTTTTACATTTATTTACAATTTTAACTTTTCATTTAGAGGGAAACTGCCACTGTTCAAAGATACAGGGGAGTTCATTTTGGGAACAGAACATCAAAGAGAATGCAATTTAAAGGTTGGTCTGGTGTTAAGATGGACACGTACAGTATGTGAGAAACTGTGCTCTGATTACTTAGAAGTCCTGAGAGGGTTAATGCTCATTGCTACTATCTTAAGGTAGCTTTAATTTTTTATTACACTTTTCTTGCTTGAAATTAAATTGTATCACACTGGTAATGAAACTGTTTATGTATTTCTCAGGAACTGGAGGACCAGGCCCTGGACAGTATGATCCATTTAGGGACCCTGGAATTAGAGCACCAATTGATCTGGTAAGTTATGAAATGAGTAGTCAAACTTATAAATTTAAAGTAGTTGTAGCATTTTTCCTGCTATGTGAGTGTGTATAAAGAGAAATAAATAAAAAATAGTGGAGAATAGTTTGGAATACTTTAGGTAGATTTTGCCAAAAGGAAAGAATTATGAAAGAAATACTGTATGTAAACTAATTATGAACTTTAAGAGTCGAAAGTCTGCATTTAAGTTTAGTGTTCCACATTTGCTAGAGCTTAGCTCTCATGAAGTAACTAGGACAGTTGTCTCTACCGACACCCAGAGATGACCTGCTACTTTATCAATGACTACCCACAAGCCAGGCGGTGTGCACACTGCAATTGTGTTGCATTGTGGTAACTTCATTTTTAATATGGTGATGAAAGCAGCAGAAATCAGCAGATTTTGACTGAACATTCTGTAAAAGTTAGGCTGTTCCTTTTCCTTTCACCATAGGTAAATGTAATTTTTCACGAAGGAATAACAGGAGTCGTGCAGGCCTGCAAACACTTTTTAATGTTCAAAGGAATGGCAACAGGCAGTGAATCCCCATTACATTCCATGTTTATTCACGCTATCTCCCTGCCACCAGAGATGTTCACTCAACCACAACAGGATGCAAATGACTTACTTTTCATTTTATGACCATGATGCAATGTAATCAGAGTGTGCACACCACCTGCCCACAAGCTATTGATCAGGTTTCCCTGGCAGGTGGCTGCTAATTATTATCCCTTCACACCCAAATGTGAATATTCATATTCTCCTTACTGTTCTGTATACATTTCTCAAGGTGCTGATAAGGAGAATATGTTGAACAATCATGAGCTTCTTTAGTTGGTGATAATTTCCTTTATTTTTGTGACCTCAATGCTTGATGCAGGAGTGATGTTGTAAGGGGAAATTAGATGCAAGTCAATCTTAGGAATCAAAGGGTTAACAGTTAACATTCCTGAGTGGAGAAAGAGTCTCTGTGAGAGTAAAGTATGTTGCTGAAGATTACACGCATAATCATGATATATTTACTTCTATTAATGTTTTCTTTTCAATTGCTAGGTGATAGAGGAAAGCAGAAAGCAACCTTTTGAATCAAAGGTAACATTTTCAACAAAGCTAACTGTTAGACAAAAAATTATACTGTATTTAAGGTTCAATTATCATAAAAAAAGTCAGAGTTGACACTGGCATATTATTGATAAAATAGTGAGTGTAGATGGAAGCTTTACAGCTTTACTTTGGATATGTAATTATGGTCAACATGTATAATTTACACACCAACAATAAAATGACAAAGAATGATTTATTTTTTTCTTTAGTTACCCCGATATCATGAATCTATAGTGGTTGTGGAAGAAAAGAAGGTAAATTATGACCTAGTAAACTTTTCATGTTCAAAAGTTTTGCTGCAAAAGAAATATGTCACTAATGATCATGATAACTGAAATATAATTCTAATAATTAATTCTGTAATTACCATATCAATAGTTAGTACTGAGTCACGATGCAGCAGTTGCCACTTGTTGGTATTAAAGAATTATAGTACATTTAGAGGCACAAAATAATGTTAAATGCTTGGTAAACACTGAAAACTTGTGTGCTTGTGCTTGCTCTGGTTGTCCAAAGGTTGGATAATGCTATCCACTGGATTAAACTCTATCTGGTGAATAACTCTATATGTTTTGCTGTCACTTATTGGCTGGATAGTGATTTATCCATTAGTTAGTGTTATCTGCCCATGACACAACTGGGCCTTGCAGTCTATAGTTTGTAGTATTTGTGGAGTAATTAGTTCAATCACTTACCAGTTACAAGGTGAAATTTAGAAAATTTTAGATGCAGGGGCTGTGACAATGTTGCAGTTGTACAACTTTTTTTCGGTCATACTTACCATTATGTGTCAAATTCTACATGGTTTGAGATTTTTCAAACCATTTTGAGTGTTAGCTTTTCTTTGTTTATCTTTGATTTTTGAGGACTCATATAAGTCAATTACAACTAAAATTTACCAACCAAGCAAAAGTTAAAGCCACAACATCACTACTTCCACCCCAAAAATCATTTCATACTACCTCAAATGATTTCCAAGAAAGTTTACTTACTGGTAATTTGAACACTATTAATAGTATATTACTAGCTTATTGGTATGTTTTTCTTTACTTGTAGGCTGTTCCAGGTCCAGGGAAATATGAAATTAGAAGCCAGTTCTCAGCTAAACCACCACCTGTCAATCAGGATGAACCAATCATTCATCCTCCATTTGGCACTCAGTCCAGGGTATGCCACTTCTAATTTTTTACTCAGTTTTTCTGTTGTTTTTGTCTTTGTTTTCTAATCTGGTAGGCTGTTGCCTTTTTAAACCTCCTACCGTGGAATGAAATTCCTCTTGAAATACATAAAAAGGACACCATTAGCACCTTCAGTTCAGCCATGAAAAAACATTTCATACCATAGTGTTGTAAATAGATAATCTATGTGTTTTGGATTAATTTTTGTATATGTTTTTAACTGTAGATGGTAGATGTTTTTGTGATTAATATTCATACTTTGTATTATTCTTAGTTATTTTATAAAGATATCTATGTGTTCTGAACTAATAATTGTATCTTTTTTATTTTTAACTGTAGATGATAAATATTTTGTGATTGAGATTCATACTTTTTACTATTCTTAGTTATTTTATGGTTACTGGGTTGAATTTTTAGCACAGAGGGCTACTAGTTTATCAGTTATACTGTCATGTGTTATCCTCTCTATTAAAGTTGTTACTTACTTATTACTTTCCAAATTTCTATACTAAAGAAAACTTGCCACAAACTACCTTAACTCAGAATGAACGTGAGTGTATTATTCCTTTTACATTTTTCATTTGCCTTATTTAGCGCTTTGGAGACAGTAAGAAAGACACACCTGCTCCTGGCACATACAATGATCCACGCAATTCCCTAGAAATACTTAAAAGGTATGCACAAGTCTTCCATAATGATTAAGTAACAGTTTGTTCTATAAAATGTCAGTCCTTTTTCTGATTTGAGTCTCCATCACCTTCTGGAATTTTCAGCATTGGTTCAAAATTTATAGATCAAACTCTTTCTTTTGATTTTGCATGACCATTTTTGGTGTCTTGGGAATCTGGTTATTTCCTGGAGCAACTTGTAAAATACTACCTGTCATATTCTAAAGTCAAATCCAAATAGATGGTTCTTAAGGTTCAAGAAGTTATCATCAGGAGAATATTTATGATATACTTGACATATTTTTCCACTGATGTTTATTTTTCATAATTTGTAGGACTACAGGACTGAAGCGAAGTCCTTTTGGTCAAACATCTGTGCGATTTCATGGGGAACATCATGTGAAAAGGACCCCTGGTGAGTGACAATGCCATCATGTTAGATACATCTTATTTTACCCTTTCAAATGCAAACCATGATTCTAAATCAGTAATGTGGCTTCTCTTAACATTCCTTTGTCTTATATTCAGTTGAGAGCTTTTTTAGCTAGCAATGCATGCAAAAACTTCTGAATCTAACAGAACTTTGTAAAGCGTTGTAATGTGCCAAAAATTGGAGACACCCTCTGTCACCAAAATCAAATATGGTTGCGGTGACATGAAGGACTATTTTAAACATTAGATGCCAATTGTCACTCCCTATTGAAATGCCAGCATAATTACATTTTCACTTCTGCTTAAAGCCAGAGAAATTTTTAAGTTATTGTTTAGTGTGTTATGGTGCCTTTTCATATTTTTGGTCTTGATTACTTGTTTACAACTTTTTATTTTTTTATTTTCACAAAATTTCATTAAATACACTGTTTGCATTATGTTGGCACTATTTAGAGGAAAAAATTACATCAATCATATAACTCATCCAGGGTAATTTTAAATGCTCTATCATAGGACCAGGATCATACAGCATTCCAGACATGACATCAGAGTTGATAAGAAAGGCCCAGTAAGTATCATTTGATACAAGAGTATCTTTTTCTGCTATTTGTAAATTGTTAGAGATCACTGGCTTATTAACTGAATTTCCATGCTTGAATGGCTGAAAGTAACTGTTGTCTTGAATAGAAGTTATTTCCAAATTGCATTTGCAGGGGGTTGACAATTAATTTTAAGATATATGAGATACAGGTTGTGGCAGACTTGGTTCCATACTTAGTCGAAGTCCCCTTTATCAAATCAACAGTTGATTACGGTAGCAGACTGGGCATAGTTTTACCTACTGCACTACGCTGCTGGCTAAATGTATGCAATTTTTTATTAAAACTTACTTACATGGAATGGGATTACACTGCAATAATGCTTTGTTAGCTTCAACACCATCCATTCCTGCTTTCCATCCTTAAAAGAAACCGTGGATTCTTGGGTAATTGGTTGAAGGGGTTGTAAGAGGGACGAATTGTTTTGGCCTCAGATGAGAATTTTTTAAAGTTTATATTTAACTCTTTTGCCTTTCTTTTCAAGTCGTTTTCTTAAATTTTTCTCTGCAGTGTTGAGAGTTCCAGGAAAGGTGCATTTGGCTCAACAGCCGCACGAATAGCACCGATGATGAGAAGGAAGGAGGAACAGATGCCAGGTATGATCAGAACAAAGATGTTTTGCTTTGTTACGTCTAAATATTTTGGGAAATTTTATACGTGTAAAAAAAGCTTGTGACAACAATGTATCTGACTTAATCCGAAGAGATAGTTTTAAGAGACATTTGAGGTTTCGTTCGCGAATATGTTTGTACAACTCGGTTGTAGTCAATGTTTTGCCTTTTCTTTTCCCTACAACGTTTGCTCTCTGTATTTTCAAGGTCCTGCCCATTACCTAACCAAAGACAAAGCTAAAAGTAAAGACGATCCACCCTCATCCACCTTCGTATCTTCCACTGGTAGACTTCACACCCCTCCAGGGGTGGTGTTAGTAAGTGTTTCTGACCCCTTAATTTGTTGTGAATTTTTGTAGATCGCATATAAACATATAAAACCACATATCCTTTTCTTTGAAGTAAGTTTCTTTGAAGCCCTATACAGACATTTGTGATGGAGTCTTCTCGTGGCTCAGGAGGCTCTCTGGGGGGTTGGAAGGGGGCGTTATTCCTGGTCGTCTCATGCTTTAGAAACGAGAATGCTCTTGAGGGACTAATAAGCTAAATGTGTAGCCCCTCAGCCTTTTAGTGAGCGGAGACGAGTCAAAGAGCGGGTGAACTACAAACGGTAATTATGGTTGTTGCTCACATCGTTTTTAATTAAGAGACTAAATTTTAAAGTTTCTTATTTGGTTGCCACAAATTAGCTGCAATGAGCTCCTGCTGTTAGCACTAATTTGTGTTTTGATAATTTGACGCAGATCAGAATGACTATGGCTTGTATCATCAGATCGTAACTTGCACGTGTTATTTCTCTCCTAGGATAACCCTCCACCAGGGTCCTATGAAGTCGGGATTTCCTACGACTCAACACAAGGTGCGTGTACTGACCTGACCAGAGTTACTGAAATTCGTGTGCTAAGGCAGTGACTCCGTAAACGGCCCCTCTTTCAAGTTGTACTTTTGTGGCCATTTCTGTTCAGACGATGATACTTAACACCTCTTTTTGTGGTAATACTTGGACAAAATAAACTGAGTGCCGAAATAATAGGGGGATTGCACTCCAAGATTCTTAAATTTGTTTCTTTAACAATAGCTAATAATTATGATGCAGACAGACTGTTTTTTTTTCTCAATGCTTACCGATGGCCTGATCTGAAAAAAGTCAGAAATTTATTTTGAATGAAATTTTTTAAACCTTGTGACAGATAGGTATACATGAAATAACATAACGGCGTATTTCTTTCAACAGGTCGTGTTCTATACAGTAACGCCCAGAGAACGAACAAGAACACTAAGAAAAAGGGAGCGTTTTTATCCTCGTCTAATCGCTTCTATGGACAGCGTCAAGTCATGTCGGAAGAAGGAGATCCTGGTTAGTGTTCTAAGACTTTCCATAACCCTTTAACTCCCAAGATCTGATTAATCCTCCCCTCTAGTTGCTAGACATTCCCCAGTACATTAGTTACGAGAATTTGGTGTTAAATCAAGATAACAACTTCTTCTTAAAGTTTGAGTATTATAATTACCTGTTTGCCGGATAATGTATGGATATTTTCAAAACATCTTTTTCTCCTCCATTTGAAGATTGAGAACTACTGCTCTTTAATATTAATCCTCATATCTTTATAGGGCCGGGCCAATACGAATTAAAAGACGGCTCGGCTCGAGGAGGTCTAATGACGACCAGGGAACAAAGATTTAAATCATCAAGAAATGAAAATCCAGGCCCAGGGAGCTATGAGGTATGTGTCTGATTTTGGCGTATGGATTTGGAAATTAAGAAAAACCTAAAAAAAAAAAAATTATTATAATAATAGTGACAATGATAAAACAAACGCTTTTGAAAGCCTTAAAACTCGTGCGCCTTCAAAAGTTAAGCTTAGTAAACGTACCTTTTGGTTTATTTTAATCTTTTGTGTTTTGCCTTTACGAATCTTGTTTCTATTTCTCTCCTTTTTAAAGGCAATTTTTTAATTCTACAAAACAATTCGAAATATAGGAACATCATTTTCAGTATTAATATAGCGTAGCTTGTTATGCATCTTCCCCAAAAAGCAGTTACTGGCAGCAGAGTTAATTTCTTTCCTTTTCATTCTTCAGCTGAGTCCATTACAGATGCATTCTATGCTCAGGGGAACATTCAATGCCACCTTAAACAATCCTGTAGCGATGTCCTACGAAGATGGCTTAGAACGGAGATCACCTTCCAAGCAAGCTTTCTTACTGGGTGTCTGAGGAGGAATTTGTCTCTTTTTTTTCTGTTCCAATGAGTTTGATGTTGCTTGGGAATCATCTTGTATTCACAGAAGATAAGATATTTTTCAGAGACCATCGGTAAGGGAAGTGCTCATGTGAAGTCGTGAAGGTTTGAAGCTGGGCGCGTATACTTTGTTGTAAATATCATTTAAGAGAATTAGTGGCGTTAGTGAGTAGGAATAAAAATTCATATATTGTTCTTCTGAATACAAAAGGCTTTTACTTAATGAGAAGAAATTTAAAAAATACTCTTTAAGTGTGAAGTAGCAAATTTTATCGCTTCTCCCTGAACTTCACGCTCTTTCCTTATCTGCTTCCACTCCAATATCAGTGAATGCTCCTACATCTGTTCTATTTACGTTTGGCGATATTTTCCTCTCGGTCGAAGAGAAACCCCGGCTCGAAATTTGCTGCTCGACTCCAAAGTCGATCTCAGTGTTAAGTCGAGCGAGTACCACGTGGTCTCTATATTGATTTGTTTGTCAGAAATGAAAGATAACCTACGTCATCGATTTTCTCTTTGTAAAGGATATCATGCAGAAATATTCGATAAGTGATGGGCTCCTGTTGATAATCAATGTAGTTTCCCGCGAGAAAACAGTCGGTCAACATTGAACATATTTTGAGGCGAACCCCTTGCGATAACGATTTTTGCAGCTTTGTAACACGTTCTACCGTGAAAACAAGCATAACTGCAAGCCGAGGACAGTTATTTATCTATTCATACTTCACGACATCTGGAACCTAAAGTGACTACTACCCCTCCCCCCACCTCGGCATAGACGCATGACCGCCGCGTGACGATCACATGCTTCATTATTGACCGCTCGGTGACTCATATAATACAACGCTCATCACTTCGTGAAAGCTCTTTTCGAGTAAGCTGTCTCAAGCGTTGTGTCCTCTTCGCCTCGATTGCATTAGTCTGCGATCGATTGAAAGCCTGAAGCCAAATTGGGACAGATGAACCTCCACGATTTGTCTAAAATCCGCAATCATATTTGAACTTCGCAATGGGCCTTGCTTACCCTAGAGTCTCTATGGCTCACTGGTAAAGCATCGGAGCGCGGAATCCGAAAGGTCCGAGGTTCGATTCCTCATGGGGACTCAGAATTTTTTCTTTGTCCCACGCTCGTGATTAGATGAAAACACATCTTTCTCTATCCACGATCTAGTTGTCAGAAACCTGCGTTCCTTTTGTCCCAAATATTACCGGAGAGACAGTGAGTAACGAAGCAGCTCTTTCGATTAAACCAGGTGGCAATATTCCGCTTCCAATATAAAATCATTTTGAAACCTTAGTTCTATATAGAAGCATAGAAATAGATGTTAATCGAATCGATTTCTCCGCACCAGTAGTGTATTTACTTCAAACATTCAACTCTGAGAAGCTTTTGACGTTGACATTTTAATAGTGTCAATACATTTTCTCGCATCCAAATCATGCGACAAGATCAAATGTGGATTAGAGTTCAAACTCCAAGTAGCTGGTTGCTGGAAACTGGACAAGAATTTCCGGAGAAACATCAAGCTGCGAGTGAAAGGATTCGTGTTATGTTACATGTCACGCAAGCTCCGTCGTAATTATTAGCGAAAGACTCTACTTTCCGCGTGAGAGGGGTTCTACAAAAATTCAATTGAAAATGACATCTGAAGAATGGTCTCCATGGCTTTCATCCACCTCGTAAAGGTTCTGGCCATTACGTAAGGGAACACAAACCTCATGGAGACAATTCCCTAGAGTGACGTGATTATTGTGGAAATTTGACAACCCAGAGGAAGAACGTTGATTATTTTGCTGTTGTTTAATTCAATAGCGTCTTTTATACCTCCATTGATTTCTACACGTGTGGGCTTTCACGCAACTTTATCCACTGAAAATACGAAAATCCTGCCGACCTTAGCCGTGATCACATTTACTAAGGAGCATTTATCCTGCGTTTCCACCGTTTGCGTGTAATATTCTTCATGATATCATTACTTATCAGGCAGTCTCCTTTCATGAATAAAACAAAAGCGTTTAAATCAGCTGATGCAAACCGCCCGAGCAATTGTTCCCTCAAGACAATGAAATGGATGGAAGTCATGCAAGGTCAACCTGGAATTCTTAAAAAAAAAAAAAAAAAAAATTACTTGACTGAAATTGATATAAGACCTCGTGATAAGCCATGATCTGAAAATTAATTTCCGGTAAGAGTAAACATACCCCCATTAACATTCGTGAAGCTCATTATTATTTATATTGTTTTGTCGAAGTTGACCTCCTAAGCGGGGGGGATCGTTTTTTGTAAACAAGCGTGACAGCATAACGCATCAAGTCAATAACACGCGGACATCACATGACAAGGCGGTAAACAGGCCATTGTTGACGTCCGGTTAGTCAGTCTTTTACTTTGCCGGCGGTAAAAACTTGAGTTAACACGCGGTCAAAGCACGTTACTGGAATATTCCTCACGATTCAGTATAAACTGGTCTGCGCCTCGAGAAAGAATGCTGTCCACCATGCGAAAGGTTTGCTTTTCTTCGTCTCGCATTATTCGTCCTCTCGTTAATTCGACCGACATCTTGGTTCGTGGTGCACATCAAGCGAAAGCCCAAGCACCAACCGCCACTGTGAACACAAGTGAACATGATTTGAAACTGGTCAACGGTGAGGAAAACTTTCAGTTTTTCTATACTTGTATTTCAGTCTTAAGCTTGGTGTTAATTCGATTGGGTTCTTCTGTAACGTTTTTCTTCGTTCTGACGAAGGGCGAACACTCGAGAGCTCCTTGCGTTAGCCAATTGACATAATCAGTTGATAACAGCAAAAGATTTTCTGTCACGTATCAAGCGATGGCGCTTGAGTCGCGATTTGGTCCTTTCAAACTGATCGTCATCTCAGACGTATCTTTTACCAAGTCCTTTAATATGCACTTTGCATCTGTTAATGGAAGATAACAAGATCATTAATGTAACCAAAAAACTTTTTTTTTCCAATTTGATTACATTTTATCCGACGCTTCTAACGTTTATTCGACGCTGAGGAAAGAGCAGTGGCCTAGAGAAAAACATTGTCCATTTTCAGGCAGAACTAGTTAAACCGGTTTTGAATCCTGATTTTGCTGTGTGCTGTGAGCTTTTTTCCTCGGTGTTACATATTTCCTGTTACGTATTTCCTGTCGATAACATTGGGAAGTTTGTGGGTGGCAATGATCCTATACATTCAGAAATAGTGCAGTGTAGTTTTTTAGGTCTCTTATCTCATATAAAGATCGTTTTCACATACATCTGTCTCAGCTAATCAACATTGGCTAGCTTTGTCCTGTACATTATGAAACAAGTAATCACTCTTCCTCGTAAAAATAAAGGCAGGGGAGGACAAGATTTCCACATAGTCTATTTCTTTATTATGCATGCAGTTCTTGGATGAAAATAAAACCTTTTCAAGAGCAATAGATGTGCTTAGAGTCTACAGCTTTGTTTTTGATCAGTATGGGGTTATACTGAAGTATTTCCTAGAGGAGAGGTAATACAGTGCAAAAATGAGTCAATTTATTGCCAAAAATGCAACTATTTAGCTGGTTTTTGAGCTTTTTTTCTGATTGTAAAACTGAAGAAAAATATTTGTTAGAAATTGTTGTTTTGAATGAACTTTAATATATTGAACAGAGTTGCTATGGTAGGATGCACAATGATGATATCAGGGTATCAATGCATTATTTTTTTCCTTGTGGAATACATTGCAGACACACAATGAATTAGCTTTCTTTCATGGGAAAGCTTTTATTATTGAACAATGCCTGCTGTTGTAAATGCCTTGATCTCTTTCTGTAGATGAAACACAAGCTTCTACACAAAACAACTTTATTCATACACTAGTCTTCAAGCTTAAATTATGATTCAATGATATTGTTCCTCAAAAATTCACTTTGTCACCATGAGTGTTTCTGCTGTGAAGACTTAAGAGATTCAACTAGAAAAGAGGTTCCATGACAGATTTTTATTCACTTTACTCAGTGTTTAATGTTACAGGTAGAAAATGAATAGTTGAGATCTTAGCCTCTGTGGTTTTTAGTTAAGAAAAATTTCTATTGTCTTCATGATATTTCTCCGCACATAAAATGCCTGATTCTTTGTTGTGTGATATTGGTTGCAAAATATTTCAAAGACCACCCAGAGATTTCAAGCATCATTAATTACTGCAGAAGGTTTGCTCCAGTTAACTTTTTTCTCAGAAATTTTATGAGTCTTCAAATCAAGATTAGTGCAAAAATTATGTTTTTATACCTGGTTTAATTTTAATGGTTTTGTTTGAAGGTTTTTTTTTTTAACCCTTGACAACCTTTGATCAGTTTGCATACTCTCCTTACTTTCCTTGATTTTTGTGACCTTGATGTGTGATTCAGGGGAGATATTGTGGGGAGAAATAAGATGCTTGTCATTCTTAAGAATGAAAGGACCAATGAAATGAAGACACAGTATGTCTGAAAGTGTGAAACTAACTTTGAGGAAATTGAAAGAGTTCATGTAGACCTGAATTACTTCATATAGTTATCTTCACATGAAATTTTTGGTGGTATTGAAAATGTTGTTGTACAAAGTACTTGAATAAAGGGAGTGCATTACAAAATTACTCTTTCTCTTCCTGAAATGTACTTTGACTTTACCTCAGGTGCCCTGTTGAAAAATCCTCGCTCTGAGTATAGAATGGTCCGTCAATACCAAGGAAAGATTAAGGCTGTGATCTTTGACTGGTCTGGCACTGTTTTGGATTGCGGCGTCTACTCACCAGCTGTTGTGTTCAATGAAGTCTTTAAAAATGAGGGAGTCCCAATCACAATGGAAGAGGCAAGAGAGCCCATGGGAATGCACAAAAGGGTGCACATCCGTAAGGTCACAGAGATGGAGTCTGTACGAAGGAGATGGTTTGAAAAGTTTGGTCGCTTTCCCAATGAGGATGATGTGGAAAGAATGTTTCAGAACTTTGTTCCTTTGCAACTTGACTGTATTTTGGACTACTCTCAGATGATAACTGGTGCAGTTGACACTGTTAATTACCTGCGTAACAACATGAACCTGAAGATTGGGTCCACAACCGGATTCACTAAATCCATGTTAGATGTACTGAAGGTGGCTGCCACTAAGCAGGGCTATACTCCTGATTGTTATGTTGCAGCAGATGAGGTACCACAAGCCCGACCTTACCCTTACATGGTTTGGTTGAGTGCTATTAGACTGGATGTCAATCCCATCGAAGCCCTTGTTAAAGTTGATGACACAGCTGATGGAGTCAGGGAAGGTACATCTGCAGGCTGCTGGAGTGTAGGACTTGCTAAAACAGTAAGTTTCTTTTATGATATGATTATAGACAAGGATATCACAAAATAGCCAGTTTCTCTCTCTCTCTCTCTCTCTCTCTCTCTCTCTTACACACACTCACTCAGAACCATAAATAAGCTTCTTGATTAAGGTATTAGCTCTCATTTACACAATTTCCCTTACTTAGCAAGAAGTATAGTTCAATATAATATATATGCATTGTTTCTTTACTTAGTATTCTCCTACAAAGACAATCAGACTACTGTAACTGGCAAAAAGATGCCCAGTTGTTAAGAGCCAAATCAGCACAAACCCAGAGTGAATTTTTGTCGTTGTTGTTGTTTTTTTTTTGTTCTGAAGTCTTAATGGGATAAGTACAGCAACCAATAATTAAATTGTGGACAACAAGAGTTAAAATTAATTTACTTTTAAGACTTTCATCTCTAAAATCAGATCCCACACTAATCCTGAGTTATCATACCCGCCCTTTGAACAACACAGCCCTGAAATCATAAAATGGTTACCAGAAATTAAATTGTGGTTGCCAGATAAAACACTTGTGCAATATTGCGTAGCATGCTAAACAACTGACCACAACTTTACACTGTGGTATTTGGAGATTCCCATAAAATTCCAAGGCTCTGTACCTCTGGAAACTAAGGTGAAAGAAGAAAGGTTCTTTTTCTGAAGACAATGAAACACAAATATTGTTTTATTGTAACTAAGTTATAGGAATGTTGCAAATTGGTGTATGAAACAGTTCCCTTAAATTTCCAACTCTTGCTGCAAATTTAATGGGCAAAATTTTTACTAGTCAGCATGTCAATCTAAGACTCTGAAGGACTATATACTTTTTTCTGGTGGACCTTCTAACAACTCTGTTTTTTTCTTTAACCAGGGAAATTATGTAGGTTTGAATGAAGAAGAGATCGCCAGCCTGAGTGATGATGACCTTGAAAGGAAGCTGAAACGTTCTTACGATATCCTGGCCAATGCTGGTGCTCATTACGTAATTGATTCCATTAGTGATCTGCCTCCAGTTATTGAAGATATCAACCGACGCCTTGCCTCTGGAGAAAAGCCATGAACAATGATAACAAAGCAGTTAAGGTTATTATAACAATCTGACCTAGTTGCTAAGAATTATTTTTAAGTTCTCATTTTCCAGCTTTTTTTCTTATTTTCAGTGTTGTGATTTTTAGGCTACTTGAAGGTTTGAGACAATTCTATGGAAGCATTGCAGCGTCCCTTTTGAAAAACATATTGCACCCTTTTATGTGTCAAGTAATTTTGCTGAAAGCAATATAGACTTAAAGAGACTAAGCAATCTAAGATTCTCAGACTCAAATAGTTACATGTACAGGTCAAATCCTCTTTTAATTGGTAACAGCAGATTTTAGTTGAGGTGTAGTTAAGTGTGAAATGGGTGTGGTTATGATCACAACAGGACACAGGAGAATTTGACTTTTTCCTTTCATGAACAAGTACTGAATTTGCAAAAGATAATTTTAATATGTATAAGATTTCAATAGGTAACAAGCAAATATGATGAAATTCTGGCATGTAACTGACAATTTTTAAGCAAGATAGGTACAAACTCTTGACTGTTCTCAGATGTCTTGCACAATTTTCACTCCCAGTTTTCTTAGAAAGGATTGTTAGTTTTCAAAGTAAATTACAAGAAAAGTTAAAGTTGAAATTTTGTATAATTCTTATCTGAAATATTCCATAATGATATTGTAACTTAATGTATTTATGATATATTTAGGAAGACAGTCAATCATTGCGTAACATCAAGAATTGTTGAAACTATGCAAAGACATGAAAATCTATGTTGATTTTTTTAAGTTTCATTTTATTGCTTGTTTTTATTCAACTAAGTATATTCATGCACTGCATAGTAATAACATAATAGTTTCTTCAGATTGTGCAACTTTTGTAATTGTTAAGGCTGTTTTTTATATCCATCTGGGAAGAACAAGCCATTAAATTTAAATCCTCAGATACCCTATTTCCTGGAATGAAGGCCCTCGCTCCTTTAAGCGCTCTTCCCCTTTGCCATAATATCAAACAAGCACCACTCCCCCCTCGTTCTTCCTCACTTTCTTGATTAATAGGGATACATGGGAAACCGTTTTGTATTTCACGTTATAACTTTTTACTGGGATACCTGTGGTAGCCCAGTCATAAAATGCCTTTGTTTTTTTGTCGTCTTTTTTTTTATTTCCTCCGCCACAAAATGGAAAAATTGCGCAATAGTACTCAGTGGTCATTGGGCTCTCAACACCATGACAACCAACTGCGATCCAATGAAGTGTTCACATGCCGATCACGCGTGTTAGCTTGATTGATCATTGACGTTGTCATGCACAGACAGGGCCGGGTCACATGACGAACCACGGAATTTTTACATATAAAACTCTTTTGTTAGTCGTTTTGTATTTCAACGTGTTTGGATTACGATCACCCGGAGCGTTATGGCGCAAACGCTCAAAATACTTACAGACGTATACACAAGTCTTATTGTTCGCGGCCAATCCACGCTAAAAGGTGTTACTGAGCGGTAATTTTCGAACGGATTGAGTCGCCAACGCTTGAAAGCCATAAATGCCTTGTATGCCTTGTATGCCAAGTATGCCATCTTTTAGTTGAAAAACGTACACTTGTTGTAAAAAGCAAAATCTGAAATCTGAAACCAAACTGCATATACTCTATGTAATCTGTTGAACAACACTCTTACCGTGAGACTAAAGAACAAAACTCTAATGGATGCAAACTGATAGTGAAGAAAGACGGCATGTTGGTTCACTTGATGCCAGGGAACGTAGCTACGATAACAGTGCGAATGGTATTAATTTCACGATCAGAAAGGTGAATCTTATGTTTGTTTTCGTTGTAGTTGTATGGATATTCTTTTTTAATAAATACACGATCCAAAATTCTGTGTTTTTTGTGTATAATTTATTATGTTAAATATTGTTTACGCAATTGTCTTGTCACAGGCAGCCCAAGCTCACGCCTCGAGAAAAAGCCAACGATTAATTCATGAACGCATCACGCGTTGTGTGACTCGGTATTAAGTTACGAGAGGAACTGTTAAAAATTTGAACAATAGTATAGGGAACGAAATATGGTCGATTTACAACGATAAACATTTCGAAATATGAACATTTTTCTCGTAAAATCAATAAAACTTACTCATATCCTGTGTATCCGTTGTCGTTCTGGCGATTTCTGCCGTTTTTAGCTTGCTTTACCATCACTGTTATTTACGTCATCTACTTTTATTACGTTGGTAAAATCTGTACAGACATCACACCAACCAACTCGCGCGCAAAGTAAGAAGACTATATTAAAGGCTTGAAATTATATTACGATCGATTTTCATCAAGAAATGGGCCAGGAATTTTCCAAAATAGTGCAAATAATCATGAAGCCTGATCGCGGAAAAGCGATTGCGTGACGCTCGGTAAGCTGTAAGATGACACGTTATTATATACCAGACGTAAAAACTCTTCAGATTCTCAGTCTGCATTTTGTACCCACTCTGCAGTCTAGTCTATATTTTGTATCCGGTCTGCAGTCTACTGTCTGCATTTTGTAGTAACAGGTATCCGTGGCACCAATACAGTTTATTTTTGGTGACATTTATTCGCACAACACACATCATTTACCACAAAATACCTGTGTGTGAGGTAATTCGACATTTTCGTTCTTCTCCGCGTTAATACTCTTCTTTCCTTTTGTAAGAATGTAGACCACTTACAATGTTTCAAGTAATCCACCCACCCTACAAAAAAAAACTCTTGCATGCAGAGCATGCCTGTGTTTTGAAATAGGTGTATGCCCTTAGCCAGACTTGAACTCACTATTTCAGTATACTAGTCCAACACCCATAGTATCACTACACTTGATTCCAAGGATCCAGTACCATCCAGGTATCCCAGTTACCCTGCTCACTGGGTCTAGTTAAGCTTACATTGACACCTGCGTGTAACACGTGCCTATCCAAAAGTTAAAATTTTGGAGAAACCGGAAAAGTAAACACAACGCGCAGCAAAGTTTTATCAATCATCTTTTCCCAAAAACAAGCTCAAGTGAAAGAAGACCATTCAAATAACTTTTACTTTCAACGAAAAAAGCGATAGATGCATATTAAGTTTTTACACTAAAATCAATATATAAGATAAAAATCAATAAATTTTTGCGCACGTGTGCAAACAAGCGTGCAAACAAGAGTGCAAACAAGCGTGCAAACAAGTGCAAACAAGTGTGCAAACAAGTGTCAAACAAGTGTGCAAACAACTGTGCAAACAAGTGTGCAAACAAGTGTGCAAACAAGTGTGCAAACAAGTATGCAAACAACTGTGCAAACAACTGTGCAAACAAGTGTGCAAACAACTGTGCAAACAACTGTGCAAACAACTGTGCAAACAACTGTGCAAACAAGTGTGCAGATCGGATTTCAAAATGAATATGCAAATTTATCAGTGTGTGGAGAGATCTCTTGTAACATGGAATTTGAAAGTAAGAAGAAAGACGAAACTGACTAAGGAACGTTTCGGGAAGAAAGCTTTATTCAAAACAGTTCTTGATTTCTGTTAGAACCGAAAAACGTAGGAATTTCTTACGTGTGCGAAACCCACGAAGTAGAATTCATCATGCTTAAATCGATGTTTACTTGACTTCACGGCAAGAATATTGCGCAGCGTTTTGTTGAAAATACTGAAAGTTCTACGTTTTAACACAAAATCTTCTATTAAACAATACTTTTTGGACATCTGATTACTCAAACATGATAATTACCGTGCCTTGGAGTCTTCATAATGTCGCTAGGCCTCGCTTGAAGTCCGATAGTTTGGTTTTCACTTTGCGGCCCTAATTCGCATTATTTTAGAGAATTGTAGTATTGTCGATTCCAAAGCTTATTTTGTCGCTTTTAAGACCTTGATGTCCATTATTTTTCAAGCAGATTATTCTATAGTATTTTTTCTTTTCATTTTGTGTCCCAGGAGGTCTAAAATGGTCGGAAAGAAACGGAAAATCCGACTTGAAAATATTGAAAGTCGGCCGCGTGTACGCCATTTTTTCAAATTTGATCATTTCTTGTGAACGCATAAAATGGTGCCTTTGTGCTACCCTCTAAAGTCATCAAAATAACTGCGCAAAACACGGATTCTGATTTGTTTATAGATCCTCTAACAACAGAGGAAATTTGGAGACAAAATTCTGCTTAGTAGGGGAGATAGGGGGGATAGGGGGGATAGGGGGGAAAAGCGTCTCTCGCGCAAGTCTCCCACGCGGCACGGGCGGTTATGGGCGGTTTAGGTGTCAATGGGATACAGTGGAATCTGTATAAGGTAAGCGCTCCCTCCTTTTGGCCGAATAGGAACATAGGCGCGTTAATAAGGAATTACTAAGGTTTTGGTTCATTTTTGTTTGACATGGCAAAGGCTTCATGAAATTAAGGTTATTTCACCGTGATGGCATCAAAGCCAAGGCGTTGGGATGATGTTGTCGATAACGGTTTGGAAATTTAAGTGAGCACTAAAGAATAGGTACTCAAGACTGAAACAATTCAGATTGTTACAAGAATTTCTAGAACAATTTCAACAAGGGGTGTAACAATTGCATTAGTTCAGGTGCTTTCTTCTAATATTTGCGCAGGGGAAAGCTAAGAGTACCTGTGATATCTTGATAAGGGTAATAATTCCAGTTGCAATGCCGCGGTGTAAACCTGGCATTCTCGTCATTCTCCCAGATTCCGAGAAGCCGCACCTGAAGGATGCTACTTCTAGGAACTGAAATTACCACAAGTCCTTGTTCCCCAAGGAAAAATTGATTTTACACAATATCTGTAACACCTTGCATGGGTGTACATGTGTGTGTTTTGAGAGACACTGGCGTGGACTCGGAGCCCGAGGTACTTCTTTGCTGCGAGGATTCACCCACTGATGTGTTCTGGTTACACTAGCTTAGCAGCTCGCTTCTTAGATGTATATTTGTTGTTCGTTCAATTATTTGTTGTCTGTTTGTTACAAATCCTTGCCGCTTATAATACTCCCCAGAGGAACCATTATGTCAACTGAAAAAGGAAACGCTTAGTTATTTCTTTCAAAACGCTATAAAATCACAACACGATAGGGCTCCGTAATGGTTCATATGGGCATGGTTCTTATGAGCAGTATCAAACCTCCTCATAGGAGGTTTGTAGCCAAAGAATATTATCAGTTAGGTAAAATTATTAATTGCATTTTTAAAAGTTAATCGGCTTGAACCTTAAATTGTGAATATATATTTTACGTTCGTACATTAAGATAGATTTTTAAGCCTTATTTTACAATAATTGTCGGTGAAACTATCTTTTCAATTATCTATTTACAGCTATTTCAATTTACGTTGTCGGTCAAGCTTCAAGGGTACGGGACAAGACCGAAAGGCGGTATGGGTAGATTAGAATTAATTTTAGGCTTTGGCTCGCCATCGGAGATCTTCGCTGTATGGACGAGGCATTGTTAATTTTGCTGATAATTATTCATTAAGATCCCATATTCCCCTTCGGTCTTGTCTTGTAGGCTTGAGGCTTTGATCCGACAACGTAAATTGAAATAGCTGTATACACGACCCCAAAAGCTGCAAAGCTTTCATCCTTATCGTGATTAACATAAATTAACATTAAGTATAAGGCATGATTAAAGATACTGGGACTAGACAACAACAACTTTTTCTAAATATAGGAGGCTTTCAAACATGCCTAAACAAATAATAAATTCAAGCATGCAATGCCATTCTTAGTAAATATTATCATGGTTGAACAATACACACCACAAACAGTTTCTGCGTCTAAGGGTGAATCAGATATCAAAAATTTCATTACTTCTCCAAAATTTCAGAGCTCTCTGGAACTCGAGCGAAATGAAACTTTTGTTTTCATTCCACCAAATATTGAAAAAACTTAACTCCAAACAAGAAATGTATTTATTTGTTTGAATATTGTTTTTACCGGATACTCGGGTCGTTTGTTTTAAAGAAGGTAATTGCCTTCAACTTAACAAAGGTGAGCCACAGAACATTATTTTAATAAAATTTCTAGACTGGAAAGAAAACTGAAACCTGAAGGAAACAAGGAGACGGACTAAAAACGATGAACTTGAATTATTTTGCTCATCTTTGCTGAGAGAAACCAATCCTGACATGCCTCCTTAAGTTCGAAGTATAGAATATTCATCATAGCTCCATACTTATGGGGTTTTGCCAGAGGCAAATATCAGTGTTCGAATTACCACTATCGAACGCCACGAACAGTGCTCGCTCGTAAACTCACGGAAGAGGCTGGCTTATTTGATAGCAATAGCCACCTTCGGCGTTAGACTTTCCTCTGGATCTAACCTAAGGAGAAGTAATCAAATACTGGCACAACAAAAAAGCAGGTAAAAGAAGGCGCAAGTCATATCTTACTAGATCCTCTCCAAGATTTAAAGGGATTTCAGGGAGCTTTCTATTATTTCTCCTTTGAAAATTGCTGAACATTATTGTTACAGTAACCAACCGACTTTCAGGGGATGCGGGTTTCACTACTAAGCCTCCCTTTTTCAGAGCCGAGCCGGCCTTACTAACTGAGCCGATTTGAATTGCACTTCTGTTTGCTCGAAGTTTGCCCGCCCGAGAAATTACAAAATTGGTCAGTTAGGGGTTTGTTTGCACATGCCAATTGTGCTCTTGTAGAGACTCGTTCCAGCCCAGTAACTTCAGCTCATTTCCGACTTACAAGATAGATCTCTTACCGACTAAAAGGCGACCGTGCAAGAGCAGCATGTCCGCACGAATTTAGCTACATAACGACGATTATAAAATCATTAGTTCGTGATTCTAGCTGAGCGTATA